CCAGCCATCCAGTCTTGGCCAGGTCCACACAGAGGTTAAAGGCGATGCCCCACAGTGCCCCTGGTGTCTGTGGTTATTTAAATCAACCAATAATACGGCATATGAAAGCAATTAGATATGCTCCGCAGCTCTCCACTACGTTTTTCAGATCGCTGTTAAAGCCCTCTCCTCTCTGACCTGGGGGAAAAATACAAAGAGTCTACTAAAGCACCCACCTCAAGCTGTCACTCATTTATTAGGAAAAATGGAAGACCTGAAGACAATAAATGCAACATAAGGGCCCTCGTATTTGATCTCTGCTGCAGCACAGTCTGGCACAGTAGTCCTCGGGGGTATTAGAATCACAGGGCGAGCGTTGAATTCTGGATGTTTGGCGAGCTCCACCTCTGACTCTCACCATTTTTATCCTCCCCAGCCGCCGGGAATAAATATTTATGCCTGGCTATTATAAACCAGCCTAAAGAAAGCAAGTGGTCTTAATTATGAAGCTAACACAGATCACTTCCATCCACATTGTGATTTGTGTCTGACTCCAAGAGGCTAACACTGAATCACACTTTGGTTCACTTGCTCTGTTTGACTGAGACGAGCACGGCTGTCTGCCCCTCACCTGATCCTGAGGTGGCGACTGCAGTGTCTTTCCCTCCAGGCTTGGGTCAAAGGTCAGGATACTTGGTGCTAGCAGTCAGAAAATCTCTCGTAGCTTAGCCTCCTCCTCAGACAGAATTTCTTTATGGGTACCCCTCTGATACAAAAGCCCAGCATATTGTATTTAAATCAATGTAATGACGATTACTTCATGTGCGTGCAGCGTGTAGTCATCAGTGACGCTCAGGAGCGGCTCACCGTCCGTCTTGGCTGCCCTCTCCTTCACTGGCTTGTGCAGAAACATGATCCTCTTTTGATGGGGCTTCCTGTTTGGGGAGAGGGTGATGACCTCTCTCTGTGCTCCTCACAGGCAAAGAGGGATGAGTGGGAGGCCACGAGGACCTAAACCTGCTGTAGGACTCTCTACTACCATAAAGACAAATCTCTTCTGTTCAAATAATTTATAGTAGTGCAGTTACCCAGCACCCAAACCAAAGATTACCATTTATCTATAAAAATCCCATACAACTTCAGCTCTATCACAAGGAGTTGCTAATCAAACTGGGACGATGCCACTTTCAGAACAGTGAGCACCTACATAAAGATCCCCTCAACTTCCGCGTAATTGGACTGGACAGAGTGGCAGGGACGCTACTGAATGAAATAGGATCAAATAAAAAGAAACAGTCAGAGCTCATTTGCTGCTCAGGGGAGTTTAGTGTTTCACAGAAGGCCTGGCCCAGGTTAGGCATTCATCACCGTGGCAAATCAGACAGTGTCCTGATTTTAAATGGCCTTTAATGTCAGGTTCAGGCAGGGCCTTTAGCCTGAGCTCTGTTTTACGACAGAGGCTCCGCTCGGAACGGCATGTGTGAATTCAGCGCGCTGTAGTACAGTCGCCGCTTGGCTGGTCAGACAAGACAAAAGTAATGCTATGTGTTGGAGTATTTGTCATTGACTGGTTGCAAATGCCAATTCAAGAAAAGTCCAAACTCTTAATTATAAATCAAATCTGTCCAAATCTGTGCTATATTTTCTAAAAATGAAAACATGATAAACTGTAGAGTACCTTTTGCCTAATAAGACTATTCACATATTGAGCTAGTGTGGAAATTATAGATATTTTTAGCAGCATCTAATCGCAGCATCAGCCATTCTCTCATGAGGTGAGGGATTTTGATGCACACATTCCACATGCACATTTTAACAAGGGTTAATGCTCCACCTCATATTCTAAGTCCTGCCTGATGTTTCTACCTGTCAGCACGGTATTTTCCAGCAAAAATTTAGGAGAAGGGTCATAGTGCAATGGATACGGGTTGATTTATGAGGAGTGGGAAGAGGAGAGAGTGTCTTACCTTGTCCTACTGAGGCAGTCTCTTGGCTTGCCTCACCGAGGGGGGAATAGTAAGCTTCATCCCACAGAAAGGGGAACTGGAAGTCTGACAGTCTGCTGGGATTGGAGACAATTGGGGATCAGCAAGAGAATTCGCTTTCCAGGTATAAATAACTAGAATATACCAGGGCCAGAGCACTGTACTGGTTTAACCTCAGATGAAAGGTAAAAAAGTCAAATATTTGCCAAAGTACCTCCAAAAATGTTTTAACAGCACGGCTAAAGAGTTCATCATCTGATTCTACATATAGGTATTTTTAAAACTGAAAAAAATAGTTAGCAGTAGTTGGAACTGTAGTTCCCCTTGCAGACAATTTTTAACAGTGTGCAAAAAAAAAAAAAAGAATCACCTGTGTATTATCATGCGTTTCTTTGTGTTTGAGTGTTTACTTTACTAGTAAACACTACTTTACTAATGATCCAGAGCTACAGAAACAGGAGGTGACGGGGCGTCATGGCCACATTGCTGAGACAGAAACATTTATCAAACAGCTAGATCCCTCATCTTGTGGTGTTCCGCAGGCTACCCATTCACTGTTAAAGCCTTTTCTCTAATCCGCACACACAGTTGTGCATTGTCTCGGTGTGATGTGATTTCCTGGTAGCTGCAGTGGGGGCTCTTACTTACTGTGGTTAAAATCATAAGTACATATTGACATCAAAGTCACCCATTTTGCAAACCACACAGGGTAAATCCTGGAGCAGAAGTCTGGCTTTCTTGTTTGTTTTTCTTCCCGTTTATTCCACCACCCTTTACCCACAGCTTATTGTCATGTTACCTCATGTTACACAATAGCTAGCTGACTCTCTAACATTCAGATATAGTGGATTGGGCAATGATTCCTCTGGAGATATATAATGTTTGTAAGTGTTGCATGTGCGCCTAAGGATTTTGTATTTATTACCGCAGTGTGGCATACTGTATCTGGTTGGATGTGTTTCCACATGGAAACTCAAATCTGGCTCAGGATAATCTCTAATTTCTTCTGGTTCAACACGGGCCATAAAACCACTTGTTAATCAATCTGTTCATGTCCATTAGGACGCTGGTTTTACAAATGACTTCTAGCTGTGAAAAAATTCACAGTCCTCCCTTCAGTGATTCAAATAATGTTTTGATGGAGAATACATTAGTAGCCCAGTTCTAACAAATCGAGAAACAAAGAGTCCACTGGCTGTAATTTCATCTGTTTACCTCTTGTAGTAACAGTGCAAGGGCTTTAAAGATCGTTGCTGTGGCTCCCATCATGATCCTGTCTGTCTGTGGTGGGAAGCTAGTCCTCTGTGGCTACATGACTGCACAGAGAGCCTGATGGGGCGGACTGTGCTACCAGCAGCCAAGGGTCAACACTGTAGTGTAGTTGTTGTTGGAATCAGCTTTGTGTTTCCTCACTGGTCACAAAATAGGCAAGATAATGAAACAGTTAACTACAGTATAGTGGTGAAACAATGTACAGTGAAAATTTAATTACACTTTTACTTCAATATCAAAGGCAGCTCTATTCAGTAGTTAGAAAGTAGTTTCAGGTATCTAAAATGGAGTTACCGCTGATTAAAATGATCACTTCAGATATTCAAAATACAGTCCTAAGCCAGTCAGTCATGGGGTCTTTGTAGATAGATCCATGGGCTTCTTCTTATTTCGTTATTAAGCCCTTGCCAGGAATTATATTCCATTTAGTCAAAATGACATGCTTGGTTAAAAAAGAATAGCACATGTATTCTAAACAAAGTAATGACTCATACGCCCACATAAATAAAGGACACATTTTTTTGTTTCTCACCTTTTTATTTTATCCATATTTATGTAGCCCACCAAAGTGGAAATTATGTAAAATTACTTGAATACAAACATTTAATACATACTTTAAAAAATAGCCTTTATTTAAAAATAAAAAAAATTAATTTTTTTTAAAATACTTGAAAAGAGAACCGTAGCTTTCTCTTTTGTTCAGTCAGATTTTTCTCATCAAAGTTTGTGGGATATAAACATATTAACATTCACTGCTCAACACACATTTTGGCTTTATTTGTGACCAATAAAGATTTTTTTTATATTTCAGCCAAAGGCCGTCATATACTTGCAGGAGAATCCTCCGTTCGACTTTACTCCTATAAAAAATGTATTATTACTCTGAGACAATGTCTCAAACTTGAGCTTTTAGTTTTTATTCTTTACAGCTGCTGTGTTTTTGTGGGCTTCCTCCTTGTGGCCTTTGCTGTCTGGACCACATTTGGAAGAGAGCCGCCTCTAAATTGTAGACTTGCTGTTTTGAACACTGTTTTAATGGGTCCTTTTGAGTTGGGGGATTTCTGGTAAGGAAATGTGGTTTGTCCAAACAGGATATTTTGGTTGTCATGTTTGTATGGTTGCTGATATCTGTTTTTTATTTTGATAACTGCCAGCTCTCACTATCCATGAATGTGAAAAGTGTCCTGGAATCCAGACTGCGAGGCTGCACAGTTACTCCTTAATTTTAATGCTCAGACATTGTGTTTCCTGTCTGATTTATTAAGACAGCCAATAAATGAAAGATGTAATAGACTTGAGTTTACCGAGCTGCAGGTGCAGTGCTCCACATGCGAACATATGAGAGCTAAAGTCAGATCTAAAAGCGGCGACGTAGTGAAGTGAGACAGCGGCCAGACCTGTTAATGCTCTTGTTGTGTTGCAGAACTATTTAGCTATGAAGTCATAAGCAAGTGAAGGTATTTATTGCGGCCATTAATGACTTGCAGGTTGGAGGAGTTCTTTGACCAGGCGTCTGTGTGTATAGTAACACAGGCTTACAGTTGAGAGGAAATGGAGAAGGTTTGGCTGGAACACGCTCAGTCCCGGCTGTTTTCCTCTGAGCTCGGTGTGAGTTAGGTCATTTGGCACAGCACCGAAAACCCCATCCACAAACAGTAAACACATCTGCTGCACTAATATATACCATATTAAGACATCATAAATAGCAACAACATGTGAAACAACAGGCAAGTCATACTGATTTGTAAACCGTGGGATGTTCTTCCCAGTTGTATCCTCTGAAACAAGTGGATCAAGTGGGAAAAATTTTTACAGCTTGAATACAAATAAAACTATAGTTTCAGATGAAGTCAAGTGAAATGAAATGTCCTTTTCAATCCCACTGCTGGCGTAATTTTCTATTCATTTAACAAGGGGAGTGTGTTCGTGGCTTTCCAGTGTGGCATATTTAGTTAGTCAATATGTTTATTTTGACTATAAAATCACACAATGTCTCAATTCACTTTAGAAGAAGAAAAAAGAATACAGTTACAGAAACGACAACAAAATAGAATGTATAAGACATGGAAAATATTTAATATAATATTTTGGGGGGATTCAGATAAAGTTAGATATTTTTGCCTTCTTCACTTTAATGAACATCTCTTACCTTGAAGACAGCCCAAGCTTGATCCGAGTGATCTTGTCTTTCTCCTCAGCCCATTTTGATGAATCTAATTTCCTAGTTGTAGTTTTTTTAACTGCGCTATGCTATTCATGAGTTTTCTTAGTTTGTAATTATTTTATATACCTGACTTTTTCCTCCATTCAGCTTGTGAGAAGGACGTGCAGAAGGTGTGCGCCAACTCGTCGGAGGAATACCTCCAGCCCTTCAAGGTGAAGATGGAAGGATTTATATCTGCTGGTGAGTCGAGCTAAGAATTTTATCTGTGGCAAAGATGGAGACACATTATGGAAACCTTGTTCCAGTTATCAGTTTTGCTCTTTACTTTGTAGTGGTAACTTTTTAAATTCCAAATGTATGTAAATGAATCCTTTAATTATGTAGCTAATATGTAGTTGATCTAGTTGACATTTAACAAATTTTTTTTGGGAAACCCCCTCATGCACATTGGATTTAGAAACTGAAAAGTGCAATGCAAAAACAAATCACCACTGACCGTTTGGCACCAAAAGACAGCAAAAAAAATGCTTAATTAATGCTTTAACAAAATGTATAGAATTACTAATTTTTCCACATGCTGCCCCAATACACACTCGTATGTGTAATCTTTGAAGCACTCTTTCACTGGTTGTTATCCCAAAATATTGTCTACCCCTGAGATAATTAGAGTTGTGTCAGTCAAAAGGAGGCATAAGTTGAATATGTTTGCCCTCAGTCCTGCTCATAAGCTGGCCTGTCTCATGTAAAAAAAAAAAAATTAAAAATTCTCAGTGTCTTCAAAGATGAAACATTCATTTGGACAGAGGATTTACAGCCATGGAGATAGTCATAAAACCGAGCTTACAGAGCTAGAAAAGCCCCGTTTTCACACAGCATGGGACCTTTTAAAAAGAGGAAGGTATAATTATGTTTTTTGCCATGTCAGACAGTCAGCTGGGTGGTGCAGAGTGTGCGTGTGTGTGTCCTTGTTGGAAGAGGGTGTCTCGGTGCACTGTAAGACAACACGAAAATGGGAGTCTACTGGCCCGTAGAAGGGATCGCATTGCCTCTAACATGGTTCTCATGTACTCTCGGCTGCCATAAAGCCGGCAGGACATCTCTGGCTTCGGCCTTGTAAAGACTGGCCGGCCTCAGTGGATCGCGTCTGTGGACCACCAGCACAGGAGCAGAGCTTCCATGACAGGCTCTGATCATTTCGCCGTCTGTCCCCTGTCTGACCCAGACGCTGGTGCTCTCCTGCTCCCTTCATTCCCACCTTTTTATGTAGTTGTAGTAGCTCCAAAGAAAGAAAGGTGCTCAGAATCCCTCAATACCTAAATTAAAACGGTAGAGTGTAAAAATTTAAACACAAGTACTTTGGTCGGTTAATTAATGAAGGTGAATGTGTATACATTTCCCTGAGTTATAGCTCTCTTATTATCAAAATGATTGTCCATGCTGGCCATTAGAGCTGCTCTACGCTTGTTTCACCAAAGCTTTATTATACACAATCCTTGCTCTGCATAAGAGTGAATGCCATTAATGCACCTATGTTGAATTTCTTTTTTAAAAGGTTATTTTTTTGGAATTTGCATTTATTAATTTATTTATATGACAAAGTTAAAAGTGGTGATGCAGGCAGGAAACATGGGGAGAGACAGATGGGTATGACTTGCAACAAAGGTCCCTGGCTGGAATTGAACTGACTGATAACTGTCAACCACCAGGCAACCAGGATGCTCTCTGTTGAAGTTTATAAATACAATAATCAAAGCTGTAAGCACACAAGGCCTTTCTGTGCAATGTGTGCCATGTGTTCATCAGCTTCAAGTCACAATATTTTGTCTTAGTGACTCAGGAAAGTGTCCCTATTACAAAAGGACTAGGCTACATGAAAGGACTGATTGCCTGCATTACTTACAGAAACAATAGACTCACTCTATCATAAAAGAGTCTGTTGAGGTATCTCACAGGGAGATTGTAATGCAGAATAAACATTTATATTTGAAGTACAATTACTCAAAACACTTTTGTAATTGCATACTGAGTCTGTATTTTTGAAATGGAAATATGCCATGACATTGTTCTAGTTAGCTCGTCCACTTTAACTACTTCTGACTCCCTGGAGCTTTGGTCACTATCACAGAATATTTGAAAGCTTTTAAAACCACTGTGGCGGCCACTGGCAACAAAATTGCACTGGTTTGCGAAGGCACATCTTGAACATAAAATTTATAGATGAATACTTGTAAACCTTTATAAACAGAATTCCTCAAGTTGTTGCCCATTGCTTCAGGAGGAGCGGTGTGTAATCATCGCTTGTGATGATTCCACGTCTTCAAAAAAAATCAACTCACTCTCACTTCAAAGAGCGACTGAGGCTCTTAAGCTCTGACTCATCTATGAATGGGTGAATTTCTCACCCAGGTAAAAGGCTGAGGAGGCTGACCGCAGATGCACGTGTTTGACACATGATTTTAGATGTTGAAATTAACCGTTAATAGACAGTATTGAGAAATGCGTCTTAGAAGCCTCATAATATAAACTGTGTAGTGTAACTCATATGAGAGGATCAATGTATACCAGTGAATCAACAGGTAAAGATTTTGTACTAAGAGGCGTTTCTGAGTAGCACTGACCCATAACCCAGCCTGTGGAGAAGCTCACAGCGGGGCCTGCAGGTGAACCCAAACGCCCTGCGCTTTGCCTCCTAAACTTGCCTGTGTGATCTCTCCCAGATCTAACTGGGGATATCTCCGAAACCCAGTGATCCATTCTCTTATAAGGCTGTTCCTCTGGTTTTGAGCCTCTCAGTATACAGACTCCATAATGTACGTAGTGTTAATCTGATCTTGTGAACTGATTTTCTGGAATGTGGCTTTGTATTTCCGCTACAATTTCTTTCTCTCTCTATCATCTATTCTATAAAGTTAAGTTTTAATAAAAACTGCCTCCCAGATCAACATCTAATCAACCACCTTTTTGTTTCCCTTTTTAATAGGAGCTCTTTGAAACCTCTGGGGATACTCTGATGGGCATATTTTTCATGTTGAATACGAGCCATGACTAATTGAAAACAAACTCTTGCTTTTAATCTCAGCTTGTGTAAGTTTTATTCCCCTGGCGCTCTTAGGAAATACATGTGTATCATCACATCCGTGTGCTTTCTTTTGTTGTCAGTGAGTCAGACACTAATAAGCAAAATTCCACTCATTCAGAAGACTGTGAATTACACAGACCAAGCAGAATTTGCAGATAACAAATGTCTCAGGAACCTGTTTTTGACCGGAGAGAGGGATGCTTTATGGAAATCCTCAAGCATCCCTGGTACACTGCTTTCCATCTCTTTGTTATCTAGCTGCCAGGTATGGCAGCGGTTTGGAAAAGTGTGTCAGAGTTTTAAAGCCCTAATTTATTGTCCCTCTCAGCATGCACATCTCATAACTTTCTAGTTAGCGACTACTGGTCTCATGTTTACACAGGGAGCAGAGGAAGAGAAACTTCACACATCCTCTCTCTCTGGGCCACTCTCCCTCTCTCTCTCTCCCTCAGCCTCTCGGCTCCAGTGCCACCTCTGCACAGTCGCACCAGAGGGGTACCTCAGGCGCCAGCCTGACCCCCACTGAGACTAACACCATTGGTCACGGCCCCTCTACTCTTCCCCCCTCCTCCTTCTATCCCAGACATTGCTACAACCTCCCTTCATTAGGTTTATCCTTACTCGGCCCCCTTGCCCACATATATGTAAAAAAGTAAAAGGGGTGGTTGATCAGCGGCTTAAGCTCACGTTCTCCCAAAAGACCCCCAAAACTGCCTTTGAACAATTTTTTGGAGACTTCCCGCTCTTAAATCTTCAAGTAGAAAAAGGTCCCCCATCATTGTAAAAAGGATGAATCTGGAAAAATGCAATAAATCTGAGATCACAGGCACTCTCTGGCCCTAGATAAATTCTTGCACCTCGGCCTGGCCCGCCGCACACATCTGCCTTGCATTTAGACACTTTTACATGGCAGGAGTCCACAGGAGCCTCCAGTTCCCAAGCTTCTCTGCTCAACCCTGCGCCACTGCTTCAGCTCTTAGAACACGCACATGTATGTCGACACACACACCCACATCTCTGCAAACAGACGCACACCCAGGCGTCACAGGCTCACACTGTCATGCGTCAACGCACAGAATTACGTCAAACTTTACAATGTGCATAACTGGGTAACATGCTTGCTGCGTCAATGACATCTCAACCCAGAGCCCCTCTTCTTCTTTTCTCCTCAACTGAAAACTCTTTAGGATGGCTAATGAACACTGCGCCCCCCTCTGGACTTGGGATAAGTTCTCATTGGCTTGCAGAAAACTGGAAATATTTGGTAATCTATGTCACCAAAAGCCCCATAATCTGCCCCAGATCTTAACCCAGTATTTTCTTTTTTTCACAGCTCAAAAGGAGCATGCTGCTGAAGAGGACCGACTCAGTGCAGCACAGAAAAGGTAGGAGACCAACAACCCCAAGCCGAGATGCAATTTATATGAACGGGAATGAAAGATCCCGTTTGGATAGATAATATTTACATTTCCTGTGGATTTTATCCCTCAACAAGGGAGTTCTGCCAAGTGTTATGAATTGCAGAAGTCACATAGCAGCGTTGAATTATGTAGCATGCTTCACATAGATAACATAACTGGATCTGATAACACTATTGCTTGCTATTTGTATAGTTGTATACAGTTATTAGCACCAACTGATAAGGTTTCTGGTAAGATGAAGGAGCAGGTTCTCTGTCTTTTTAAGAAATTCAAACCAACTTTGACTAGATAGGGATTGTTGCATGTGATTTGGAAGTGATTTATTTTGCAGGAGAAAGCACCAGTTTACATATGCAATGTTTTAAGTATCTACACACCTACAAGATGCCTATGCTCACCAGAAACAGCAGTGGAATTCTACACACACATAACGCGCTGCATACTGTATTTTAAGCCTAAACGCCCTGTGCTTCCTCCCCTGCAGTTCCTACCATTCTTATCTGCCATGTTTTGCGCAGAAGACTCCCTAGAGTTTTCTGAGAGGCATCTGATTTATAGGACGTAAGACACACTGGCAGCCGCTGAGCTCGCTGTCCAAGCGAAATCATATCTGGAACATTTCATATTGTAAAAAGATGGTGGAGCAGACAAACAAAGCAAATAGATTATTTTTGCCTTGTTTGGATAGAGAGCAGACTTGTTTGCTTTATATCGTAACCCTCCCACTTCCAAAATAAATCATGAAAGCACATAAAGGAGAAAGTGAAAGACGACGGACGCAGGAAAATGGAAACTATAAACAATTACGAAGTTGATTGCTTTGGACAAAACTATAACTCAGTGAATGGTTCCAAACTGTTCTGTTTCATGTTGCTGTTTTTAAGCCAAGTGAATCACTGAGGAACTACTGCACCTCTCGCTCTCTGTCCTGGCCCCTCACCCCCACCCTCGCCATATACTGATATCTCTATCTGCTAAACTGGACATGTGTGTGGCACCACTGTAATGAAGGCTCTTAACTTGGAGGGGAATATTGATCAAAAGGGCCCCGCAGCTGACAGCACCTTTGCCTTTTAATGAAGTTTTCTTTTAATTTCATCTAAAGAGGGGGACTGGCTGGCTGACCGGCACTAGGTAGAGCAGGAGGGGCTCTTTCTCAGGTTCCCACAGAGCCACCTCATAAAAGTGACACGCTGTTGATGAATATGGGCGTCAGCGGGCTCACCGGGCCCTGGGTGGGCTCTCACATCTGTGCTGGATGAGGGATCCTCACACAATCACACAACAGCAGCAGTGGCCGCAGCATTATGGCTTGGTGTTAATAAAGGAAACAGACAACACATCCTTAATGCGACCCAATGTCTCGGCCTCATGAATGGTCAGTGTGTTTAGATGCCGGGAAGTCAACATTAACCACCAGTGAGTAGGACCGGGCGATATGAATCAGTATCGGGATATTGACAAGCCTCAGACGTTTCCAATCGATGTCCGTAGCACAGAGTATCGAAAATTGTCAAATAGGGCTGCAACTAACTATTTTCTTTACTGATTAATCATCTGGTTTATGAAATGTAAAAAAACAATAGTGAAAAATGTCAGTTACAATTTCCAGAGATACTTCACATTGCTGGTTTGTTTAAAAAACCAAAGATATTAAATTCACAGAAAAATTAATAAATTTAAAATAGTTGCTGATTGATGATTTTCTGTCAATCAACAAATCAATTAGTTATTCAAATTTGTGATTTTGGGCTACGTAATAAATTAAGTAAATAAACAAATTTGACTTCACTTTACTATTTGATCAGAGAATTTCTGATTATAAATGGGACTTTTACCTTTTTAAGACTTTATTTTTAGATTTTATTCAAAGTAAGGTATTAAAGAAAAGTAAGGTTTTAGAGTTAGTACTGAAATTCATGCATCCTATTGGCACTAGTATCAAATATACTGTAGCCTTAATAATTTTTAGCCATGCTAGCGCTGCAGCTCTGGTTGTATGGACAGCAAGGTCGGTTGATCTGTTGACCAGACTGAAAAATCCCAACTATCAAAGTGATTTCAATGAAATTTGGGATAAATCTTCATGCTCCCCTCAGGGTGAATTGTAATAACTTTGATCCCTTAACTTTTCATTTAGTTCCATCACCAGGTCAAAATTTTTATTTAAATCTGTGAATTAATTAATAAAAAAAACACTTTGGTTATCACCAAATGCCTGTAAAACTAAATCTACATCAGCCTCAGCTGTACTTTGGGTTTTGTGCTTGGCAGATGTTAGCATACTAACTTTGTGACATCCTGTGTGAAGTGACATTTTAATTAAGCTCAACTGTAAAACACCAGTGTGACTCTAAGTAACAAAGTTATTCTGACTGTAGGGCTCGTCATAGTGAGCGCTAATGCCTTTTTCTCAGCATGCAGTCCTAATTTGTCCGCTTCATGTTTGGGTTCCACTGAGGTTTTCTGGTTCTGTCCTCAGTTCCGTCTCATTAAGATCCCCTTCTCCCACATCATGCTCAGTTTCATTTGGCTCAACTGTCTCCTCTCCAGTCACCATGCAGCTACAGTTTCATAGATGCTATGTTGGTATATTATTCTACTCGGGGATTGTATGACAACAGTGGCACAAAATGAATTGAAGCAACATGGAGTTTACTTCTGTAATCTTTTGACTGAGGAAACGAAGGAATGCAGAGTTGCCTGTCCAAATATTTTCCCGATTCTCATGGCTGCTCATGGTTTTGTAATAGGTCTTTTTTTGTAGCTGTCAGTGAGGAATGCCGGCTGTGGGTGCCGCAGTAAACCCTCTCACGGCAATGGCATCATAGCATGGATTACAGAAGTGTGTGTTTGTGCACGTCTGTGTACAAGTGTAATTGTTCTGCTCTCGCAAATGAACAAAGGTCTGCTTGATTTTGTTTATGTGTAATAGGTATAATCACATGTGTGAGTGTCTTTGCATCTGTTTTGAGTGAAGCTTTGTGTATCTGCTTTTTGCATATGTCCAGGAGGGTAAAAGGAAAAGCACTGTTGCTTGATTTGTGCATGCTCTGACATGATGACCCAGGGTCAGGAGAGGAGCTGATGGAGAAGAGACCCTGTTCATCATGCCAGACCAGGCCAGCTGCAACAAAGCTACCTGGTACGGAAGGTCAGTTTGGTCAATCTAAACATCCCAGAGCCTGTGATTTCTTTTGTAGCATCCATGATGATCTACAGCACTCTACTTTTTTGAGCATCCCAGCAAAATGACGCAGCACGGGAAATGGGAAGCAGGCTCCCGCAGATGCCCCCTTTTTTTTTTCAGCTTTCAGCTAGCCGTCTGGGCAACATATTGTACCATTTCAATCCGCATGAACGTGTCTTAGATTAGCGTCGCAAAAAAGCCACCTAGCATCTGGAGGTCAGAGCCTATCTGGGTGTCAATGGGACAGGGAGCATCCCTTGAATCATAGCCGCGTTTTATCAACCCTTTGACAGGCGGGGCTAGAAAATGTCTTTCATGTTTGGGTTAGGGAGGGAATCTGAAGCAGCCGGCAGCTTTTATGCCTTGTGTGTGAGAGAATTGCAAAGAGTTCAGATTTGGTTACAGTTGAATTAGGCTGAGGAGCTAGCCTGGACTGAAAGTCCAGAATGTGTTTATTCACATAGATCTGATGTGTCCTCAAGTTTTTTCTATATGTGCACACCTGTCTTGAGTGGGCTTGCATCATGGGTATATATCACATCATATTCACTGTCATCTTTTATTGCCAGTAAATGTGTTCCTGGAGCTGTGTGTTGTTCGTCTGGAGGAGCAGCAGCAGCCCGTCCTGTTCTTGGCTGTCTCCGTCTCCTCTGGCAGTCTTCCCCTTGCAGGTTGTGGAGGTCAATGTGATAATAGAGCCACCGCTACTGGCTCTCCCCCATGGCCCAGAGGGGTGGACACTCTCCTTCCAGCTCTGTTTCTCGCCTCTCTGTCTGACTCTACATCCATCATTCTCTTTGTGCACTGTGTCTGTGTTTTTTACTCTCTGTTTGTCTGTTTTTCTTGGGCATGCACACCTTAGCTTTCCTTGTACTTTGCTGTTTATAACTTTGACTTGTAAACATAGAGCCGTTCACTGAAACACACTATTATTAATTAAAGTGTTTAAGACGTCACTTCTGTTTTCCCCCACAGTTTCCAGGACATGGTGAGCTACTTTGGGGTTAAGCCAAAGTCCGGGGAGAAAGACGTGACCCCGGGTTACATATTTATGCTTTGGTACGAGTTTTGCAATGATTTCAAGAACACCTGGATACGACAAAGCAAGAACATCTCAAAGGAGAGGTGAGTGAGGGTCGTTTAATTTCTTAGTTTCTCTCGAAAGACACATGAATATTAGTTTTCTTGTTGGGTGGAGTACTGCACAAGCTGTGGAAACAGTTGTCCACTGTGACTGTGATGGGAACTTTCTAAAGTCTGAAACATAGCATCCTGTGTTTTTGGAGCTTGACCTATACTAGGGACTAAAAGTTGTAGAATTTGACTGTTCTTTTTTGAATCGGCATCTTGTTAGTCCCCCAAACTACATGAAAAAGCAATGCTTAAATTCTAGAGTGCCCCTTTAAGTGATGGTCATGCAAACCTGACTTCCTCTATAAAGTCCATCCTGAAAATATCTTGTTTCTCTGTCAGTAGATGTACCACATCTCTGTAGAACCCAAACTTGGCTGCCAAACTGAGGCTTATCACCATCGGATAGGCACTTAACAACCTCTAGGCATTGTGTCAAATTAGCACTAACTGTACAAGGGTGATGCGTGGATGCTGGGCTGGAATTAAAGCAGAGGGGGCGCCATCAAAGAGGAGGCGAACAGGAGTAGCGGTGGCCTCGGCCCTCTGTATGAAGGACTGGGGGCCTGAATTTATGATGTTTCCTCTTGACCTGAGGCGTCATGTTGGGGGGGCATTCCACTGAGGGACAGCAGACCCCACTGGCGGCTGCCTGGCTTTACTAGCAAGCGGGCGGGGGCCTGTGGCCGTTAAAGCCAGCCTGTTATGGGAGAACTGATAAACACTGTAATGATGCTGGACATTTAGCCCAAAGGGCGGTACACTGCGCAGAGAGAAGCTGTTCGTTACTGGCCAGTCAAACTACGTGGTCATTTCAGGTTGTAGATTTAAATATCATGTGGATCCTTCATAGCTCTTGACACATATCATGAATATGGGCGTACATTTAGTGCCCCAAAGCCACTGCTCCCTGAATGAGCCGCCTTCTCCCTCAGTGAGATGTAGGAGTTGGAGTGAGATGTCACAGCCCCCTCCGTGGATGTGCTCTCTCTTAATTGTTTACTAGGTCATCGAGTCTCACATTACTCACAGCTGATTGTGCTTATGTACAATTAACTTTATTTTAAATACTGTTTGTGCACTCATAAAAGCCAAGTGTTTTTTAAAGGCTGCCTCATTATCTCATCAACCCACTGTCATTCTCTACTGCCTCTCACTTATAGGGCTTTCACTGACCGCAAACTTGTGAGAGGATAAGTGTTTGTGTGTGTGTGCGCGGGTTGTGTGTTAGACCCTACTTGGCTCCATGACACCGGGTGCCCCAGGGAGATACTTAAATGTCTTGCTCTTACAAACAAATTCACAAGGTCACAGTGATGAGAGGCTTCTGACTTTATATTGTTTTCACAAGTTACACAAGTTACACAAGTACTTCCAGAGCTTTCAGTGTGTACTTGTTTTTTTAAAGGGCCTGCAGATATTTAAGTACTTGTGGATTTTTTTATCTCCATAGATTGAAGGAAGCGCAAGAAAACATCAAGAAGATCACAGCAGAGAAGAGAGTCGAAACCAAGAAGATCAATGCCAACAGTCTGGTAAGAACTGCGATCTACGAGCAGCATAGAGATGGGATTTCCTTGAAAGCACCGAAGTCTATGCACTGAATCTTTTTGTGGTTCTCGCCAACAGAAAGAGAGGCTGCGGCAGAAGGAAGCCGGCGTGTCCTCCAGCTGAGTGGAATGACACAGCAGAAGGAGAAATGAGTGGTGGTGGTAAGAAGGTTGGAGAAGATCACAGATCAGAAAGTGTGCAGGCCTCATATCTCCTGTGTTTACCACCTGCCTCAACAACAGCCCCCTGTGCCCCGTAGGGACTCTCAGTAAAACCTCGCCGGACTCTTACTTACTCTCACTGCCGTATCTCTGCCCTACTAACAGCGTTGGACACCCCCCTCCCTGCCCATCCCCACCCTACACTCCACCACCCTCACGTCGAGCTTTTTCTGTCCGCCGTTCAGATAGAAGCTAGGCCTGCAGCGAGGATGCATGGCTGACATGGCAGCAGTGATAAGGGTCTTAAAGGCTAAAGGTTGATCTCATTCATCCACCGTGGCGTGACCTCTGAGTGCCCAGCTTGTGAAAGGTCTCAAGGGGTCAGTGGGATTCACAACAGCGCCAGCTGACACATCTGCGCGAGTGTTCCTTCTGGATCTACAAGAGCTGAGAAACCATTTCTTTCTGACCTGCAGATGTTACACCAGACAGCAGAATGATATTGCTCCTGTATTGAGACATTGTTGCTTTTATATGAACAGATGCAGCTGCCTGGAGGTTTTTGCTCAAAGTAAAATCCTTGTTGATAAAACAGATCTCTCTCTGGAGGCAGAAAATTTTTTTAAAAAAAGCAGTTCCCAGTGTCCTTTTCTGTAGCGAATAGCTTTTCAGTCACCATGGCTCATTAAAAGTCTTGTAAATATGTCGTGTTGTAGAATCAAACTGGGGCCGTGGGGCTTTGAGTACGATAAATGATCTGCGCTGGGCTTCAAGTCCGATGAAGACATGTTGCGTTTAAATGTGTGTGTCAGTACAGCACCCTTCTGGTACAAATCAGTACGTGTATTGGGTAGCACTGCACCAGACTGACCTCTCCTGGGTGACAGCCAGAGAAGAGCTGAATCCTGGCAGCGAGCCTCGGCCTATGAGCCCCAGCCCCCTCTCTCACACACACACACACACACACACACACACACACACACACACACACTCTAACATGTACTTAGAAACATCAGAAGAACACAACCAGTTTTGGCCATGCTCCCACTCTCACCCAAGATATTAAATATAAATCATGCAAACTCGTTACACTTGTAAATCCCGGCACACTTTTAAGCACTTTACTGCTTGCAGAACTTGTATGTGTCGTAGCTCGCTATAAGCCACACTCCCCCTGTTATGCTAAGTGCGTGCTTTTTTTTTTTTGGCACTTTTTTTGTACCTCTCTTCCTATGCAAGGGTATTGTTTCCATGTTATAAGATTCATGAATTGTATTGCTTGATGATTTTTTTTATTTTTAAGAAAGTGTATTAAGCTCAATTTTCGCAAATGTTAAGATGTGACCACGTTCCTGTAGCGTTCTAGAAAAGTCTATTTATGTAAGGAAAGATTTATTTTATGGCAAAAAAAAAACACATCAGCTTTGCTCTTGTTGAGGCTGTATTTTTATTAGTTGTAACCGAGAAGCTGCCTGATAGGTCAGTCAAATGAAAGATATATTTTCACATGGATATTACATGTATGCTGTGCCCACTGATTTACAGAAAATGGGGTAATTTGCTTAGAATGAAGACCGTTACCTTTTCTGTTGCAATTCTGGAGAGATGAAGGGTGTTATTTTGGGTATTTAGAACATTTAAGCATATCACCTGAAGCCATGTGAGTTGTTATACCTCAGATAGACTTCCATTATCAGACTATCCATACAACTGCACCTTGAATTACTCTTTTATCCTCCAGTCTTTCACGTGTGCCATTTATTTTGTATAAAAATCTAGTTATTTCATAATTTTAAACTGCTGTACTTTTGAGGGTTTGGAAAAACAAAAGAAATGATCTGATACTGACCAAGGAACTGCTGTAGCCTCTACTGTATGTATGTCGGTTCTTGTAACCTTCAGTAGCTCTCGTGTAGGTGCTCTGTAATTTTATGGAATTGTTTTAAATTTCAAGAATAAACTACTGGATGCCGAACAAAGTTTTCGTCTGTCAACACTTCCATTAGGCCGGCTTTTAGAAGCCCATCTGCACACTGAGCAAATGTGATATTTATGTAAGAAACTTGACTCATCAAAGAGGATTTGATGCTTCATAAATCAGCTATGCTGTTCAATAAACTGTGAGTCAGAGTTAAGTCATTCAATCAAGCCTCCTTTATAGACAATAAAACGTGTTCCTGGAAGACTCCTTTAAATAAACTGATTATCACTGTGAACATGAGGAATTTGTCACATCACTTGAAGTTTGTTTTAAGCGAACTATGATTTTAGGAATGTGAAATTTAATGAGATGCACATTTCAGTGTTTTAACCATGTTTTGTTCTATCAAAAAACAGTCATTCTGTGTCGTACAATGGAAATGTAGGACCTGGTTTACAAATTTAGTCATTTAAAAAAAACTGAATAGCATAGCATGGTGCCTTTGCATCAAGAAAATCCCCATTTGGTTCTGTTTTTTTTAAGTTAGAATTTTTGACTGTAGCATTTCCAGATCATCACACTAAAATAATCCTAAAGTTTGTCGCCATGACCAGCTACTATAAGGGTGATATTCAATATATTTTGTAATTAAGAACAAACTCCAGTAAAAGTTGGATGGGTGTCATTTAGGCAGAAAATCCCTCATTTTGCACCACATTCCACCTTTTCAGTCCTCTGATAGATTTGCCAGCCATGATGTAACAAAACATGGTGAAGTTAAGTGACATCATTTCAGGGGATAATTGGAACAAGTTACCGCATCTTTTCTCATAAAACTGACTACCTTTACGATGAAATGTAATCCAAGGTCTGCACAATGCTTCATGCAGCAGGAGAGCAGTAGATGATGAGGGAATAATTTAACACAGTTTAATACACCGTATTACTTTTCATCCGGTGTAAAGTAACAGATGGCATGCACAATATTCCAGCATCCGTTTATTTTATGTATTCGTGGATAATTTAATCAAAGGGATAAAAAAAACTGTTACATCAAAGATGGCTTTACATTTTTACAACTATTAGGCCTAAATCTCGATACTGTAGAAACCCCCCACTGTACATTGTCCGTTTTAACTAACAAAGAAGCCTATTGTCTCTACAACTGAGTAGGCACAGCTTACAAAAAAACTTTACTGATATACTAAATTCACAGAAATCAGTTAACCTCGAAAGATTCTTGAAATATCGAAATCACATTTTCCATTTACAAATATCGTCACAGCATCCATTAAATTCCACACAGTGGAAACAGCCAGTTAAACGAACTTATATAATAACACAAAAATTTGGACAAGAATGTTTTCCTGCGTTTTGAACAGTGACTTGATTAAATAAACCGGGATTATGCAGTCCTCTTGGGGGGAGGAAGCCGTGCGTAAATTGTGCCCATTCCAAGTCAGCGTTCCCGTGCAGTGATGCTTGTTGTCAGATTTTGCAAACTGGTGAGGAGTAAACTGTTCTTTGCAGTCCAGCGTCATTTTATTAATTGCATGTCCATATTTGTTGTCACACGCTGTGCAAGACGAGAATCGTTGTAGCCTACACGTAGGAAGCCTTCTTGGATGTTTCCTCCTAGATGGAGATAGGCACGTGTTCCTGGCTGTGTGACAGCCTTTCTTTTTTTTTTTACTGCCAACAATCCTGTCTGCAAAGAATAAGAATATGAAAACACACACACAACACATTTCTGTGCGTCTTTAGTCCAGGTCTATGGATATACAGCGGCACTGTTTGACGCGCTGGATGCGTTTCTTCTTGGTGGGTGGCTGCTGGTCCGGACAGTTCAAAGTAAAAGTCATGGTGGTAAAACGCTTCGGCTTGCAAAACGAACAAGACTGGAAGGCTCCCTCCTCCCTGCGGATGTGCCTGGGGATGTAGAAGGAGTTGCACTGTCCGTAACAAAATCGGTTGATGATCGTGCGGCTGACGCAGCCCTCCTCGTGGATGGTCTGTTTGAGTGGCTGCGTCTTACACCAGTCCCGTTTCAAATACTGGCGCTCCGTCACATGTAACGCTTCCTGGCTGGACTCCAGCACCTCGTCGGCCGGTGAGGATGAGCCCTGCCTCTGCCGGGACCCGGAGCCCGCCTGCGGAGGCTGCGGTTGCTGCTCCGATTCGTTTGGGTTGCTTTTGTCAGGATGAGGAATGGCGCCTTGTGAACCTCGGTTTCTTTTGGAATCCACGGCAGAGGATAGCAACCCCATGATGAAAACCATACTGCACAAGATACGCGTAGAGTTTGCCATCCTTAGGGGAGAAGAAGAAAATAATTCATCACCTACACCGTTTCAATTCTGGACGGGTTACGCACAGCTGTCAAAGCTTTTACGCTGCGTAAAAACGCACAGATACAGCTCGCTTTCTTGAAACCGCATGCAAAACGAGACTATAGTGCAAAACAAAATAACTTTGAATTACCTCAGTATAAATATCTGAGTGGAAAAATAGAATGCCTCGTGTGTTATGTTCCCGTACTTTATATATGGCGATCCATTATCCTTTACGCAAAGGAATGCCACCAGGTTTAGTCAAAGCATATACACTTTCTTATGTTTAATAAACCATCTACATATTCACACATACAAACCAGTTGATTACAACAATGCATTTCTTTCTATAGGCCTACACCAAATAAAGGTCAAATGTAAGTGGCAGAAGACGATGCGAGTAGACGTTATGGTGCGATCAATCCAAATCCACTCACCTGTGCGAGCCTCCACTGCTGCAAGTGCGATGATCTGATCCTGTCAGTCCTCTACGGCACCGTCCGAGGTGATAAGCACCTACTGCTGTCGACTGAACACTGGCGGGACTGTGAATGGGTGGGAGACCAACCGCTCCATAGACAGGGGCCAGGGGGTTTAAAACAAATTGCTCCAGCGCCGGACTGTCTCCCTTTTAAATGTCTGCCAGCTGAGATGTGCAAAACAGTTCCTTCTACATTATTGGCTAAGCACGATGTAGAGAAAATCAAAACTATCCGCCCCCTCAACACTTCCCTGAACCCACTTCAAGAAAACAGACAACCGAGGAATAGCGAGGGGAGGAGGAAGGGGAGGCGAGACGAGCCGAGAGCGGACAGGCCCGAAGTGTATGCGCACATGGAAAAAGTAAAACAGTTGTTATTTTTTATCAAAAGGAGCACGATGATAATGCTGTGCAGCATAGCCACATTTTAAAACGGAAAGGAGGCGTTCACAGTCCTCACGCTAACTAAAACAGGCATACACTCCAATGATGAACTTAATTAGTAAAGTTGACTGCCACATCACAGCTCACCTGTGAGTCCTCAACACACACAGCATTCTAAAGTGGATTCATTATAGACAGCTGAATACCAGAGACAGTACTGAGCCATCTGTCAGGTTAGTTAGTTAACAGAAAAATAAAAATGGCCTAAATTTGCTTAGAATATTTGGAATTTCAGGAACGCAGCATGGTATAAATACTTAAGTATTCCTTGCTCCATTAGACAGTCTTATCATTGTAGTTATTTATTGTGCGTCTTCCTAGTGTACGTTTATACTCGCATGCCCAAATTAGGCCACTATAAATGAGTTATCGGGAATTTCATGGTCCTTAATTCAACGCGAATGTAATTTATTGCGCCCTATGGTAAAATAAATTAAAGAAAAATATCGTTACTAGTTTCTAATAAGGCACCTTTTATAAATGTAACTAGTTTTGTTCGTTATTAAATAATTTACTAATGCTTTATTAATGATTATTAAGAGCAATTTTCTAGAGGTTGTGAAATATCCCTGATGTCATATCGTTTATTGGCTAAAATCCAGATGTTGATCATCTATTAATAAAGCTTTCTAATAATCTACAAGTTATAAATGCAAATAAGTAGTTGAAAGATTTTGGTCCAGATTCTCTTCAGGTTTTTCCAAAACTTTAATGGTCTGTTAGAGCGTCTACTTGATTATCTAAATTACTTTCTAAAAAATATAACCAAGTGTGAAGTAAAGAGATTTTTCACAACCTGGAAACACAAAATTAATGGATTATGACTGCCGTATAAAACATTAGTAATTTAGTTATTAATTAGCCTATATAAAAAGGCTTTAGTTGCACCTTTAAAATCTCCTGTGAGGGGTGGCTTTTAAGAAAGTGGTGTCTAAATACCTATAGTAAGACAACCGACCTTTGTTGAGGAAAGTCACCTTTTCAGCCCTGATATTCTGGAAATTGAAACTCCAGCACCTACACTGTTGTTGGTTATATTTAGGCAAAATATTCAACGTACCTTTAACATACCATAACTCATTGTCGAATAGTCTGTTACATCATGTAAGCCGATTTCATGTTCTTTCAGAAAGGTGAAAATTTGGTGGACTAACATCGCACTGTCTTCTTTAGCCGCGAACTCATCTGCTGAACACATGGCCTCTGCAACATGTTATGTATGATAACACACCAATATAGACACTGAGCTACAGTGATAATAAGAAGCTGCTGTAGTAGCGGAACCCTTTGGACAATCTATCCGACTACACATGAAAAGCACGCGGGCCTCACAATGTGTTGAGAATGAATCTCAGGGAATGATTTCGACCTTCACCTTTTCACAGGCTCCTCTTCTCATTCTTTATAAGAAAACATATCAGCATAGGTTTGAGCCCGGTCCATTTCAGCTTGTTGGGAATTGTATTTTCCACTGCTGTGCAGACACCCGATTTTGCACCAAGCAGACAGATAAATGTTTATTTTATGAAGGAATCTCCAGAGAGGCTGATTACATCTTTTCAAATGTTACAGAACCAAATTTGTCCAAAGAAATGCTGCAAACAAGCAGTGAAGTAAAACATTTGATCAGGAATGTGGTTGCAACGGACCAGCCGAAACAAGGTTTCTGACAGAATACATTCCTGAGCCCTATTACGACATGACCAGGAGCATGTTTCACAGAGGTTGTACGACTCCCCCTTGTGGCTCCAACAAAATGCCTAACTATTTATCCAAAACGAGGAAGAATTCAACCAAGGAGAAAGATGTATGCTGATTTTATTCGTCTGAAGCAGTTCACATGGCAAAGCATTTTACTGGCTGTTGGTTTTGAAATGAATGGACTGCAATAGACAAATAAGAGATCAATACTGCTTGGCTTTTTTTCTTCTTTCATAGGATAAACAAAAAGGTGCATTTTCTCTTTTTTTCCTGTTCATGACAAGACAGTAAGAAAATATTCTCTAATAAAGAAACAGCTGAAACTGTTTTTTATATTACAAAAAAACCCCATCTAACTACAGATTAGATATAATATGCATAAATAAAAGCATAAGACTTGATCTAAACATTTCCAGTCATACCATCAATCACAATTCACATAATTTGGTTTACACTCTAATGTCTAAAAACTACGCAACATGCGATCATGTAGGCTGTTGTGTCGATACTTCTAAAGTTGTTTTACTAGAGTAAAACAAACTTAAAGCATATGAACACCTCCCATTAAGGCCCTAACACAACACAAACAGCACCTACAGTAGCTAAAAATAAATTAAAACCCCTGAATATACGCATAACATAAGACGGTATGTTTGACGTCACATAGCCCTACCAGACAGAGACCTGCATAGGACGGAGGGAACATAAAAGGCAAAAAGATTTCAAACTATAAGTCTACAGGCCTGGTGGCGGACATCAGTCGTCCTTGGTTGAGAGGGTTTCTGGGTGAACCTCTGTAATGGTTCATGTCCTTCCCTACTACCTGCTGCACAAGAGGCTTCTGAGCTCCTGATGGATCAGGCACAGAACAGTCCACTTTTGTCTTTGGTTGGACCTTGTTGGTCATGTCGTCCAGAGCACAGGCCTTGGGTTTACGGGCCAAGGTGCTTGGCCTTTTGGGCGGGACTGGAGGTGCTTTCTTTATGGGACAAATGCTGTTGGACAGTCCCATTTGTGCCTCCCCCTGGTAAGGCTGAAGCTGTGAGTGAGGGGACAGGCCACTCTCCAGGCTTACGGCCTTCCCCAGTGGACCACCCTGGCTGAGTTCTGCATGTCTGGTGGGTCTCCTGCTCTCCCCCAGCAGAGTGTTCATCCTGCGGATAGTTTGACGCACAGGGGTACGCTGGAACTTGAGTGGCGATCTGGTTTGTTTGGCCATGGAGCCTCTGGGAGACCGCAGTGTGAGCTTGTTGAAGTGATGAATGTGGTCTGCCACCCGGCGCTTCTCAGTCTCCAGACTGCGTGGCGAGAGGGGTTGTTGTTTCTCGACTTCGGAACATCTGTTTTTTTCCTGTACCGCACTGACTATAGTACCTGGAGGTGTACCAAGCTCACCTCTGAGTTCAAAGTCCAGCTTGTAGGGAGTGGACTGCAGCCCAGGGGAGACACCCAGTTTAAAGGGAGCCGGACTGTGGATGTCCAGAGCATCGATCAGCCTGCTGCAGTTCACCTGCTCTTCCTCCCTTTCACTCTCTACCACCACGAAGCTGTTGTGGCTACTGATGGGAGCATCACAGAAGGAGTCTTTGTCCACCTTTAATGCTGGACTACAGTATACATCAGACTCGGAAACTACACTGTCAATATGCAACGGTGATAAAGTGTCAATTTCACTGTGGCCAAAGGTAATGTTGTGATCATTAGCCAGAAGGCTCTCTGGAGCTGGAAAGCTGGAGGCCTCTGTGTCCACAGACAGAACTCTGCCTGTAGGAGTCTGCGGTGGCAGGACTAGGATGTTGTCTGACGGGTTTGTTGCGCATGTTCCTGTAGAGTTGCAGGGGTCCTGTATGACAGCTTGGAGGTCACTGTCCGACTCAGCGAATGCAGTCTTTATTTTCAGCAGGGTGGGACCGGCTCGGTTCGGGGCTTTAAGGATGGAGCACTCACTCTCCAGGCTCTCAGCACTGGAAGCACAACACAGCTTCTTGGGAAGGCTGGCCACTGCTGGGGGTTTTGATATGACAATGGCTGGCTCAGACATGTAGTTGGTCTTTAGGCACATGTTCATGGGGGTGTCTGTGAAAGATCCTCTGCTGAAAGCCTGGGCTCCTACAGGAGTCTCCCCGCTCCATGAGATCTGGTGGACACTTGAGTCATATTGCGGGGTCAGCAAGTTGTCCTCAGACTTACTGATGTACTTGGAGCCTATAAAACAAAGTGGGATATTAGTAGCCATTACAACTCAAAGGACTACATCCCGAAGTAGTTTATTAGATTTGTTCTTTTGGTACTCACTTTTGGATTCAGCCTTTCTAGGCACAGCAGATGGAGTGAACTCTGTCTCTTCGGTAAAACAAAACCTGGTGGTGCTCTCCTGAGTGGCAAGTCGCCAGCCAATGGACTCAGACCCCTTTATCACCAGCATGGAATGAAAAATGAAATGAAAGAAAGTTGGAGGATTATGTTGTTAATAAGGGACCCCCACAGATGTCACCAAAAATCTATAATTAATGTTAATTCCATGATCGTTGTGGTTAGTTCTTCAGAGGATGACAAAAATCACTCAGAAGAAACAAGACTGGATTTGTTGGCCAACAACTTTTTATTAAGTCAAGAATATACATTATAACTATAGAGAATTATTAAGTTTTAACAGCTCACCTTATTTACCCCACAACAGGTTACAATATATTTTATATCTATATAGTATATAACAACATTCACCTGAGTGCTTAACACAGCAAATCACTGAAAACCGAGCACTAGAAATATCCTGTGGCTTTGTACCATACAAGTAGGAACACAATTTACTATTACACATTGTAGAAAAGTTACTGAAAAAAAACAATACACATTATTTTTAAACCTGTGCACCTATTAGTTTAAATGTTAGTTACTGAAAGTAAACTATGTGTGCATTACACAATAAAAAAGTGCTGCTGTGCAACAATTTATCCGTGTGCAAATGTGTTACTTGATTTTAATACAGTGCAAACTGCAGCATATGTCTGAATGCATCTGATTTACACCACACTGTTCTCTATCTGTGAACCGGATGAGTGGAATGTGAGCTATTTCAGGCAACCACACTTACAGCATCTTTGCTGCTCTTCCCCATGCTAAAACGCAATCGCAGATATTTGTGTGGTGCTTCTTTCTTGCTGGCTTTAGGAGAAAAGCAGCCGGCACTCCCAGATTCAACTCTGAAAAAATGATATACATTCAAACAATTACCACTGTAAGATAACCTAGAATACCATGCAACTCTGATATTTCACAAACTGTTATCTCTCTGTGTAGTATAGCATTGTGGAAAATACATGGTTGTGCACAATACATTTTATGGCATCTTTTAAAAATCAGGGACTGTATGTTGTGAATGTTTGTTACTGCACCTTACTATAATTTGTAAATCACAGAAGGTGCAATATTTTTTAATGGTGATGTGTGTGTCAAAATAACATTTTAAATTAAATATAGTTGTGCTGCAGAGATGTCTTCACCTAAACATCATATTCAAGAGACTTAAGAAAACATTTGTTTTTTCAATAAAAATTTGAATAATGATGGGAAAATTATCATTCACCCTAGTTTTTCCAAATCTTTTCACAATATCAGTCAAAATAATTGCAATTCGGTGTTTTTTTCCCCCAAAATCGTTCAGCCCTAGTACATGGCCACACTTTTATCATGTTGTCTATGAGACACAAAACATAATTGTGAATTTTGAAAGGTAACTGGAGGACAGTGAGTGAGAAAGTGTGTACCTGTTGACAGCATGCCTGTTGCTAAGTCGTCGGCTCTTCCTCCTCATAGAGGTAGTTGAGTGCCTTCTAGACCTCCCTGCTGATGACTGGGTATTTTGGGAAGAGTCCAAAACTCCAGAGGCACTGTTAGCTGGGGGGGGGGGGTTATAAATAAAAAATAAAAAGGGGGGCAGGAGGGCGTGTAAACTTAACCACAAGCTTTAGATGTAGTTAAATAGTTGATGCCCATTTGATCAAACAATCATCAATACCTGATCCAGGCGTGGACGTCCCGCTGAACAGAGTACTGGGAAGTAATTCTATCCCAAGGTTCTTTTTGATAGATCTACGTTTTTTGTTTGAGAATCCAAAGGAGTGACCAGACTCCAAAGGAAGTTTTCGCTTTGAAGATGGTGTTGCAATCACAGGAGTTGCAGAAGAAAAAACTGGCAAAAATCACAAAATTAATAACTTGAAAAATTAATGTTATAATAAATTTAGGATTTGCTGATTTAAATTTGAAAACATTGTAAAGATGATTCTGAGCCAAGTCATTGAGAGGAATTAGCAGGTCTTAGCAGGAATAAAATGTGTGGAAGATGATACGTGCAAATGACAGGCAGTGAGGCAAAGAAAACAAAAGCCAATAGACATTTGAAGCAAGGCATCATTTCACATCACTCCAATAACTTCATATTCATTATCAAGGGAAATGATTCAATTCATTTGAACCAGAAGAGAGAAAGCTTGTCATTTCATGTGCACAGCAGATGGTAGGGATGCACTGAATGTTCGGCCACCGAAATTAAACGGCCGAAAATAGCAATAAAAGCACTTTCGGTCAAGTTAAGTCAAAAGTTTAACCGAACAATTACGTTGACATGTCGGCAGTGTGGAAGCATTTTAAAGTGGCTGAGAGGAGAAGAAAGAAAAACAAAAACACACAAATCTGACCCGCTTTGAGTGTTTGTCACTCGTTTCTGAGAAGGCGATTAAGCTAGCCACCTAAATTTGGAGTGCACATGTATTCAAGCCTTTATGGTAAATACACTGAAACGGACAGGCAGGTTAGCGTCTTTATCCTATTATTTTCTTTTTTTACAAAGACAAGTGTTGCAGTATGAGAGTCCTACCTGAAGAGAGGCTTTGAAGTCTTCATGTTACGCGATAGGAGAACCACATACAACATTATTTATCAAACTGGGTCGGACTTGATGAATTTAGCAGAATACACATGTGACAAAGTCCGGTTTTCAAAATAAGGTGTCTACAGTATCGAAATAAGATTAATTGGATTATATTCACAGAAAGTATAAAATATATTACATGTGTACATTCAAAGTAAATGGACAATGTAATTTACTTTATCGGACCCTCTTGGGCCTCAGACCTAACCACCATAGTCCCTCCAAATCCCGTTGGAAACACTGAGTAAAAAGCACATTTTGACTATTTAATTTATGCAAATGGTTAAAAAAATAAATAAATGGAAAAATGTGAATGTACTTGTTCGGTAAATTTTTTCATTATAATCGGTTTCGGTCAAGTATTTTCATTTCAGTGCATCCCTAGCAGATGGTTTGCTACAGTATCATCATGCTACACGACAGGCAGCATTATTCTGACCATAGTACCTACCAAGACTGTCTGACTGGGTGGCATTTGTTGGTGTTCTATTAGTTTTTATCTTACTCAGAGCACCATTGACCATATCTGAAATATGAGACAAACCGAATCATATAAACAATCTCTAATGATTAAAGTTGCTTCAAAATACCATGATTGGAGCTTATCTGGCTAATTCGAGATTTGATTTAAACCTTTGCATATCGCAGCTTTGACCAAATAAATAAATGTCTGATGATATAGCCTTACCTCCAAAGCTTCGTCTGTGTCTCTTCTTCATCCCTGAGTCCAGCTCCTCAAGTTCATGGTGAGAAGGCGACAGACCGCCCGCCTCACAGCCAATCATGGCTGGAACTTTCTCTAAAAGAAACTGAGGTAACACACCTGTAACACACAGACATGGCCAAACTTTTAGTGCTAAAAAGCTACAGTGTGTACTGACCCAAACTGACCTGCATCATGACGTACCAAAGTTGTGGGCATTCTCTATGAAGCAGTGTATTATGGCTGCCTGTAGCTTGAGCCGTTTCTCCGTGTTGGCGTTCATCTTCTCTGTACCGTCTCCAAAGTGAAGGAGATTGGGAGCCAAGATTACAGACAAGTTACTGCTATCCATCTTATTCTCTGCACTCCTGCGAAGCAAAGAACAACAGTGGTATGTACATGAAGACAAAGGTAAAATTATGTTTTATGTAACAAAGTAATCCAAGTAAATATAATTCTGGCACCTCTTAGACACATTGTGGAGGAAGTCAAAAAAGTGACGCAGGACAGTTTGGTTTCTGTCAGGTAGTACACATGACAGGAGCATGGTGGCCGAGGTCCTGTCTTCCATGGTGGGGAGCTGCTGGGCCTTGAGGAAGGCCTCCTGCAGCTCTGTGGGTAGCACGGGCTCTGGCAGCTCCCTGAAGAACTGCTTCACCAGACCGGCCACATCACAGGGAAGTGCAGTAAACAGGCACTCCTCGCCCACATCTAATTTTGCCTGGAAAGAAAGGAGTGGAGAGAAAAAAAAAAACAAAAGAAGAGAGACAGCCCTGTTGGTTAAGACCTTTATCTGGGTCAAGGTCCCTCAGTAAAGTGTGGCAAGGTGAACTTCACCTATCACTCACCCGCAGTGCTTTCAGGCGAACGACAGAGCCTGATTTTCTGAACAGGCCCTCTGTGTCGACATGTGCCATGAGTTTCTGACATGCGTCAACCAGAAAGCTGAGAGTGCAGTGAAATGTCATTAGTACAAGATGGGACAAGAAATAACATGCCAACTGTACGCTCAAGCAAAATTAAATTAGCGTGTCCACTTGCCTTGGCACTCTCCCACATTCCATATTGTAGTACGGTAAGTTCTCCAGAGATACCCCGAAAACCTTTGTCTTGGGGAATAAATGATAAAAAAATATGACATCAACTCCACAATGTTAGATTTTAAACCGGAAAGCTCAAACTTTATCAGCATCGGACCCCTCATGTATTGATCTATGTCAAAATTTTGGACGCATTGTGTTTTTTTATACCATTAAAATTTGTTTTCTATGACCAGAGGAATTTCCCTGACGCACATTTGTACGACTTTTGATCAGTCAGTTTGATGGCTGTCTGCCAGACACTCCTAAGTTTAAGAGATCAAAGATGAAAGCTCACTTTGTTGTTTTTTTAAACCTCAACAGTGTGAATCTGTCCAGTGTTTTTCCATACAGAAGAATTACTTAATTTCAGCTCTTAACTTCTTCACATAATCTAAGGTTTGTGGCATTTTTCTTCCTACCACATTTTAAAGCATTTCCTGCAAATGCAGAAGTTCAGCTTTCATTTGAAAAGTCACAAAGTCTCTCGCAACAAACCATGTGACTCCCTGTGAGCCACTTACATAAAGCGATTAAGATGAAACTGTTTTTCTGGGTTAGTTTTGAAATTAACTGCTACAGAGGGTCTATTGCCAAAATGTCCCCAAAAAAAACCATCAACCATAAACATTTATGAGAAAACACTGCCCGTTTAGTGTCTTGTTAGACTTGGCTTTCTATTGCTGGTGAAGAAATTTATGGTGTGAATAATCGCAAGAACATCCAAACAAAGCATCTGCAGTGACAGACATGGGTGACAACGGCCAGTGAACAAATGGGTCTCATCAGTGGGGGCATGCTTTCATTAATATGCTAATTTGATTCAACAGCCTAAACAAAAGTATATCCAAGGTTGAAACTGGCCACTTGTTGATTCGTAGTAACGTTAGAGATAGTCAAGTCACTGCAAATGAAACCCAAATAAATCATGCACTGATGTAACGTTACATTCGCAATTGGTTGTCTTTAAACTTACCGAGCCGCTGGCTGTTGCCTTAACGTTACAGCTGGCTGCTTTGCTTTTGTTCCAGTTCTTTGTCTTTATCCCATAAGCTGAGCGCAAGTGTTGCACAGCAACAAGGCGCATCACGTTTTTCTCCATAACTTTCATTTTACACCCCTAACTTGTACCTTCAGATGCACTTTGCAACAATTCGTTCACTCTTTTGTCAGGACCAAAGTAAACTTGACATTCGTTGTATCGGTCCGGTCCTGACCCCGAGCCTTTCTAACTTTCTCCACCCTTCTGAAGCTAACGTTAACGTTAACTCATCCTCACGTGAATCGGAACTGCTCAAAGATCTCCACAGCAGCCAACAGCAAGAGCTACAGAGCTGCTCAGCCCCAAGGAGATGTTAACAACCTGACTAACTTTACTGTACCGAGCGCTTATTCAATGGCTAGCTTCATGCCTCAGTTCCGGTTGCTATGCAGTTAGCTAGCTAACATGATTCGGCTAGGTTAGCAAACCACATTAGCTCATTAACAAGCTTCTTACGCAAACAAACAACATAGCTTCTCGGTGTCTCACGACTTAAACGTACTCTTTACCTCTTCTCAAATGGTGAACTGTGTGAATTACACAGATTTAAGCGTCAGCTAGCTAACTGCATTGAGCTACGGTTGGCTCGTCAAATCGGTTGCTGTTGCCAGGCTGTCTGTTTCCGCAGAGCATTCAAACAGCGGCGCTCCCTACGCTCTACGCTGTGATTGGCTGGAAACGGTTCGAATAACATTCTCTGAGGCGCGTGTTTTATTATTCAGGGCAGCCTCACTGAGCGGGGCGGTTTCTGTCGTGCCAGATGAAAATTCAAGTGGACGCTTCTTGCCAACCGGTTGACTCTGTAAATCAAAATAGTCGCCCCTTTGACACGGGAAATGCACAGCAACTGGACTGCACGTTTTGCCATCATACTACACTTCTCAGCCATGATCTTAACACACAAACCCTATATTTGATTAGGTTCTCAAATGTTAGATGGTGAAACTCCAGTCAGCCTGTTTTTATGCACTTATGGCGCTTGATGTATAGTCTCTGTGTGTACACCATTTGATAGCGCCTTTGAAAACAATGTCCAGCGTGTTTAAACCAAAACGTTCCAGGTTGAAATGAGTTGAAGATGACCAGACTAGGGCCAATCCTCATAGATGCTGAGACCAAGAAATGATGTAATGATTGCAGAAGTGCTGTGAAGCACTAAATGATAACAAGGCTGTGTATTGCACAATACGTTGACCCTAGCAGACTGATGGCCATCCTGGCTTTAAGAAAGCTTAGTGTAAAGATGTGGAAAGATTCAAGCCATAGACTGTATAAAAAATCATCGCTACATATCACTACATATTTTTAATGCCTGTATAAATGTAATCTTTATATCTGTATCTGTATAACTGTATCACAGTTGTCTTTAAAACAAAGAAATCTAACCCTAGAGAAGAAGGAAAGTAAAACAATGTTGGTGTTTCTTCAGGTTCTCAAGGGAAAGTGAATGTTCACTTCTGACTTCAACCACTAGGTGGAAGCATCACCCTCATCTTTCTGCAAAGTCTTGATCATACAGGTGTTAGCTTAAAGGTGTGTGAGGCAAAGACAGATTGACCTGACACACAGAATCTCTGGTGTATGTACAAATGTCACAATGGCATATATACACAATGGCAATGTCACTCAATATTTGTGTATTTGCCTTACTGTAAGCATGACATAGCATGGCAAATTGTAATGGACAAGGATCCAGGTAGAGAAAACTTCAGCAGCGGAAATGAACTTCTTACTTTCAGGATATGTTTTAACAATCGGCAATATTTAGTGTCATTAGGTCTCAACATCTATTTCCCTGCACAGGAGCTTTCTATTAGAATTAAGTAATAATGCTGAGGTAGTTTCTTGGTCAATGTTTATCGGCATGTTTATGTTTCTCTGTCCTGGCTCCACAATGGTGGATTGAGCTCCCCATTGACATCAGGACTGCAGCTGAAAACTCATCTGTTCAGACTGCACCTTGGCTCAAATAACAAACATAAAAACTCTTTTTCCAATTCTTATTGCTTCTCAATATAGCACTTGAAGCAGTTCAGCATATTTGCTCTAAAACACCACCTTCACCTGCTTATGATGTCAGTCGCAAAAACAGCAAGTGATACTCTCACAAGGGCTTATCTTTATTACAATAGAACATACACATATATATACAGGAGACAACAACGTACGAATGCATGGATGAAAGGAGGTTGGTTGTGTGTTTAGAAGCATTTCCTGTGGACAATTGAAGGGCCGGCCTCATCATACTCTTGCTTGCTGATCCACATCTGCTGGAAGGTGGACAGGGAAGCCAGGATTGAGCCACCGATCCAGACGGAGTACTTCCTCTCAGGTGGAGCAATGATCTAGGCAACAAATTAACACCATGTTAGTTTTATTAAGTGTTAATTGACTTTGTTGATGAACTCGACTTAAAACCGTTGCAGTTCTCTCACCTTAATCTTCATGGTGCTTGGGGCCAGAGCTGTAATCTCCTTCTGCATTCGGTCAGCAATACCAGGGTACATGGTGGTACCACCAGACAGCACATTGTTGGCGTAGAGGTCCTTACGGATGTCAATGTCACATTTCATGATGCTGTTGTAGGCAGTCTCATGGATACCAGCAGACTCCATGCCTGGTAGAGGACAAGCAAATAGGATGAGTTTTGTCTGAGACAAAATGCTGCATTTCTTAGATCTATCACAAAACAAATGCAACCAATTACTCACCAATGAAAGAAGGCTGGAAGAGGGTCTCAGGGCAACGGAAACGCTCGTTACCAATGGTAATGACCTGACCGTCGGGAAGCTCATAGCTCTTTTCCAGGGAGGAAGAGGAGGCAGCGGTGGCCATCTCATTCTCAAAGTCAAGAGCCACGTAGCACAGCTTCTCCTTGATGTCACGCACAATCTCACGTTCAGCTAAGGAGCAGAAAGTTCACGTATTGAGATACAACACTTTCACACCTCTCGTAAACACACTGAACTAATGTATAACGATGGCATGGACCTACCAGTTGTGACAAAGGAATAGCCACGCTCAGTCAGGATCTTCATCAGGTAGTCAGTCAGGTCACGGCCGGCCAAATCCAGACGCATGATGGCGTGTGGCAGAGCATAACCCTCATAGATGGGGACGTTGTGGGTCACACCATCACCAGAGTCCAGCACGATACCTTTAGCAAGCAGAAAAGGACCATAGTTAGACATCTATGCATGTGAGGATTGGCAGCTGAATACAAGTCTGCCCTCTTCAAGTATCACATCAATAACTATATAATGCTGCTGACATCACTTGGCACACACACTGCTGGAGAGGGATTAACACCTCCCCTTAACAATGAGACAGGAATCTATCCAGATGACAGACACCCTCAGAGTGTAAATGTTCAACAGCTTCTCCCTTGCAATACAATTTCTTCTTATTTTAGGTCATTGCATAACTGACCACATGCTAAACTGGGTACATGTGAAAAAGTTGCAGTGAACTGACCGGTGGTACGACCAGAGGCGTACAGGGACAGGACGGCCTGGATGGCCACGTACATAGCAGGAACGTTGAAGGTCTCAAACATGATCTGCAAGAATAAGCAAGGACAATGTGAAAGGTTTGTCTTAATTCAAAAACAAATATGTGCAAACAGAGCAGAGAGCAGTGACTGTAAAGTACCTGGGTCATCTTCTCCCTGTTGGCTTTGGGGTTCAGGGGGGCTTCAGTGAGCAGGGTGGGGTGCTCCTCAGGGGCCACACGCAGCTCATTGTAAAAGGTGTGGTGCCAGATCTGACAGAGGAAAAAGAACCGCTGATGTCCAGACTGAAACAACTCTTGACTGGTAAACAACAACCAGTCGTCCAAAGAAAATGCCAAATCTAAATATAAGCAGCCTTTACGATGATGCAGTGAATTGTGATGAATGCGGAAATGTCAGCTGTCATGAATGCTGTAAATGAGTCTCTCTGTCAACACACACCTTCTCCATATCATCCCAGTTGGTGATGATGCCATGCTCGATGGGATACTTCAGGGTCAGGATACCCCTCTTGCTCTGGGCCTCATCACCTACGTAGCTGTCCTTCTGACCCATACCCACCATCACACCCTGAGGGAAGAAGAAAAAGAGGACATAGGGAGAAGCTGCTCTTGCTTTTTATCACTCATAACACAGGGTAAGATTTGGTGGTAGTAAAAGGGGATAGATTTAAGCCTACCTGGTGGCGGGGCCTTCCAACAATGGAAGGGAAGACAGCACGGGGAGCGTCATCTCCGGCAAATCCAGCCTTGACCAAGCCAGAGCCGTTGTCGCACACAAGGGCAGTAGTCTCATCGTCGTCACACATGATTAGGCTTTACTGGGGTGGTCTAAAATTTGAAGGGTGGATAGAAACAATAGGAGAGAAGGTTCAGGCTGGGTGTTGGGAGCAGCTGTCTAAACAGCCCATCATAGAATGCATACCATGAGGGCCTGTTATAAATGAACAATGACAGACACTTTATCACTGAAGTGGCTGATGATGTGGTAGAGTGACTAGACCTGCTATAACTGGAGAACTGGCATAATCAATAAATCATTCATGTGATTAATATATGTATTAGCTGTGATCCAGAGCATTTGAAAACGTGCCAACACTATCTCATAACTGCTCTAAAGGTATTATCATTTTCAAACACTAATACAACCCACCTCAATGCTTGCTATGTATAGAGAGCTAATTAGACTTGTCTTTGGATGCTATTTTGGTTCTAACCTTGTTGTACAACCACTGATACCATATCTCCACGACAATGATTGTTCCTGGGACTTCTCAGAGCTGCTGAGGTAACACCAAAAAGGGGCATAACAGAGAGACCTGTGATCTATTTCAAGCTCAGCACCTCCGTTGTGCTTAACAGGGTGAAACAAGTGACACATGGATCTCCCGCTATTTCAGGTCTGCGAGAGCTTGTCTGATTGCCAAGCCAGCACCCATCTGTCGCCACTCCATCACACTTTTGTTTTACTACATGGCTCCACGCCCCAGTTGCCTCTCAACTTCATTCACTAGTGCATCGCTGAATTTCTGCCCAGCTTTTGAGTGCTGATCCAGGTAATACTCCCATAAAACGTGTTACTGTATGCATAGTTTTGTCTATTGATTTACACAGAAACCTTCCATACCATGGAGTGCCCTTATCACAGTAAAATCACATCTTCTAATAATGTCAATCTAACATCCCATGGCAATCAATCTAGCATAACCAGTAACTAAATTTTTAAGTGTACTCAACAAGTTAGCAATTGCAACTTGTGAAAGCCATCAGTTGCATCATCCATTCATTCATCTATCTTACATGTCATCAGCTCAAAGCACAACTTGTGAACTTCATAAAACCAATCACATAAATCACACAGATATCCACCGTGATTCAGAGAAACATGCTGCAAAATGTACTCACCAAGGTGCACTGGTAGGCGGATGCTTCCACTGGGACAAAGGCTGAGGGTGAGAGGAGGCCCTTAAATAAGACCCAGACTAGGTCCAGGGACCAGGGGCGGGGCTGAGGGTTCACACAAGTCCAAATAAGAGCTGCCAGCAAAAATCAACAAGGCACAGGAAACTGTGTTTTACATACATGGATGTAAGTCACATGGCTGACACAGTTTTAATGAAATGTTGGTAGAGAATAAGTTAATGTGACAGTTAATGGAATATGACAGTTAGGTCTCAACAAAAAGGCAAGTGTGAGGGATCTTATCATACAGGTATCTGTCTGCATTCTGTTTATGTATTATTTAATTCAAGAGAATTAAATTAAAATTCACACAGTTTTCTTTCTGAAAGGAACATAAAGAAAAATCTGCATTTCTAAGATGAAATTTTATTTCATGAACTTTAAATGAAATATGGAAGTGTGTTGCAGTGCAATTTCTTTATAGCCCTGAAATTTTATATCAAAAGTCTGAATTTTTAATTTCAAACTCTGTATTTTCTCTTAGTCTGATGCACAATGTGCCTCTCTGCACCAGACAGCAACACTGAATGTCATATTTCTTAAGAGATTTTTTCTGCAACACCTAGAAGGCCCACAATGATGACCTAGTCAGGCCAGCGTCACTGGTGTCTTGTTAAGGAGATTAAAACATTGTGTACGTCTGTGAACCATGCTGCTGGTATGTGCGCTGAGCCTTCTCAACGAGTGGAACAGCTGATGGTAACGCCAGCCGGGCTCTGTGTCTCATCTGACTGTCTGAGTGGCCTGCTGATGTCAGTGCTCGAGCTGATTGGTCCATCGGTCTCCTTGTAGGGTTATGGTGAGCAGCAGAGTCATTAATGTGCAGCCACTGAGGTTTCCAAGCCGTGAGTTTGCAAAGAGGAGCTCCATATTTGTACCACCCACTTTCCCATATATTTCCTCCATGTACATTGTACCTTATGGGGTAATACTCTCATCTATGCAGGAATGATACAAACTTTTGACAGAATATTTGTTGATACAGAATCTTTCCCAAAGGAAATATTACTTAAGGTCAGATCTCAGGGAATACTGTAATGGTAAAAGAAATGTATGGTCTTGGTGAGGAAGAATGACTCAGATGTAAAAGCGCAGTATATAATATGAGTTCATCTCACAGTTGGAAATATGTGAGCACATTCTTCTGCTCCAGGCTGCCCCACCAGATCCTGGAGCCTCCTATTTATAGCTGTGTCGTCTCTATCTCCATAGATTGGAGCTGGATGCAGCTGAAGCATCTCATAGTTATTTGTTTGCCAAAGAAGACTTTCATAGAGAGGATTAATATTGTTTTGATATATGAATAAAGGAGATGTGACTCATGATCAGGCTTTTCTACCAAGCAACAGTGAGAGACAGCCGCAGGTATAAATATATTTCTGGAACATCATTGCTACAACGTCTTTTTTTATATCTACTATATCATTGAGAAATGTATTAGAAGTTTAATATTGCAATGTGTCTTCGGTTTGCTAACCACTCATCACTGGGATAAACTTTGATCTTTAATGGTCTAATCAAAAAACTAATCTTTATCCATTTTGACTACTGACCCACCCACTCCCCGCTACATTTCTGATCATCTTATCATTAAATTATGTTTTCAGTGTTAGAAAGTGAGTACATGTTCAGGGTGAAACAAGTGACACATGGAGTATTTGTTCTCAAATACTGTACTGAAGCACAATTTTGAGGTATTTGTGCTTTACTTGAATATTTAGATTTGATGCCTTTTTTATAGTTGTACTCACTACAGTTCAGATGGAAATAATGTATTTTACTCTAAAACATTTATCTCCATAGTTAATTTATAAAATAATATATATTTTTTACAAAACACAATGAGCTTACATGAAACTAGACAGCAGTATGTAAAATACAATTAGCTTGATCTCAGCCAACTATAATAATAAAATGCCACTCACACATTAATGCATTAATAATATTTTATGTAGGCTTATGGTATAACACTCAGTGGACATTTTTCTGAATTGACATTTAGGTTTTAAAAATACTCCCCTCCCTTGAGTGCTCCCTCAAAAGCCATGCCCCCTTAATTACAAATCTCTAAAGTTTCCCCAGCATTGAAACCTTTTTTTATGCAGTCTATGGTTGAAACCAAGCGGGAACCTCTGGGTCTTAAAAGTGAAGCCAATGCAGAGGTGCCATATACCTGCATTCTTTCTAACTCCTAAGGTCGTAAAAAGAAGTCCATTAGAAATAATGACAAAATGAGCCTCCTTCCCACTTGATTTATTACATCGGTAAACACTTTCGTAATGAGTTTAGTTTGAATTAGTTTCAAATCTTCTTCAATACAGCATTATGTTAATTTATGTTCATTCAGTAAATTAAGGTCCCATTTAGAGGAAAATAGAAAATAAAGCAGAGTATGCTATAGGGTGGGACTACCTTGCGATTGACAAGTTGCTAACATGGCAACCTGTCAATCAGGCTAGAGGCGACTCATATCCACGGCACTGTGTAAATTTAACCAGTGCAGTTGAAAAAACTTATTAGGAGTCGGCTGTTCATTTTTTCCAGTAAGCACATTTTGTTTTAAGCCTGTTTTGGCTAGCCTAGATGAGCATCCTGGTTAAAATGACAGTTAACGTGAATTACTCCCTGCAAACATGCTAGCTAGCGATGACCAAAATGGCAAACTTTAAAATGGTAGTTCACAAACCAATAGGTGGCATCACAGTCACTACTTCCACTTCATGGTTAAAATGCCCTCACACTTGCCCTGTCAAATAACTTTCTTCTCTGTTTGTACTCTTTAGACCTTTTCCTCTTTTGCTGGTTCTTGGCCATCTCTCCTTCACAGGGCCTGGAGTCCAGCATGTTTGAATGTGCCAGTGTATAGAACTCTCTCTCCCACTGCCCCCTTCCCTTCATCATGCCACCTGTTGCTGATTGGCTGGAACAATGTTGGTGGAAAGGTCCCATACAGTCTATGGAAGGTCCACACCACTTTCTTTGTTTTCCATTTGGAAAGCCAGGGCTGTGTAGGAAAACCAGATTTTTTTTGAGCACACACAAAACGGAGAGCTAGCGAACCACAAGGACAGAAAATTTTTAATTTTTGAAAGAGTTCTTTATTTAGATTCACTGAAACGGATTAGATCTGCCTTTTATTTCTGTCTGTGTATACATCCTTACATTTGCACTCTCCATTCTTTAAGGCTGTCCATTTCTCTTCTATACGTTTTAACATATTCACTTACATTGTATAATAAATGTGCATGCACTGTACATAAGATATAGCATAACTGCAGTCATCTGTAGAAACAGTATAATTCTGCCCTTCTGGTGAGATGCTGACTGCATTTCATTGCTCTGTACCCATACTGTGCATAATGACAGTATGCATTGTATTGAATCTAATCTAATCTATTTTTTAAATGCATACATTTCTTTGACCTTTTATTATTTTTGTACTTGCACTTGTAATTTTCAGCTTGACTGTATTTGCTCAGTTGTAATCTGCAATATAAGTAAAATAAAATAAAACATTGGGGCACTTTACTTCCCTCTAGAGGCCATTTTCGAGAAGGCAACGTGATGACGTTTCACCTGCGACGCAGCTTGCCACAGCCATGCGCCAGTTTGCAGCGTTGTTGTGGTCGGCTGTGTGATAAGTTAACGTTTACTGAGTAGTTAAATGGCAGCGAGGTGACTTTCTGCTAAATTCAAGTTGACAAAGTGACGGGGGTGGAGCGGAGGGTGGTGGTGAGGGCAGCGGACGTGCTGAGACTGGAGCAGACCCTCTTCCTCCTTCTGTTTGACGGCTGTGAGTGTGACAGGACAGGACGGACTGCCATGTAGCTGAGGCAGAAGAATGAGCAGTCAGCAGCACACTCCAACAGACGGGACAGACGACCACACGGACCAGCAGGAAAATGAACTAGAAGCTCTCGCGTCAATCTTTGGAGATGATTTCCAGGATCTACGGAACAGGGATCCGTGGAAGGTAGCTAGAGATGTTAGCAGAGTGCGTTGTCTTTATAGTGAGCTGATGATGGGTAAAAGTTGACGCGTAACTATCTACTATTACCTGCAGATCATCCCCACCAATGAAGATTCGTTGACTGTATTTTCAGGTTAAAAGGCCCCCAGAGGTGTATCTCTGCCTGCGGCCCAACGGGCTGACCACTGGTGAGGAATGCTACGTGACTGTGGACTTGCAGGTCAAATGCCCACCGACATACCCAGACGTGTGAGTACTGACCTCTGACCTTTGCCATGTTTTCAGTATGGACATTATTGCCACTGTACTAATCATAGTTACCAGCTGCTCCTAAAAAGTGACTATAGTGATTACCCCTGTAATAAAGCTGTCTCTGAATACTGTCCTTATGTATATTGTGGAAACTGAGTTTATAGTGAACTTATTCTTCAGCTCATCATGCTGACAAAACTACTCACAGAAACTCACTGTTGAGAAAACATCTTCAAACTAGAGCTGAGACTAGAGATTACTTATCAACTGTTTTCATATTGGGTTTGCCTCATTTTTTAAGACAAATTTTCTGATTCCAGCTTCTTAAATGTAAACATTTTCTGGTTTCTTTACTCCTCTATTACAGTAACGTTAAACTGAACAGATTTGGGTTGGGGACAAAAACAAGAAATTTGAGGATGTCCGGCTTGTACCACGAGGGGAGTTCAACCTACTCAGAGTTAACTCGGGGTTATCAGGTAAACTCAGGGTTGACAAACTGACCGCTTACACTGGAGATAAACGGTACTACGAAGGTGGATAAGATGTTGGTTAGTTGAGTCCGTGTTAACCCCGTGTTAACTTAATCAGAGGTGGTGCGCGTTCGCATGAAAGGGGTGTGTTTGGCCGTGCAGGCAGAGTTTTTTCGCAACGGCGCATGCTCCGTATTTCTCCAGAGGAATGCACGTTGGTGGTGTCAGAAAATGATGATTGTAAAGACACGTTAACGGCTACATCTAATATCGTGGCGGACGACAAATCCAACGAGGCATTTTGGCATCGCATTGTGTAAATTTGTAGCCTAATTATCTTCACAGTGTTCGTATTGTAGATCAAATCTCTATTAGCCTGTGTATTTTATGGGCTCTTCTTTTATGTGTAATATGATTAAGATGTAAAGGTACAACTGCACATAAAGTCCATCGTAATAGAAAAAAAGGAGCCAGCAGAGAGGGGTAATAATCCGAGACAGAATTTTATTATTAAGATTAATCTACAAGTAAAAAACTTGAATATTCTCTGATATTATAGTCACACATTTATCAGAGAAACTTCACTTTGCAACTCTGCAACATCACACACACGTCTGTCGTGCATGCACTGGAAAGTTATATTAAACTTTGCAATGGGATTTAGCAGTGAGGAAATACTCCTGAGTTTAGCCCACATTCACTATTATGCACCTTAGAGACTTTGCCTTGGATTGGCGTATTCAGAAGAAAACACCAGAGTGATTTTCGATTTTTTATGACATTAATTTCAGGGAATTTCCGATTTTTCTTCTTGTAAATTTCACACTTTCATCTTGGATTTTTTTTTCTCTGTTATTACCCCTCACCCTGGCTCCCTATTTTTTGGACACTTAAAATAGTCTATATAAAGATGTGAAAACACTCAGGAGAATTCAGTTATAGACTACAGATGGGCTACATCTAAGAAACTATCCCGTTAATTAATTAAGATTCCTCACAGAGGCTGCGGGGCTCCTAATGCTGTTGTGTTCAGAACTTCATTGCAACTGCAGTGGAACAAACAGGATGAAACCTAAACACATTTTATGAAGTGGTGTATATTAATATCCTACTTTTCATCATTAACACTGAGTACAGATGTGGTGTGTAGCCCACGTGCAGGGTAACCTTGAGTTAACCACGAACAAAACCTGCTCGGCAAGTTTTCTATTTATAAATAGAGTCACTTTTTAGGGTCAGCTGGAGATGCTCGGGACACTTATCTTACCTCTGTACAGTTTCTGTAAAGAAACGATTATAAAAAGCAAGAGATATTTATGTGAATGTGGGATTATAACTTTGTGACACTGCAGGATTTTCAGTTAGATTTTGTTATAAGAAACTACTTCTGGCAACCTTGTTGCCGACCTCTTTTCTACAACTCTTAATTGGTTTAATTTCTTTCTTTTAGGTTCTTTGTCCTGTACACATATTCGCAATATTAATAATACAAAGAGAAAAACAGCAGCTTGGAAGCAGTAAAATGGCACAACAGATGCATCAGCATTGTCAAATATATTTATTTTTATAGTTATAGTCTAAAGATAGCTTCACACTCACATGATTTAACACAAGAAGCAAAGTACCCCTCAGCCTAAGAGCCTAATGTTTTGTCTTGCATGTGAAACAGGGTTGTCTTGTGACAGATTTCAGAGGACTCTTATGTTAGTTGTTATCTAATCAATAAATCCAATCTAATGTAATAACCAGCAAACCTGCTTGATGGTGATCCAGACACAGTCAGTACAAAGTTTCAGTGTGTTGTTGTAAGAGTCATATCATTGTTTAGTGATCATGGTCACTAGTGTGTTGGGTCACCAACAGGCCTCCGGAGCTGGAGCTGAAGAATGCCAAAGGTCTGTCAAACGAAAACCTCCAAAACCTTCAGAGTGAACTCACCAAGCTGGCAGCAGTACGGTGTGGGGAGGTGAGGATGCATAAACACACACACACACACACACACACACACACACACACAAACGCACACAGATACATAGACTACTTTTAACCTACCTACTTGTCCACCTAGGTGATGATTTATGAGTTAGCAGACCATATCCAGGGCTTCCTGAGTGAGCACAACAAGCCTCCATCACGCTCCTTCCACGAGGAGATGCTGAAGAACCAGCGGCGACAGCAGGAGAAACGAGCCCAGGAGGAGCAGCAGAGGATGGACCAGCGGCGCAAGCAGAAGGAGGAGATGGTTAGGAAGAGAGACAAAAAGCCATTCATGCTGGATTCATGTCATTTGGGGTTTTTGGGGTATTTCTAAGCGAATTGTCCGGCCCATTCACAAATCCTGAATTTCCTCTTGTAGGAGCAATAACATTTAGCTTATCTTTCTATGTAATTTCCTGTAAATCATTAGCACTAATACTGTGAATAAGAATCAGCTAATTAATAAGTGAATGTAACTGATCTAACTATACACAAAGTGCCGAGTAACTAAACATCGGTGTCTGTTTGAACCGGATTGCTTTTGCTGAAAGACCTCTGAGTTTGGGAAATGATAGACCCAACAGCTGACAGAAGCTGTAGTTGAACAGGATATTGACAGAAGGATTTTCCGTTCTTGCAGGAAAAAGAGATCATGGCTGAAATTCAAAGAAGAGAAGAGGAGAAACGAGAGGAAAGGAGAAGAAAAGAGCTAGCCAAACAGGTGTCTGTGCTGCACTAGTTCTACTGATCTCCATAGAAAAGCTTAGTTTATGTTATTTTGCTTGCAGAAAAATCACAGGAACAAAAACGGTGTTGTTGTTGACCTTTTTGTGTGGCGTTCTATCCTCAGGAGCGACTTGAGAGCATGGAGCAGCCAGTCCCTGCCAACTCCTCCCTGTTAGGGAAGAGCCCGCCCAGCCCAGGTGGAACTCCTTCTGAACTGACAGAAGCCAAGAAAGCAATCGGTAACCGACGTCGGACTACCTCGAATACACGCCACAGGTATGCAGCAAACCAGCTGACCACTTTGACAAATACAGTGCTTCTCACATTAAAGGAGTATTGTCATTATGCTAAGAGTTGGATTTGTTTTCCCAGGCGAGAAACGGTTAATGAAGACAACCATCGCTCGCAGGAGCTTCTTCACTTCAACAGCAGCACTTTTGGAGAACTTGTTGTCCACAGAGGGAAAAGCTTAGGTGAGAGCTGTCTGACGACGCAACTTGTCAGGTGCAAAAGTCGCGCAGTCCGCCCTAGTAACCTGTTTTGTGCATTTTTGTCTGTGTTCATGATTCTGACAGGTGTGAGCGAGAGGCTCGGCCGTAACGTTTATTATGGATTTGAGGCAAACTCAGGAGACTTTGCTGTGATCTACGAGTGGTCGCTGCACTGGAACAGGAAGATGGGCAAGTTCTTCACCAGCCAGGAGAAAGGAAAGATTGATAACTGCAAAAAGCAGGCAAGTAAAGAAGGAAGCAGTTATTACTATTTTGACTTTAGTGGTTAAATAATGTATGTTGTTTGTTTTTAGAGCATGAAAATCTGTAAAATACTTACACTAAACTCTATAACTATATATTTGCTTAAAACAAATTACTTCTTGCAACATGAATGTCTGTGTAGATCCACGGAGCAGAAAATGAGTTAAACTCCCTCCTGCGGCTGGATCACCCAAACATGGTGCACTACATGGCGCTGAGCTCTACCGAGAAGGAGGACTGCCTTGTGGTTAACCTGCTGGTGGAACATGTGGCCGGCATCAGCTTGAACCAAAGCCTAATCTCCCACACTCCGGTCCCTCTGGATAAACTGTGCCATTACACGGCCCAGCTGCTGGCTGCTCTCGACTACCTTCACTCCAACTCTGTGGTCCACAAGCAGCTGGGGTCTTCCAGCGTGCTGGTGGACTCAGAGGGCAACATTCGATTGACTGATTACAGCTTATCAAAGAGGTTCGCGGATATCTGCAAAGAAGACATTTTTGAGCAAGCCCATGTGCGTTTCTCAGAGGACACAGTGATGCCAACAAAAACGGGCAAAAAGGGGGACATTTGGAACCTGGGGCTGATGCTGCTGGCTCTGAGTCAGGGGAAGGAGGTGAAGGAGTATCCAGTGACAGTGCCAGCCAGCCTGCCTGCTGAGTTCCAGGATTTCCTACACAAGTATGTATGGATGGATACCTCACCAGCTTCTTGCATATACCAGTGTTTCAGCCCATTTACTGTTAATCATATGCTGCATAGTTTATATTGGTGCCGTGTTTTAGATTTCTGTTTGTCGGCCATGGAACCATTTTTGTTCATCTCGCCAAACTGCCAACATTTCTACTGCTTTCATTGTTGTCAGTCCTGTTATCACTATGTGGAAATGAGAAAATGTACCGAAAACAGTGAAAAATGTCCATAATATTCCAGAGCCTGAAGTGAAGTCATCAAATGTCTTGTCCAACCATCAGCCCAAGCCCAAAAACATTTAATTTGCTACAATGTAAGACCAAGACAAACAGCAAATCCTCAAATTTAAGAACCAGGAACCTTTTGCTTAAAATATGACTCACTGACTAAAATAATTGCGGAATTGAGGAAAACACATTCAAACCTCTGAAACACTGCAGAGGATTGTGTCCTGGAAAATGGTTGGCAGTAATGTGATATATAGTTGTTGTAAATAGGCTAAAACATTATGTTTTATAGGCTATCTGTCAGTTTGCTTTGCTGGCTGTTTAAACATGGTTTTCAGATTAAGCTGTTTAATAACAGTGTAATAGAAGCTAACTAACCTACTCAGACATTTTCCTTGTTTTTAAGTCCACTTTGTGTTGTCAGCAGACTGCCAGCACAATGTGGATTAGTTCAGTAGACTAGATTGTTCTAGCCAGAGATTGCTGCACTGTCGAACCATCTATTATATGCATGTGGTGGGGGGTGGTGATGGAGCAGTGGATAAGACACATGCCTTGGGTGTGAGAGATCTGGGTTTGAATCCACTGTGAGACACCAATGGGTCCCTGAGCAAGACACTTAACCCCTAGTTGCTCCAGAGGTGTGCTACCTCTGATATACTGTATATAGCAATTGTAAGTCGCTTTGAATAAAAGCGTCAGCTAAATGAATAAATGTAAATGCATGTGTTTTTTGTCATAGGTGTTTGTGCCTGAATGATGCTGAACGCTGGACAACCCAGCAACTTTTGGACCACTCCTTCCTCAAGCCACCATCCCCTAAAAACCTGCTGCAGTACCAGGATGCCAGCCCAGAAGGTGATAGTCAAACGGGACAAAATATTAGAAACACTTTTTGAAAACTCAGAAGAACAAAACCATTAAGTACAACCCAAATATCCTAAAACTGAGTCAACAAACAAACACTTACACTATTGGTCAAAAGTTTTAGAACACCCCCATTTTTCTAGTTTTTATTGAAATATAAGTAGTTCAAGTCCAGTGAAAAACTTTAAATGGTACAAACATAAGCAGCAAACTGACAAAGTTTAAAACAATGTTTATGTCACTAAAACAGACATTTTCAGAGAGAGATAAAAATTAACGATTAAATAAAGGAATTGTGTTCATCATTTCACTGTAGGATCAGCTGATGACTATCTGGTATGTCTTCCTTCATTAACTGCCTTTTTAGTTGCAATTTTGTACAAATAAAGCTTCTGAGGGTGTATTAACACAGGCTGTTCCAACTTGTTTACAAATGGTGACACCTGTAGAAATTTGTTTTTGCATCAACTGCATCAAGGCTTCATTTACTTCTATTGTTGCAGAATAACCAAAGAAAGTAATGGCAAAGTTTTTTTTATTCTCCTTAATTTAATTTGTTAATTAACAGTTAATTGACAGTGTTCAGTTTAGGTGACGTAAACGTTTTTAACTTTGGCAGTTTGCTGCCAACATTTAAGGTTGTTCACTGGACTTGAACTACTTATATTCCAATAAACACTAGAAAAATGGTAGTCTTAAGTTAGAGTATTTATTACAGCTGCAACTAATGATTATAGTAGATTCTTTATTTGTTTTGTTTTTTCAATTATTAATTTAGTGACTAAATTGTTTAATGTTTGGACATTTTATAGACTTTAGTTTTAGTCTATAAAATGTGCAAAAATTGTGCGTCCCAATATTGTTACAGACTAACTTTGTCGATTTTAATTGACAGATATTTTCAGCACTGGTATTTATTGCAGGGTTATATTTATTGTATCTGGTCAGTAAGTGTATATAGTGTAAATTAGTGATGCCATGCTGTTTTGCACATAATTGACAAAACAATTAGAAATTTCAACTTCGACAAGACAGCCAGTAATTGGTCACATATTTTTATTTATTTATTTTTTGTCATCTCAGATCTTGCTGTGGACTTTGCATCATCAGTCATCCCACGGAGCCACATCCTCAATGCTCCATTCAGCACAGGGGTGCAGAGGGAGTTTTCTCGCTACTTCAATGAGTTTGAGGAACTCCAGCTTCTTGGAAAGGGAGCCTTTGGTGCTGTAATTAAGGTAAACTCTTTTCTTTTTTTACAGACTAGCTTTAAGGGAGATGATGTTACACTGGCAAGAAAGCTGGCTGTGATTTCTTTGTGTCCACATTTCCACTTTCCCTCTCTGGCACTTCCAGGTTCAGAATAAACTAGACGGTTGCTACTACGCTGTTAAGCGCATCCAGGTCAACCCAGCCAGCAAACAGTTCAGACGGATAAAAGGCGAGGTGACACTGCTCTCACGCCTTAACCATGAGAATATCGTCCGCTACTACAACGCATGGATTGAGCGGCACGAGATGCCCTCGGCGGGGCTTCTGAGCAACACTGACAGCTCTGAGCCATGGAGCTCCGCCGACAAGCCTCCTCACTGCAAAGAGCCTCCGCGGCACCTCAATGAGCTGGGCCTGCCTGATGACGTGGAGGCCGTCGCACCGCCTCCGGCCCTGTCGAGCTCAGTGGAGTGGTCCACCTCCATCGAAAGATCCTCCAGCGCCAAGTGTAGCAGACACCAGTCAAGTGATGAAGAGGACGATGATGATGACGACGACGACGAAGAAGATGTGTTTGGCGCTTCTTTCCTGTAAGTTTTTTTTTTTTAGTGGCAATCCAGAAAGACTTTCTCTTGCACACACTTTATCCATCTCTTTTTTTTGCTTTTAGGCCATCAGATAGTGACTCAAGGAGTGACATCATCTTTGAAAACGGGGATGAAAGCACAGACGAGATCTCAGTGGTTTGAATATTTACACATCATTATTTATTGACTTGTTTGTGTCAGTGTCGAGCACAGCGCCACAAACTGATGGTGTTTCTTCTCGCAGGTTGAGCCTAGCAAAAGGCCAGTGATCAACACAATAGAGAGCTCAGACTCTGACCGACCTCTCCTTATAGCGCATCGCTTGTACATACAAGTAAGCTTCCCCTCCATGCTCCATTTTTACCACTAGAGGCCTCTGCCTTTCAACTAATGCATGTTCTGCTCCTGACAGATGGAATACTGTGAAAGGAGCACTTTAAGGGACACGATAGATCAAGGCCTTCACCAGGACCAGAATCGGTTGTGGAGACTCTTCAGAGAAATACTGGACGGCCTTGCTTACATCCACCAGCAGGTGTTAGTCTGTGTGTGTTTATGTGTTTGAGTTCACACCCTCCATTTAAAGCTAATTCTCCTGTTTGCCACAGAAGTGTAAAAGACCACACTTAGAGATCTGATCTGACCGTGATTTTTTTTCATACTTTAGTATCTATTGTTTTTTGACAAGAAGGAAGCTGTGTTTTCCGTTCCATGAGGGAGCAGATCGCTTCATCTGTCCTCCTCTCTTTTTAGGGCATGATTCACAGGGACTTGAAGCCTGTCAACATCTTCCTTGACTCGCAGGACCATGTGAAGATTGGAGACTTTGGCCTGGCTACAGACCATCCCGCTAATGTGGTAAGCAGTTAACAGCTTCACCCTGCTACCAGGCTGCACTGTGGACTTAATGAGAAGGACTATGTTGTGAAATATTGAAACTGTAGCTGTGTCTCATTGCTTAGCTTAACAGTTAACCACATTGCATGTTTCACATTATGAAGCTGTTATGCACTTATGGAGACACTGTTTATCTTTTTCAGGCTGCAGGTAAATATGAAGTGGAGGAGAGTGGCTCAGCAGTGGTGACCAAACCAGACCCAACAGGTATAAGAGAGTTTTACAACATTCACACGGCATAACTTTGTCTTATGTACATGTTCTTCCCTGACACTTTGTGTTGCTTTTGCATCACTATTATACAGGCAACATGACAGGCATGGTTGGTACTGCCCTCTACGTAAGTCCGGAGGTTCAAGGAAACACCAAAGCCACCTACAACCAAGTAAGATGTCAGATTTTTATTAAAATAGAAATATTATTGAAGCTTGTGTGAGTTTGCTGTGCTCCTGTTATACAAGAGTTCTGCCACTGCGTTTTTGAGTGTCAGTCCACTCTTTCTGTCCTCAGAAAGTTGACCTGTTTAGCCTGGGTATCATCCTGTTTGAGATGTCCTACCGCCCATGACTACTGGGGCCGAGCGCATCACCGTCCTGGGCCAGCTGCGTGTGGTACGTCCATGTTCAGAACTGGGAGCAATCTGTATAGGTAATTTGGGCTTGTGTGGGGCTTTATAACTGGCTTGTTACTTACCTCATCTCTTTTCACGCTGCAGGAGCCCATCATCTTCCCTGAGGACTTCACTGCGTATGAGCAAGGAACACAGGTGAGCACACTGAAGCGCAGCGTTTGATATGAAACTTTCTCCTCTTGTGTTTTAAGTCCCAGCTTAACAACAAAACGCCAAATCTGTGTCTCTTCTTTGTGTCTGCCAGAGGAAAGTGATCGAGTGGCTGTTAAACCACGACCCGGCCCTGCGCCCCACCGCCCAGGAGCTGCTGAAGAGTGAACTGCTGCCTCCGCCACAGATGGAGGAGTCAGAGCTGCATGAGGTGCTGCAGCACACCATGGCCAATATCAACGGCAAGGCCTACCGCACCATGGTGGGTCAGCTATTCGCCCAGAACACCTCACCGGTCATGGATTACACATACGACATAGACCTACACAAGGTATGGCTACTGCTTGAGTTGAATTATGTTGTTTATGTTTAGTTATTTGTTTTACTTTGTACCAGTTCTGTGATAGACTATACGTAGGACTGATTTACATAATACATGCTTGGTATATCAGGTACTAAAAATGGAATTTTTGAGAATTGTTACCTGCTGATTGTTGAAACTAAGCCATATTTTCTTTGTAGGAAAAATAGTAGACATAATTTACACAAGACCAGAGGGGAAGGTCATGTGTCTGACATTTGGAGATTTAGGTAATTTATTTAACGTGCTGTTGTTCTTAAAGATGTAAGGATGAGTGATTTTGTTTATTAATTCTAATGAGAAAAGTATGAAATGAATGAGAATGTAAGCGTAAAGCCATTGTAAAGGCAGTTTATATACTTTGCAAGTAGCTCCCTTCTCTACCTGAAGATGTCACTGCAGACATACGAATGGCGGCAGCAACCACTCCATGCCACGTCACTCAACTGGTCCATATAACCGACCAGCAGAAGGCCTGCTAGTGCTTAATCGATGTTTCATGATCCCTAACAGAGGCTGTTTGTTTGGTCTCCCTCCAGGGCAGCTTCAGCTTCAACGCTGCCAAATTGCAGCAGTATGTGCATGAAACAATCACCCGGATCTTCAAGAAGCATGGTGAGTACACTACGCTTGTTTGGTGTGCGTGTGAACATGAGCCTTTGATGACTCTCCACTGCAAACCACTTGGACTCCTGACCCGCTGTAAGCCCGTTTTAGGGACCCCAACATCTGCTCCAGAGAGTGGTTGCTGAACAATAAGTGCACTGTTGGGCAGCGCAGATTCCATGCAGGTGCTAGTGTTATTTTTTTGTGCACACTGGTGATGATGTCCAGCTGTTCTTATTTGTTTGTGCTCAGTTTGTATCTGCACACATACATCAGCTCTTTTAGTGTGAGGGTTATATTATCTCATGCAGATGTTGCAGTAATACGTGATGTTTGCTTTCAGGTGCGGTGCGTCTCCAGACGCCGCTGCTCCTCCCCAGAAACAGGAAGTTGTATGATGGCAGCGAGCTGGCCTGCTTCATGGACCACAGCGGAATGCTGGTTACTCTACCCTATGACCTTCGGGTGAGCCCAACACATGCACACACATGACATGTCGGCACTTGCACACCAACACTAATTATACAACTATTTGCATCTGCACATGCAAACACACACACGTAGTGTGAGGCTGCAATCAGCAGCCGCCTTAAGATCCTGCTACCTCAGGAAACCCTGCGGACTAAATGGTTGTTTCCACACTTTGATTGATTACAGCCTGGTATGCAGCGACTTCACTGTCATTATACAAATGCACCCAGTGTCTCAACTCTGTTTACTTTAGATGGCGTTTGCAAGATTCATCGCTCGCAATAATATAACACATCTGAAGAGGTAAAGTGAAATGATTTAACACATTTACATGGCAGTAATCCTTTCTTATAACAGTAATAATGGTCATTTGTTAGCTAAAATCTCATTTCAAAATGGTTTTACAAAGTTCTCTGCAAACAAACTAGATGCAGATAAATTTTTTTCTTTAAGTTATTACTGATAACTTATAAATCGCACTCTCTACTGTCTCATGCTAGGAAACTATGTTTGCAGCAGTGCATAAAGTTTCTTGTTTTCATTTACTTATAAGATCTTATACCTAAGTGAATCAGTTTTGCTCATTCTGCCTTATCACCAGTAGACCTGCTGTTTTTGAGTTCCCATGGATGCTGACATTCTGAGACTTCGTATCTCTCTGTCTTTCTCAAGGTATAGCATCGAACGCGTATTCCGGCCCAGGAAGCTGGATCGCGCGCACCCAAGGGAGCTTCTGGAGTGTGCCTTTGACATCATCACACCCGTCACTAACAGCCTGCTCCCTGATGCCGAGACCATTTACACCATCTCTGAAATAGTCCAGGAATTCCCTGTTCTTCAGGTTATACACACAAACTCTCTGTGCTTTAAATGATCCGGTGTGCTGACCGTTTGTACTGCACTGCCTCGTCTTGATACACTTTCAGACAAGGCAGTTTATTATTCTCTGGAAGCATCATTGTTCTTTATTTTTCTTACGGATGCCATCGTCGCAACTAGTCCTGTTGTTGTTTTTTCCCTTTTTACTTCCCACTAACATTCCTTACATACCAAAGTGTAAGCCTGACAGATTTACCCTGGATTTATTACTTACATAATAAATCTGTTATGCGCAGCTCTTTCCACTTCCTTCCCTGCCTCCCAGTACAATCCATTTCCTGTCCACACATCCCAGTGCTGCGTCAGTCTACAGTCGTAGATCTTTTTGCATGTTTCACAAACCCAGTCAGCCCAGGGTCTGGCCTCTGGTTCATCCCTCATATAGATCCTGTTTCTGATCCTCTTCCCCCACCCTGCTCTCGGTGTGAAAGCTTTTAAGAATATGTGAGTCAGACAGAATGAGAGGGCAGCCGGACACAACAGTCATTATTCACTAAGGCGCTCATTGTACAGTAGAGCTCCTTCTTTTGACTGTAATTGCAGCTGAGAGGGTCAAAGGTGTGTTTACGTGTGTTTTGTGACCACAGGAGAGGAACTATAACATTTACCTGAACCACACCAGCTTGTTGAAGGCCATCCTGCTCCACAGCGGAGTCCCTGAGGACAAACTGAGCCAGGCCTCCAACATACTGTGTGACGCCATGGTTAGTGCAGGTCACACGTGCGTCACAGATGTTGTCCACATCGCGTGTCTGTTGCTGATATGCTGCCATGAACATATATAGTAGTGTTCTTCCCAAATGGTGAAGTGTTTCTATGGCCCTCTTTTTCTGTGTTTGCTCCAGAGCGAAAAGCTGACCAAACGTGAGGTGGAGGCAAAGTTCTGCAACTTTTCACTGTCAACCAACAGTGTAAGTGTCCACCGGGTGCGCAAACCCTCTGTATAAATAATCAGTCCTAGCAGCAGCTAATTTGTTCTCACTGAAACACTGAGATCCTTCCTCTGTTGCATCCAGTTGCAGACGCTGTACAAGTACATAGAGCAGAAGGGGGATCTGCTGGACCTGGCGCCACTGCTGACATCACTCACCAAACAGAAGACTGCTGTCACCCAGCTGGCCAAGCAGGGCCTCAAGGACCTGGAGGAGCTCACAGTGCTGCTGCGCAAACTAGGAGTTAAACTGCAGGTGATTTGGATTCTGGGTAAATGAATGTTTAAAAGAAGAGCCACTGTGTATGTTTTCTCCCCTTCTTAATGCAGATGTATCCTCTCTCTAGGTGGTGGTTAACTTAGGTTTAGTGTACAAGGTGCAACATCACTCTGGGGTCATCTTCCAGTTTGTGGCTTTCATCAGGAAACGCAAGCGAACTGTACCAGATATAGTGGCCGCTGGTGGACGCTATGACCACTTGGTAGGTTTTCTGCCGTTCATCCACATTCCACTTTATTTTGTCATGACTCAGCTATTACAAAAATAACATGACATCAGTTAGCCAGTTAGCTCACTTGGTAGAGTACACACCTGTGTACGAAGTCCTTGGGTTTGAGCCCAGCCCGTGGCCTTTTGCTTCATGTCGTCTCTCCCACATTTCCTGTCTCTCTTTAGCTGTCCTATCAAAAATAAAAACAGCAAAAAGCGCAAAGGTTTTCATTCCACATATGCGATTGTGTGAACCATATTTTTTCCATCTCAAATATAGCTCTTCTGTCTTTCATTTATTCTATATGTATATATATTATGCAGAGTTTGTGATGCATTCTACGTGGTATCTTTATGTGCTGTCCTCTCTGTGCTGCTAGATCCAGGAGTTTCGAGGGCCAGCTTCCACAGTGCCAGTGCCCACTGCAGTGGGGGCAAGTGTTGCCCTGGACAAAGTCTGTGCTGCTATAACCAACATGGAGGAGCCAGTGAGGGAGACAGACATGCACACACACACAGACACACACACATGCTGGGATCTGACATTCCTAATTATTGTAATGAAGGAGCTGCAGACAGAGCTACATATTTAATGATGCCTTCTTACAGCAGACGGCCGCCACACAGCCACTTTTAGAAACATGTTAATAACTATGATCACTGTGGCTCTTGACGCTGTGAAATTATTTTTGGAAGTGCAACATTTTCTGTATTTCAGATTCAGAATGTGAAATGTCCAGAAAACTGCATGTAGGTCTGAAGACAGAGAAAAGCATTGAAATGGCTCCTTTATTACAAACAAGTTATTTTGCTACAGTTCACTGCATCTTTCAGTATTTGACAGTGTTTAACATTCTCTGTTTTTTCTTTCTATCAGCCGTCAGTGAGCTCCTGCGATGCGCTAGTGGTCCCAGTGGGACATTCTTCACTCTCCAGAGCCATCAATGTTGTCCAGAAGCTGTGGACCCTCGGCATCTCTGCAGACATCGCCTATGACGTCTCACAGGTTAGCGGCCTGCCTGACAGACCTGCATAAATTGTCTGAATCGTGTCAAGTTGGAAACTCAAATTAAGCCAGTTCCGGTGCTCTGTGGAGTTTGCTTGTATACAAAGTTTACACGCTGTGTTATTCACCAAAATGCATTGTGTGTCTTTGAGGCAAAAGTGTTCAATGCATTTCCCTCATCATGCAGCATTTGCAGAGCCAATTTTTTAACATTTTGGAACCTGTCTTTGCTGGTGCGTTGCTGTATTTAATGCCGCTAACACCACCTGTAGATCAGTGGAATAATGTGAAAACATTGGCAGAACTGTGTATACTGTCAACAACACGTGTGTGTGCATGCTTCCAGTGGTCGAAAACTCCACATGGTACCTTAAGTTCAACTAAATATCTTCAGAACATGCGCTTTGCCTGCAATTACAAATGACATGACATAATGTGAAGTTCATCATGAGAACCAAAGATGCTAAAAAGGCATGTAAGCTTTCTGATTGACAAAAATATGGTTCTTCATTTGTCGTGGAGAAAGAATAATTGAAAATATCAAGATTTGACAGATAATCGATACGTATATAAGCAATAAAGACTACTTAAAACTTGGTCAAGCCAGAGCCATTAACACCCAAGCCTAAATATATCTCAGCTAAAGGAAACAGAGTCTTCTTCTCAGTTAGTCGCTCCCTTACTGTTGCTTCCGGACAAGCAAGAAATCTGCAGACAGGATTTAGGTAGAGCAGCGCTGTACATGTAGTACATGTGCAGAGGGTGGCTCCAGAGGCATGTGACCTCTGACATATATAGCAATTGTAAGTTGCTTTGGATAAAAGTAAGTGTAAATGTAGTAGTTTAAGCAGGAGGATTTCTGTGAGTTTTCGTTCATACACTAATACCTTTGTAACTGTGCCCTCATGTTTGTTGTATGTTCCAAATTCTACCATATTTTGAGTTTGGAGATCCCTGAATAAACAATGGGCATTAGCCATTCTTGTCCTGTAGTAACATCATCACTGCCTACAGGGGGCAACACCTTACTTCTTACTACCCCTAATCTGTCACCAGCAGACTTATTGTGACAGTATCAGAAATACTAAACATCCCAGAGAATGTGCTGCCTTTGTGGTTTTGTTTGAAAGGAAAGACATAGAGTCATTTCTGCATTTATTTACTCATTAATTGTTAGACGAGCTTCCAATGAAGTTGAAAGTACCACGTTGATTCTGCATTCATTGACTCATTCATTGTTGGACGAGCTTCCAATGAAGTTGAAAGTACCACGTTGATTCTGCATTCATTGACTCATTCATTGTTGGACAAGCTTCCAATGAAGTTTTCTGGCTCTCGTTAGGGATACTCGCACTGTGATTGGAGAACAGACAAGCTGAGATCAATCCCTTCAAAGTAAAACTATTTATCCTCTGGTCCGAAGCTCCTGATGCCCTGCCTCTGTCGCATTCTTCATGTTTATGTGACAAACCGATCTCAGCCTTGTGTTTATGGGCTGGTGTAAACGCCCTCCCTGGTACATTGCTGTTTTGTTTTGTTTATTTACTCTTTATGACCTATTGTGAGTTGTGTATGAGTGTTTGCTCTAATGGTCTTCATTGTCTTTTGTACTGGCGCAGGACATAAGTGATTGGCCACCTTCAGTTCCCCTGGATCCTTAGAAGCAATTAGGAAAGGTTGGGTTTGGCTGAAAACAAATGGGACTATGTCCAAATTGTCAACAGTGTTTGTGTGCATGGATTTGTTGATTATGTATGCAGTCAGTGCCATGACCAGTGGCGAGATGGTGAGAACACCTTGTTTGGACCTCCTCACCCATCACTCCCCCTCGCTAGGCTTTTGTTAACACCTTTCACATGCTGGTCTCTTAACAGGCCCAAATTTGCAGCTTTAATTCATCCTTGGGAGACAGTTCCTCTCTTTTAGCTTTTATTGGCCAAATATGGCAAACAAATATGGCCCTTCCACATGTGGTCAGCTTAGGCATATGGCACAGAGCTGCCCACCAGCCTCCAGATGAATGGCTTACCTTTGACTTAATTTGTTCTGTCAATGAGAAAGTTGCAAGAACAGGAAGTTTTAGTACTTACATGATGACGAGGTGAAATGACACGTACACACACAGAAGGGTTTGTTCTGCACCACCCTTAGCTTGTCTGGCAGAGCAGCCAGATGAAACTCTTTGGCTGGAGAATAAATTGGGTTGACACAAACGTTTACCTGAATACACGTCGGTTTGGTTGTGAGTCCCGGCTCAGTGCACACTCTTCTCGTTCAAAGCAAAACTCTACGTAAACTGACTGACTATAGAAGTGTTCCCCAGTATTCCCTGCCTTACTGCTTTAGCCGAGCAGAATCTCAGCCATGCCCTTTCCTTTCTCTTTCAGCAACCACATCAACCTCAGTGTAGAATGGGCAGCTATGATTCTTCAATTATAACATTCCTGTAATGTTGTCAAACTACACTCATGATTCTTTTTAGTAATTAATGGAAGAAAACATTGAGCGAGGCAACACTCTTTCAGGAGTCTGCAGTTTTCAGAAATTCAGCTCTGAGCTTGGTCCAGTAAACACCTCCCTTTAAACTCAACCCACACAGGCCCTCTGGCCAGCGTCCTCAAGCCCTTACAGTGAAACATGGGGAAATCATCAAGCCCAGTGCTACAGGAAATCTAGCAGTGAATGGTTCACGTGTGCAATATGTTATTATATTAATATTCTTAGATGAACGGCTGGTTCTGTTTATTTGAACCTTAAATCACCACTCACATTGTGTGTGTGTGTGTGAGGAATTCATTCATTCATTCCTTTGTGTGTTTAGTCTCAGGATACGTTGTTGGAGCACTGCAGGACCGCTGGCATTAACTGCATGGCCCTGGTCTCTGACAAGGAGGGAATCTATGTGAAGGTAAACTAACGTTATCCTTATAGTGCAGCAACGTATTGTCCACTATTTTCCAGTCTTATCTAGAAATCCACTGACATCTGAAGTAGGGATGCACTGAATGTTCAGCCACCAAAATTAATCAGCTGAAAACTTTCGGTGTTCGGCTTAATATGTCAAACGGCCGATTAAATTTTACCAAACAATTACGTTGACATGTCAGCAGTGTGGAAGCATTTGAAAGTGTCCGAGAAAGACGCAAAAATCGCCGTTTGCAGACACTGTTGTATTGCTGAATTGTTACCTAGCACATCCACTCCATCTGTGGTGACTTCTTATAAAAGGAAACAAACGGTCTGACCCGCTTTGAGTGTTTCTATCACTCGTTTCTGAAAAGGCGATTAAGCTAGCCGCACTTACATTGGAGTGCACATGTATTCAAGCCTTTATGGTATCTGAAACACCAGTGCGAGCTGACAGGCAGGTTAGTGACTCTATCCTGTCATTTTCTTTACAATACAATAATACAAGTGTTGCCGTATGAGTGTCTTACCTGAAGAGAGGCTGTGAAGTCTTCATATTGGGCAACACGAGAACCATCAAATCGGACTTGATCAGACTTGGGTCAGACTTGATGAATTTAGCGCGAGGATACACCTGACAACGTCCGGTTTTCAAAATAAGTTGACTATACAGTATGGAAATAAGATTAATTGGATTACATTCACAGAAAGTATAAAACAAATTACATGTGTACTTTAAAAGTAAATCGACAGTAAATTCTTGGGCCTCGGACCCACCAGTCTCTCCAAATCCTGTGGGAAAATTAAGTAAAAAGCACATTTTTACTATTTAATATATGCAATGGTAAAAAAAAGGCAAAAATGTGAATGTACTTGTTCTGTGTTCGGTATTCGGCAAACCTTTTCATTATATTCGTTTTCGGCTTCGGCCAAGAATTTTCATTTTGGTGCATCCCTAGTCTGAAGTCTAAAATGTGTACACTACGAACTAGACTGCAATACATTTTGAGAAAGCAATGTATTTTTATTTAAGGAAACAGCTTTTCTGTGAGTAGCATTGCAGATTGTGGTGCTTTCCAAACTGTTTTGACAGAATTATGGGAAGGTTGTATACAGCAGCACATGTTAAAATCATTTTCTGTCTTCAGGTCAAATCCTTTGAGAAGGACAGACAGTCAGAGAAGCGGATCCCTGAGTCGGACTTGGCGGACCACATCATTCAGAAATGTCGGACCAAATTCTTTGAGGAAAGAAACCTCAGGTAAAGAGATTTGGGTTTACCGTGCTGCTCAGATGTCAGAATGTTGTAAGAGAGTTGTTCTTATATAATGTTGTCCTTGTGCCCCTGCAGAGAAATCTCTGAAAGCATGTCTCTTCAGAATCCTAAAGGATCTTTGCTCAACACCACAGGTACTGTGCTCAGTCCAGTCTGATTACCACCTGCTCTTTACAGTCCGCCTCTGTATACAGCTCAAACTGTATATTTATGACCTTAAAGTCTTACTGCAGCATGAAACAGTCAAACCTCTGTTTCAGACAGTTGTGCTTTGACTCCACCAAAAAGCTGCAAGTTAAATTTTCAAACAGAATATTGTGATCAATGTGTAGCCTGACTGAACCTAGTGTTGCATTTTCACTTCTGACATGCAACTGATTTGTTACTCAGAGTGACAATTTTTGCAATATGAGAATAAGAGTAAGTATTACATTTCACACCAACAAACTGTCTGGATTAAATTGAATAAGAGTTAAACAGAAGTGTTTGTGAGATTATGATGTGATTAACTGTTGGATATTATAAATGTAAAAGGTCTTGTACTTGGATTAAATGTGGAAATGGTCCTTTTTCTGTCTCCAGGTTCTTCAGAACAGCATGGGAGCAGCAGCGCGATAAATATGAATGTGAATGTCATCAGCCCGGAAAAAGTTTCCTCCAGTGCCAGACGGCGCTATGAGACTCAGGTTTGTAATGCCTACACACACACACACACACACACATACACACATACACACACACACACACAGACACACACACACACACACACAGACACTCACAGATACTCTCTGTCATGAACAAGAGAATTTGAATAGATTTGAACTATTTAGGCTTTCACTTTCTCACGCACACACACACTATTTTCTATTTTCTAATATTATCTAGTTGTTTGTTGTTTGATTATTTATACAGCCTGGGAGAACGAGCACTTGTTCAACCTGCAGCTTTCAGCCTTCAATCACAGTCGAGTGTAAACCTCCTATTGGCATTCACTTCATTGTTTTCAAACAAAATAAATGTTTCTCTAAAACATTTACTTGTAGGGTGTGTTAAGCACAAGCATTTTTGAGCCTACAGGCCCACCTGTTCAGTTTGTTCTTTTTTCATTTGTGGAATCACTGACCACCTTGTTTAGGAACAAGTTCTTGCTGCAAGGTTTCAGCTTACGCTGACATACTGACCCACACCAACAGAAAACATGCTTCTTTTCCCAAGTTTTTACTGTGAAATTACTATAAAAGTATTTGTCATTTAGAATATGGCGCCTGTAACTGTAGTCCAAGCTTGTTTGCTTATAAAATGATTGCACATACAGATTGTTTTTTCCCTGCTGCTATGTTTTGATCATGGGAACAACTGTTATTTTCTTCTACCCTTTTGCATTTCTTGCTTTCTTAATTTGTTTCTCTCTCTTCCAGATCCAGACCAGATTACAGAATCTCGGTAGCAATTTGCAGAACAAAAGCAATGACATTGAGGTTCTGGCAGTAAGTAATTGGATTGTTTATCCCTCCCAATCCCAGCACCCCAACTCTGCTCACTAACTTTATCTCTTGAATTCATGTGTGAAATCACAGAGCGAGGAATGTGCTTTTGATAGCTGAAACAGCCAACACAACTGGCAGCAGCACTTTTATAATGATTTGCCATGCGTTAAAATCCCCTGCTGGAGGTAAGATGGCTGTGAATCCATTCCAGTCGCAACAGAACAATGGACACTAAACAGAAGGCAGCGAGAGTGTCATTTTGGGGGATGTAAATGGCTGCCATACTGAGTTTATTTGTGGTTGCGTTGTAGATTTATGGCCAGATATTCTCAAAGTAAATCAGCCCTCCTTGTCTTGTTTCCCATGTTGCCGCATATTCCAAATACATTTGTCACCCCTGTTGGGGTCTGGATTCCATCGACAACGCAACAGCGAATACAAATTATTGAAACATAGCAGGCATAATAACAGTGATTCCGGTTGCACAGGCCTGTAAGTCTTTGTTGTTGCATGTCAGCAGCTTGCTTGTCTGTCAGACTGGAACACAACAGTACTCATTTTTCCAATGGTAAATCCAGGAGGCAATTAGCCCCTTCCTGTAAAAGGGACATGGCATTCTTTCAGGCCTGGCAAGAGAATTGTGAAAGTGGAATTATGAGTAATTAACTGATGGTAGATTGGACTGGATTATCTTGTGTTGAAATAATTACACAACCTATTGGGCCACAGGTTGATATTTTTAGCTCAATTATAAATACAGTATTTGACAGCACAAGTGGCCACTTCCAGTCAAAACATGTAATATTTGGTGTTCTATACGTTTGTGGAACATGAGGTAAGGCTCTGTTGTGTTTTTGTGTAACCCTGCTTGTTTTGTGTCCCACAGGTGGACCTGCAGAAGGAAACACTGATCAACTTCCTGTCTCTAGAGGTTGGTTTCAAACTGGCTTCATCAAGACCGCTGCTGAGTTAATAAAAGGCTACATCCTAAAAAAGGGTGGGAGGGGGAAGTGGAAAGAACTGCCAACAGAGGTCAAGATCCGAGGCAGGAAGAGGGGATCCCGTCTCCTTCCTTAAAGTCCTGTCTGATGAGGAGTGGAGTGAGGGAACACCCCTGCCTTTTTGTACAGCGAGGGAGAGTCTGAAGAGTCGAACTTGCACTGCTTTAACAAGGCTCACACATGGGACAGACACATAATACAGTTAACAAAACGCATACTTGAGAGGTGTTAATATTCACATTCCAAACTCGCTTATTGGCATGACTGCTTACAATATAATGTTGCCAAAGAATATTAACCAGATTTAAAAACTCTGTTATATTGACAATATTGAGAGATTTAGCAGGCAGTGATAGGCTTAAACAGCATTACGTGAACTTGTTTGGCAAGTGCTTGAATGTAACGGATATTCATTTATATGTATAAGTCCAGCTTTACTGCTTTAATTATGTTGTGCTAAGAAACATAAAGGAAGCTGAAAAATGCTCTTAAAAGCCTCTACTCCATAAGTCAATGGACCCACCTATACTGTCGGCCCCTCACAGCACATGTGTCAAAGAAAACACATTTAGTATATAAAAGGTGTGACAATACGCAGTGGGTATAGCCAGGCATGCAGGAAAGGCCTGTTTTAAATATGCCAAATTACCCCAAGTCACAGAAGGAACCAAGGAAATCTATAAAAACCTAGTTTAGCTTTGTACCTTCACTACCTCGCTATACTTGACATGCAAAAATATACTCCAGTGCTACAGATGAAACACCCCATTGATCCCTCCAAAATGCTGTCTACTTTTAAATCTGTTAGTGTGTTAACAAACAACAAATGTTTGATAGTCGCTACAAGTTTTGACATAGTAAAACTAATCTGTACCAGGCTTTGTTTGATGGCAGTGAGCTTTTGTCATCTAGCACTCACTCTTTCCCTTTTTGTCGCTTTAACCCCCGCACTTTCTCTTCCTTTCCAGTTTGATAGCGAAGAGCTGTTCAACAGCAGCGTGAAGACTCTGCTGTCTCATCTCCCCAAGCAGCGCTACCTAAAATCCATCTGCGATGAGATCCACCATTTCAAAATTACAAAAAGGTGCGTTGGGTGCTTTTGCCCGTTTGTGTAGTCCTGCACTGTTGAGTTCATTGTGGTTTTATAGTCAAAGCAAAACAAGCTACCCTGCAAATTAAGTATATAAAGTAGTTCAAATTAGCCCTACCTTTACCAATGTACACATTAATGCATCAGTAAATATAATCCAGTAATAAAATATATATTGTTCTGAGACAAGCCATTCTGCTTGTGTAATGAGTAATTTTATTTTGATACTTTAAGTATATTTTGATGTTCATATGTTTATACTAAAACTGAATGGATGAATTTTGCTTAAAATTTACTTAAATTTGTTTTAAAGACATTATTAACATTTGATCATTAGCATGTATATGTTTACCATGTCAGCATGTTAACCTGCTAACATTTTCTGATTAGCTAAATGCAAACTTTAGCATACTAATATAACAACGCTAACATGCCAAAGGTTAGCAGTTCACCCTCTTAGTTTGATGTGTTAGCATGGTAACATTTGCTTTGGTCACAAAATAGAATATTGGACAAATTAAAATTGATGATGCCACAGCATTTTCAGCAATCTCAATTAGAGAGTCAGTCACATCCAGGGAATCAGCCTCTGACCACACCAAGTTCCTCTCTGCTGTGCTGGATTTTAAAGATTGAAAGCAATTATTTGAATAATTAAATAATACCTAAATGAATGTGGAAAAGTCTGGGAAAGCAGAAACGATTGGAAAAAGAGAAAGGAGAGTGAAAAGTCTTGCCACTTCTGAAACACTGTCAAAATATTTTAGCTTTAAAACTCCATTTTCACATGCAAAGCCTTGTCCCCCCAAAAGTAAAGAAACAGAAGGAACTTGTTACTGTATAGACATTTCCCGAACAAACAGTTGTAGACGTCTTGCCTCAGCGGGAGCCCTCGTGGAAGATGAACCAGAGACCCCACGGCCTCGCCTCTCTCCTCGCACTCACATGTTTCCATCCACTACTGACTTGTTATTTTTATTAAAATGAAACCTGAGGCAAACAGTGGACTACATTAAAGACCACTTAAAAAGGGCAAAAAAGGCAGACTTCCTTTTATGGGGCGGCTGCCACTCCAAAGCTCAGATTAAGCCCACACACTCCAGGTGTAACAGTAACAGTCAGTCCTTCAAAAGGAGCTGTTAGACAGATAACTACTGCCTTGTTGAACATAAAATCCTCAGATGATCCCATTTCCTGAGGTGAAATCTGGAGAAGGATTAGCCTTGTTTGGTCTTCTGATGTATGCCTCTTAACACCCAAATTGATTGACACTGAGATTGCAGCACGGGGTGGGGGGGTTAACTTAATCCATTACAGTGGTTGTGGATGAAGTTGTTAATATTCCTAAGATTCCCAGCAGAACATATCAAAGCCCAGGCTAACTCCTCAGTGTTTAAGCTTCTAGTGATGTGGTGCTTGTGAATGCACGTAGAGAGCAAGTCTGTGAGGGATTCAGATTTCTCTTTCATGAATGAGATGGTAACGAAAAAATCAAAGCATCTCTTTCTGGGTTTCCGTCCGCCTCTCCAGAGCAGTTGGTTTTAATTTCCTGTCTCTGCTGTGCGTCTGATTTGCCATTTGTGGGATGGGGGGGGGGGGGTCTGCTGATAAATGAGCATCACAGAGGCAACAAATGGATATGTTCAGCATGTGTTTTTATGTGTTTGTTTAGTTGTTTTCATCGAATGCGGGGCACAGGCAACTGAGGCCAGATGAGTGGGCCAAAGGCCTCATACAGTCATCTGGCTGCAGCAAGACCATAAATGTAACTTCGTAGTCACTGAGCTTTTCTTTCAGTCAAAACTACTGTGGGCTAGACCTGTATGTAAGATCTGTATGTCCAATGCTGTTCTAGCAAGCCATGCCATGCTAGCATGAGTTACATGCTAACATTAGCATGCTAACATGCTCATGTCAACATGTTGACGTTAAGCAGGTAGCTTAGCAAATGTTAGGAATTGTTAGCTTACTAACTAGTTAGCACTTAGCACAAAGTAAATCTGAGCTGAGGCTCATTTGATTAGCTGATATTTGGTCATAAACCAAAGTAATTGGCAAATTGAAATTTTGACCTGATGATTCGCTAAATAAAAAAGTGAGTTATGGGACTTTCTTAAGCTGGACATGGACACTTGGTTTAGTTGAATCCTGTGTTATTTCAACAGGACAAGCTATTGAAATATAAGCTCTTGGAAAGCCTCCTTGCTGAATTTCATTGTCCTGATTTTGAGATGTCCCATTTGGAAGTTGCCCATAATGTTTTGAATATTCTTTTGAATCTTAAATCTAAATAACTGACAGATGTTGTCCTCTTGCAGGGTGGCTGTGGTGGTCTTGTACAGCTACAAGGACGACTACTACAAGATCCTACTCTGAAAACCAAGGGGTTGTACTGGCCTGGGAGAGATCCCAGTTTGCTTGAGGCTCAGAAGACTCCCAGAGACTATTGCTGTCCTAAGATATAAAGAATCTGCTTGAAGATTGGCAGATTCATACCTTTTCCATTTGGAAAGCCAGGGCCTAGAGGACAAGTGATTTTTTTTTTTTTTTTTTTTCTGTCAAATGGTAATTCAGCTATTTGACTGCAAATCCATAACTTTCCCAAAACTTTCCAGTGCTTTGTGATCTTTCTCTTTCTCAGACAAAGGTGGACAATAGGTTCACTGAACTTTATTGCCTTAATAGAACTATAGAAATTGAAAGAGGGCTTTTTACTGAAGTTATTGTGTCATAAATACAACAATTTTACATTTGTATTCAGCAATGGGATAGGTGGTAGAAATAAATCACTTTTTTCCCACATGGAGTTGTGATTTCATCTGTTTTAAGTGTATATGCGAGTATAACACACCATTTGCAGCCATGGATCCAGATGATTAACAATCTGAATATTGAGTATTGCCACATTAGCTAATGCTTATCCTTGTTGTAACAGATACTTATGAATCCAGTTATTGCGCAGTTGAGACAGAAGTTGGGAATGTTTGGGTAGTTAAAAATGTCAGTCAAATAGTGCTGCTTGTGAAGTGTTTGTGTTGCAGTATTTGACTATTCAAGGTCTGGGAAAATGACCCTAATGTTTGCTTTATTGATCCTTCCGGAGAAGCTTCCTCACCTTGAAGTTTATGAGCAAGCTTTGACGGACAAGTCGAAACAACAGCCCCGTATGCACTGAGGATTGTCCAGGTTTCCAGGTCTACATGTTTTTGTTTCAGTTTTTTACTAGCCCACTGGATAGATGAGAGGTCTACTTGCTCTTCGCTAGTACTTAAATCTCAGAGACACCCCTCTCAGAAATAACTAAACACATCTGGAAGTGCTACTGAGATAAGCGAACACCCATAGAAAGCAAAGGGAAAGCGATCAGATTTAAAGCCGCTAAGAGAAGATAAATTCCCATTTGGAGCAGAACTCCAGGACCAGATGTGCATGAGCCTGCAAATCTGCGAGTGAAGTAAAAACCAGTAACACATACCATCTTGGTTGACATCACTGCACTTTAGGGAACTGTTCCTCCAACTCTGTTGAAGTATTATCAGTGCAGGCTACTTTGGTTCACACATTTATTTTTCAAAATAAGTGTAAATGTTACAGTTCATCATCTAGGAAACATATTTACAGGGTTTGCAACAGTGAAATAAATAAGGTTGTATAGAATATAGCAGATAGAAATGGTAAATAGTCTACAATGTACAGCAGCTTTGGCTACCAAAAGTTCATTTTTCAAAAAAAAAAATCTCACTATAGTATTAATAAATAAAGCTATGTGAAAAAATAAATAAGGTACTCTTCTGTCCTACTAATTTAAACTATTTTTTTTTGTACACATAGAAGAACAAAGAATTGCGTAAGCTTTTACAATCGCCTCTTCATTTTAAAGCACATGGTCATGATTCAAACAGACACAAATCTACTGAGTTACTAAAACACTTCAATATAAATTGGTCTCCAACAAGTTTTGGCATCAGAATGGTCTTTGTATTGAGAAATTGGCAATGGGTTGAGATCTACGATCCAAAACCATTTTACTATGAAATCCTGGTTTGTTTCATAATGCTTCTCAGATTCTGTCCTTCTCAGTGCCGATCAGACGGGTATGAAGCCTCTAGCTGCAACAGCATGTTCACTTGAGTGATTTAACATCTCTTGTGTGCTTAATATGCCTATCAAATTCCTGATTAGGGCCTTTATCCCTCCAAGAATCCTGCAGTGAGCTTTTGAAAAAACACTGGCTCCAAAGAAAAGTGCAAAGTCTCTTCAGCATGCTCTGATGTTGAGGTGTGTGCCACTATGCACAGTTACTTACTCAAGCTCCCTTACACTCTTAACGTCTCCACATCACATAATTCACTTGTATATGAAGAGTTGATGAGAACCATAAGTGACGCTGTACAACACAGTCTGTTCATCTTAACATTGGGTGAATATATCGCCGTTTTTATATTCCTTGATATGGGCTAACAGTTATTAAATGAAAACAAGGTAACGACAAAGAAAATGCATTAAGGCTATAGAATTATGGCTTTAAAATAAACCATTTCTAACTATTGCTAACACTCAGTGTGAACAGTAGCTACACACACACACACACACACACACACACAGAGCTGTGAATGAGGTTATGAAGTGAGGCATGGTATCAAAGACATTCCTCATAAGTCTAGATGAAGCGTCTGGCACCATTTTGTCTCCTCTGCAGTCAGTAAAATGACAATTTTCCTGGATTAACATCACTCCCCTTCAAATCTGCGTTTTTTGAGATGATGAAGTACGACTGATTGGCCGAATCCTTCTGGAAGAGCCGAGGTCGGACGAGGCTGAGTAGAAAGAAGAAAACTATTGGCTACTGTATTGTGGACAAGTTCCAGGGGAGGGGGGGTTCACATATTTCAATTGGTGGTTTGCTGTTGGAGTTTTCTGAATGGAATGGCTCGGGTCATTTGAAGGTAAAAACAAGGCTATTATTTGGGAAGCGTGTCCTTCCTCAACTTGATCGGGGGAATGTTTAAACTGGCATTTTCAAAATGTTTTCAATCTGGCCCCACGGAGACACCCATAATAAAAACGAGAGGTGGCCAAGAACAACACTACAACATGTACAAATACTGTAGAAATATACAAAAACTAAGATGGAAACCACACATTCTAAAGCAGGGTTAGGATCTGGGGGTCTGTATAAAGCCTGTTGACTTGTTATGATTTGGCTGCTGAACCCAATTTGATCCAACTGGATTATCAGTTCCTTTAGCCTCACTGCTGATGAAAATGATTACATCCATGAAGCACTGCTGAACCCTTTAAACTACAGCCCAAACCCCTGTCCTAAAGCTTTTTATGCTCCTCTTATTGCCGCAAAGTTCCAGTTTCAAAAAGAGGCAATAATAAGCAATAATATTACATTGTTCACAGTCAAAGTCTGATTCTGACAGAGGAGCCTCTCTGGCTGCCTCCTTCTCCGTTTTAAAGCAGAGCCCAGAATGGCTATGTCCTTTATATATCCACCCAGTCCATCCACCTCCCAGCGTCTCACTCCACCCAAAAATCCAAACACAGAAGAATATGGACACATAATAAAAGAAACAAGAGGTCGCTTGCATTGTCTCTTGTAGACCATCCTCAGTTTTGTGGTTACACAGAGAGATTTGTTGGAGCAAGGCAGCGCCCAGGGTGTGTGTGCACACTGTTGCACTTATCACCTTGGATACAGCAGTAAGAAAGAATGGGAGGTGCCGGACAGCTCTGATCTGCAGGGTTTTGTAGCGGGTGTTTTAGCGCGGCGTCCAGTCGTTGCCCATGCTCAGCTTGGCCCTGGGGATGGTCATCTTTTCCACACAGGGGGAGCTCATTTCTGGAGAGAAATTGATGATGCCGCAATCATTCTTCACGTTCTGAAATTTGTTCTCCTTGGAGGGCTCCATGTAGACCACGGAGTTCTTGTTTACATGCTTCTTTAGGATCACCGTCTAAGCAGGAGAAGGAAGAACAGAATTCCTTGTTGTTAGATTGAAGCCATAATTCAGGTCCTGACAGCTAGACATAGGTGATGAAAGCGTACTCATTTATGTCAGCTTGCACTTCTTTGTTCAAAATGATTGCATCTGATAATACCCTCTGATGAATTTGCATTCTCTGACTGTACAATCTTATTTCATGGTAAAGCTATAGATTTTATAATGGATGTGACCTTTTTCCAGCTGAAAGAGCAGGACAGCTTTAGCACTGGTTGTAGCAGAAGCTGAAAGTGCTTCAAAATTATCACCTGATTTAAGTGATTTACAGAAAAACGTCTCACCTTCTTTGGTGCGCTGTAGCAGGACATCTGCACCCACTTCTTTTTCTTGTTGATGAGTAACGCCACAATGAGGAAGATGATGATGGCCAGGAGGAGACCTGCCAGGATCCAGGCTGCCGATTGGTAGATGAGGGCCATCTCTGTTTGGCTAGGGTAATTCTCGCTCAAACCTGGCTCATCTGTGGGACACCAACAACATCGATATCGGAAATCCGTCCCACAGTAAGCTTTTTTTATTACTGTGCATACCCTATTTATTAAAATCAAAATTAAAAACAGCTTATTTCTTCCGTTTTTCCTGGCTCAGTACTTAACACTGAACATTTCTGGGCGTCTCAAGAGAGATCATCATTAGTCAGTGTCCACACTCTGTTTTTGTTCAGCATGAGTTACTCATTTATCATAAGTATAAACATTTGCAGAGATTCGCAGGGAGAGTGCATACATTCATGCCAATAAATGGGATACTACTACATAGTTTATTAAAAGGAATAGCGAGGGGAGTGATTGAGTGATTGTGGAGGGACGGCTGAGTATGTGGGGATTTAATGAGCAGGTACCTGTATCAGCAATGATTGGTGGTACAGTGACAGTGGTGATCCATACTGCACTCTTCACTGTAATAGTGCCTGTTGTCTTGGGGGCGTTGGTAGACACCATCACCGGCACTGACGTTGTAATCTCTGTTCAGACAAGAATAAAATCCATTACCTATATCACTGGTGTAATGCGAAACATCCCAGGCATAAACATGTCTAACTCTGAGTTAGTGTATGAAATCCCTGGTGTCTCAGTTGATAAGCTGTGTTTATAGGAACTGTCCTCTTAACTTCCACCGTGCCGCTTTATAAAGACATTACGTAAAAAGCTCTGTTTTCCACCGGGCAAATAACAAAAACAAAGGCCTGGTGAAACGGCTACATGTCAGGGTGAACAATGGGAGCCTATGTGGAGGTTTTCCTCTATAGGAAAAGCTGACATGGAGCTTTGCTTTCCTGTGCCGCCACAGAGAGTGTGTTGCAGGCCGATTCAACTGGGGACAGGAAACACGTGTGAATGTGCGGATGCTCGAGGAATGTTTTTGCTCTGAGTGGACTGTGTGTATGTCACATGGAATGTTGTTGCGAATGATTGTGTTTGCCAGCGCCAGAGTGGCTCTGTCTAATGAACGAACACATACGCACACATTCAGTCTGGAAACCGGCATTCCCTCCGTTACGCCCTCTTTTTGACATGTAGCATTATGAATTATAACTTTCCCCACAACAGGCTGTGCCTTGTTCCAGTGGTACCACTTTAAATAAAAAGGATGGTAGTTTTGCACAACTCTTGTTCCGAGTTTGTAGAAGTGTTACATAAACTACATTTTAGTGTTCAATATAAACCACATTTTGAATGTATAAACTGAGTGTGCAAAAGACAATACTCGCAGTCTTAAAGCATCTTTGGCACAAAGTCTTATAAAAAGGCAGCTTTCTCTTTATTGAGATGCATCTACATACTCACCGAGACAGTGTGGGCAGCACTGGCCCTTGCGTAAGACGGGCACCCTGCAGTTGGCAGCCGGACAGCGCTGAGAGAAACACTGAATGGTGCCGTTGTTGCAGGTGCAGCTGGTGCAGGCGTTGGCCTTCCAAGAGTCTCCAGCCAGCAGCACGTCTCCAACCCTGGTTATGCAGTACTCCTGCTGGCTGCTATTCACTGGCAGCAAGGAGCTCAGCGGCTCATCTGTGGTTGCACACAGGTATAAATAGCGTTAATAATGAAAATACCCAAAGGTTAAGGTAAGACATGTGGCTGTGTGCTGGGTCATGTTCCAGCCTCTTTCCTCACTTAACATGACTTGGCACCGTAAGGTTAGAGCCTAAGTTAAGCTTGAAGACAATTGCCATTTTTGCGTACAGTATAACTACACGGAGAGGCCTACTTCTACATGACTCCTGCATTAATCCCTGCCATGTGACATATTAGTCCACAAACGTTATGGGGCCTTTAGGGTTCCGTTCAAGATAAGATGCTTTGCTGTGTGTTAAACACAAACACAAGTGACTCCATATGGCAGATGTCAGTTCTAAGGCCTTATCTCTTTGTCTTATCAGACCCCGCAGGCATGAGGTCGACGGCCTTCTCATGACCAAAGACTCGGTTAGCATCTATACACTGAACTACCCTACACATTCATCACATGGCCTGTCAGTGAGATGTGTATTATTCCCACATTCCTGGTGACCAGGCCCATACATATATCAAAGGCTGGCCTCTGACAATCTGCTTTTGTGAAGGGAGATGCAGCGATAAGGTGGACCCGCATTCTCAAGGAGCAGCTCTCAGGCGCAGTCATGCATTGCTGATTTGTGGGCCTCCTGCTTGGGAATACTTGGGATATGTTGATGCTGTGTATGAGAGACGCTTGACTGTTTGGGCACAGTTGTAAATAAAATTTGTGTGTGGTTTTGCGTTTGCCTAGAGATTTGTGTCAAAGCTTATTCCCATAACCAGAGATACAGCACAAATTAATTTTAATTAGTTACATTATTGGCCCTCCAGCTATAAGAGAGTTAGATGAACCTACAGTGTGGGCCGCTGGGTGAAGGAAATCCACATGTGGTACTGCCTGTCTGGAGGATCACTATATAAACCCAGCCGGTCTTGGCTGGTTTCTTTATGAGTCTGTGTGCCTGACATAAAACTGCCCAACAGAGTGCAACATGCAAGACCTTAAAACCACATGCTGATAGCACATTCAAAACAGCCTTATACTTCTCTTGGCCCCCCGAGATTTTTTTTTTTTGTCTAAAATTACCCCTGCTTTCCTGTATCCTGGCCTTTTTTACCTGTGCATACGTGGCAACAGGTGTCCTTATTCCTGATTGGTGCCTGGCAGAGTGCTGGGGGACACACTTCTGTGTCGCACAGGACACGTCCCTTCCTGCAGGTGCAGCGTGTGCACTCGTCCAAGTTCCAGGTCTCCCCCTCCACGTAAAATTCCCCCCCGGGTGCTCTGCACACCACCATGTCCATCCCCTCTAGCTGACCGCTGCCAGACTCATCTACAGTAAAGGGAGAGTGAAGAAAAGAAAGGAAACAGTTGTGTGTGTGTTCTGCTACCATATTCACATTCTGGTCAGTGCCAAACAGACATTCATTCAGCCCATAACAATAACTGCTACACGAGTAAGTGGATCCTTGAGAGAGTAAACGGAGTCAAAGGTTTCTATAATAAGGATGCATGGGAAACCACTATCCAATGAAAAGACAGCCTAAGGCAATTTAGGGTGGTGTCCAAGTTGTGTTTTGACACTAGTTTAGTTGAAAACATCCTTCTGTACAGCAGAGAAGTAGACATCTGCAAAGAGTTAGTGTGTTGTTCCCTCACTGCAAAGTGTGTGTAGCTTCTGATAGTTGTAGACATTCTTTCACTCCTAAATATTTGAACAGTCAACTGAGTCACTCCTCCATAAATATCCCGCATGAGTCGTGGATAAAAAAAGTGTGGGTGCAGATCAGTGTGCCTTCCATTTTTAGGGAAACAGACAGACAGTGTGTTTGAGAGTTTAAGTGGGCAGCAAGTCTAAGGCCTAAAAGCTAATGATCCAAATGACTCTCGGTTGAATGAGCTGTTAGGGGGCTTTATTCTGTGTGTTGCCATATGTGTGTGTGTGTGTGCGTTTGTGCGCACATGCAAGCATTTTTATTAAATGCAACAAATTTTTAACAAGCAATTAAGAGTCTAAGTGAGTCCTAAAATGGTATTTAAATTTTGACAAAAAGGTGACATATTGTATATTGATACATGTGGAGCGGCGACCTTGAGTCAGTGTTTTGTCAGTTGCTTCATGAGAATTTTCAAGACGTAAAACAGCACAAGAAGCATTCAAATTGATCTTACGCCAGCGGTTCACATATCATGTCATCACATTCACAGATCTCAGCAATTAACTTATACAATATCATTTTTACCAATACAAAACCAACCAAAACTTCAATAACACCCAAGTTATAATGACCAGGAATTATCCTTTAAAACTACACAACTTAAACCTGGTATTATCCATTAAAGCTGGATATAAAATTGCAGAGATATACCTTCACACGTAGGGCAACAGTGGTCAGGCCTCACAACTGGATGAGAACAGCTGGGCACGGGGCAAGATATGAGCACACACATCTCCCGTCCCGAGTGGCAGTAGCAGTCACGACAGCCGTCGTGCCAGCCGTCACCTTCCTCGTATTGGCGCCCGTTGGAGGTGAGGCAGTAGCTGGGCATCGGGGCCGGGGCAGTGGTGCTTGGGACATGGCCACTTTCTACAGACACAAACATGAAAGGCACAGACATCAAAGGGGTGGCTAAGGACTTGTGGAATAGCTGTGCAAAAAATGGCACATAGCAACATAGCCTGCTCCGGCAAGGAACCTTGTAAATTCACTCTGGAAATTTAATTTAGTACATTCATGATTTACCGTAAAAAGGCCCAGTATTATTGTCTTAGGTCCAATTTCATTAGAGGCTAAAGTGAGAGCTAAGTGGCTATGGTGCTATATACTGAATCATTCATCGGTCAGGAATATTTGATCTTCCTTTATTGCATATTTAGGTCCCAATTATGAATTGATAATCCAGTCACAAAAAAAATTCTAATGAATTTCCCACAATTTTTTTCAACTGACAAAAAACTTCCAACACATAGCTAGGGGACACATAGACCGATTTATCGTTATTAGTTAGTTAGTTTTTAAACACAGCATGGCTCTTAAAGCTTGAAGGGAACTACTGGGATCTGGAATAAAGCCGAACACAGTGAAACGTACAAAGTTGTGTTGAGTTCAGGCAGATGTCTCTTTTATTTAAATCTTCTTCCAAAAAACCTTTCCTATCCCTAAATATTTTAACAGCCCACTGAGAGACTGACACACAAGTTTCAAAATCAGGTAAACAGCAGTTTATTTGCAGTAGGTACTGGTCTGTGCTTGTCCCTCTGTTTGTGGAGATCAGAAGCCAGCTGCACCGATCACCTCATCATACAGGAATACCATAAGTATATTTGAGGCTAAAATATTTATAATACAGCTAAATTGGCTAAATAAACACACCACATAAAAATGTGGCAGAGCACAAATATGGCATCTGCATACTTGCTTTCAACTTTGGCGATTAAGGGAATCTAGTTAGAGTTGCACACACAGGCCCTGGATAAAGCCAAACATCAACAAGAACCAAAACAAGCAAATATAAAAGTACCCACAGTAGAGCAGCAGAAGGTCACAGGAAATCAAAGCTGCAGCTTAGTGGCAAAAACTCTGCTAACAGAGCTCTCCTATCTCCATCAAATCTTCTACCCTTTATACTGCTTACAGTTAAGAACATGTGGTGGAACTGTGGTTATGTAAATAAGAGGTAACTGATAAATTTAAAGTATGGGTAATTTGTCAACATATCATCTTGTATATTAAAAGTGCATTTCAAGATAGTTTCCCTATTTAATACATACTGGTAGCAGAGGGAAGGTCACGATGTTGCACGGTTCATCCTCTGGGGAACATGAATATTCCCTTATAAGGTCAAGGGGTCATCAAAGATGTAAGGAATCATCTTCTTGTGAACCATGCATGTAATAATACTATATTTCATGGCCAGGAGCTCTTGAATCTTGCAAAAACAAGCCATGATTCTTCCAGCTGAGTAAAAGGAACAATGAATTGTTTTCATTTATTGTTCATTTTACTCCTTATGTGGCAATCACAATATTGGCAAAATCACCAGCAATTGGCCCCAAACTATTGTCACATTATTGCTATGGAGACATTACTCATTCAGAAATATTGCAACATTGCACAGCATTTTGCAGCACGTGATATCTATTCCCCAGCTCAGTTACCTTTACACATGCAGATGGAGCAGCCCTTCCTGTTCTGTCGATAGCCGTCACTGCAGTGCTTGTCACAGGTGAAGGGAGGACACTTGACACAGCGACACATCTCGCAGCCATGCTTATTCCTCCTGCAGGGTGACAAACACACGCATGTTGAAGAACACACACACATGAAAAACTCAATTCCTTGAAGAATTTCTTCACATTGAGAATATCTCGGAGATAAACAAAGGCCGATGGAGCAACATGGTGTTGTGATTGAGTGAAACCCAGATGCTCAAGTCTGGTATAATCAACATCTGGACCTGCTTTCCCCTCTCTATCTTAGCTGCCAAATAAAAGGCCAACATGTGAGATGCCTGTGGTTTGCACATCATACCAAACCAAAGACTCTGGAAGGAGCAATCTAAAGCCATTTCAGATGCTTTCAATTCACCCTGTTGCCATCCTTATTGCCCCAAAAGCCTTTGGCGGACCTATAGAGCACCAAAGAGCAGCGGCCAGACAAGAGTTCACAAAGGAATGTTGATTGGGGAGTACAGAAAAAGAGATGGCCTTCTGATGGTCTGGTATAAGCTTTTTGCTGATTTGAAAATGAAGTGACAATTGAGAAACGAAACTCAAGTCCAGTTGTAAGAACAAAGCAACATTAAACTCACGTCCTCACAAAAACAAAGAGAGATGAGCAGTATGAAGTGCAGATGCTGCAGAGGCTGGATATAGGCCAGTTGGATCCAATTATCTGCCTAATAAAACATGGATGAGCTGCAGGTTGAGAAATTGTCAAAACCCAGATAAAAGAATGACCTGTGCCTACACTTCTCTCGTTCTTGACTCCCATTTTTATCACACCCAGTCTGCATTCATCTTCTCTCAACCAGCTAACCTCCTTCCCCATCTCTCCCTCAAGGTAAGTGATGAAACTCATTTTATGAAGCAGGAGCCTCATTAGGCCTGGGTAATTACTCTATTAATCTTTATCTGCCAGGGCATCATAAATAAAAGAAGCCCTCAAACCCATGGATGGGTGCCATGTCCCATAAAGAGGACAGAGCATGCCCGGCTCAGCAAACAGAGGGCCCTATCTATGCTGAAACAGCAATAACAGCTATTGAAACAACATTGTGAGGGTTTGGCCAGTGCCTCACTGTACAAATACAGAGACAGAGAGTGCTGCGACCTTAGAGCAAGGCTTTGTTTAAAGATGGTGTGTGGAATGCCAAGCAGCACTTTGGGCTCCAGGGGGATAGAGGGGCTTGGGGAGGCCCTGGGGGCCCTAGCCCTGGGACTGCTGGGTCGCACAATTTCCAGTGTGCCGCAACCGTGATGGCCAGAAGAATGCCATTCATGACCTGAGAGTTCACAGTGATGATTTTGAGCTATGAAGGATGGAAAACACAACTTTAGTCTTAAGAACTGCCCTGAAAATGTCCTTCATCCAGACTATTAACACAAGAGCAGAATGTTCAATACATGGTTACACATAGTTTACAAGGTTTACATTCATCCTGCTGTGGAGGCCTGTGCCTTCAGTTTTGGATATGTAGATTATAATACAGGATGTCATCAATACAACTAGTAGAAACACAGAGATCCTTTGTGTCTTTTGTTTCTTGTGTGGTGGCTGCATGCAGGGGTCCTGTGTGAGAAGACAGATCTACATTGTAAGGCTGGCAAGCTCTCAGAGGATTTTCTAACTTCTGAGGATAGACCTAAACAGCTGCTTATGAAGGATAAAGCCAGGACTTCCTGCTTTTCTTTTCCCCACAGGGTCCCCCTCATCCCCTCTCCTCTAGTATCCTGCACAGACATATCGGGCCCATCTTGAGCTGTGGCTCCACACAGCATGGTTGAGATACCAGAAGAATCCCAACTGTATACATTTCATAAAGGCCGCTTTTGTCCTGATGTGTTTTTGATCGTTATTTTGAGACAGAACGATGATTTATGAAATGAGAGTGGTGCCTGGGGACCAAGCGTCCTGGTAGAGAGCACTTCCAGATGTTTGATTAGGTTAAATGGGATTTTGGGGAAAAGAGTTGCAGGGGGCTGAGAGGGTAGCAAGGACCTCACAGTGGATTACTCACACAAACATGCACACACACTCTCACACACAGATTTAGAGACCTGGAATTGGCCACCAAGTTAGGCCCTTTGATCTTGGATGCCAAACTACTGTCACAGCCTGTACTACTTCCTTTTGACCAAGAACAAACAGGCAATGGCTCTGGGCATCACTTAGTAATATAAGTACAATATAATAGAAGTAATTTGCTTCTAATTCAACCAAACCAATTCAAATACAGGAGATGACTGGGGGGAAATTACTTTAACACACATTGTCAATTATGAAACCGATTACCTCTCACTCGCATAACCAAATTCCTAAAGATAACTATCAACTTTTTTGTTTTCTGTTTTATGAATATGTAAGAGCAACGTGTCTAGTTTCCTCATATATGTGCATGTCACATCACTGACAGCCATAGATTCTTGTTAAAAAGGCTGAAAACACAGATGACAAATGAGTGTGGCTGGGCCCATGAGGTCACTGGGTGTACTTACACATATCCATAGGGGCAGGTCTTAGTGCAGGTTAAAGGTCGGCACTTGGTCATGGGGATGCTGCACTCACACACTTCACAGCCAAAATCATCCCTCTCGTATCCCATCGGGCATTGCAGGGAGCAGTATTTTCCCAAGTCAGGACAGGAGTCATCTGAAAGAGTTGAGGGAGAGGTCATCTGATCATGGGCACAACAATCATTCAAAAGCAGAGGCATGAGTTGCTATGGGGCTGCTCACAGGGTCATTCTGGTGATCTTCTGGTGCCTTGCAAAGACTTCATGGATGCGAATAAGCTGTGATGATTATGAACATGTCGGTGTGGCTGTCAAAACCAAGTGGTTGCCAAATTTGTTTGACATGCATGTGCAAATGCAGTCCCTGGAACTTTAACCCTTTAGGTTCAACACAAAGTGAGGGAAGTGAACTTACTATTGAGACACTGGCAGAGCAGACAACCATTTGGGCCTTGCTGGAAGCCATAGAGGCAGTCATTCCCTGACAGGGAACAGTTGTCCAGGGGAGGACATAGCATGGGGCTAACTGTTTCATAAGATGGTTCTAGAGAACAAAAGAGAAGGTGGAAGATAAGAAATTTGCATGAAACCAACAGTTTTCAAAGTGCACAACAACAAACAGTGATTTCTTTTATGAATTTCTTTCTGTTTCTTATATGTGTGCTAGGATACCCTCAGGTGTAATACCTCATCTCCGCTTTTTGTGCCAACTGTAATAGGTACCTATTTACACTGTTCTTATTTTGAAGTAAACAGTAATTACAGATAAATGTAGAGCAATTACACCAGGGTGGGTCGCACTGCAAGGGGCATTATACCCCTCTGTCTTATAGTGTGAAACTGTCTCACTTAAGTAGAATAAGTCGAATGTGTATAAAGAGCATGTTTTAGATCCAGGAATACCAGTGAAGATAATAGGGTGTCCTCTGGACTAAAGCCAGACTCTAGCACTACCCAGACCCTCTTGAATCGGGGCCAGCTTTATTGTGAAGCCACAATGAATGAGGATAAACCCCGCATACATGCATCATAGCTATTCCCGTCAAACGTCTCTTGCCACGTTCAGTGGGAGGAGCCGCCCAACGAGCTGTAACTAATTACGCTCACAAAAAAAAAAAAGAATCCGCTTCAATTATGCAGTCTCCTGTGTTAAAAGCACGGCCCAGCCTCGCACACACAGGTGGGTCTCATTTTGGCGGACACCGGTAATAAAGGAACACAAAGAACCCCGCAGCTTGAAGAATGCTCCGTGGCCTCCCCTTTAATGAGCCCATGCCGATGTGGCCTCTGTAGCAAAGCTGTGGGGGCACAGGAGCCACATGTGGTATATGGGCCAATGTGTACCACATATAGATATGAACTATATATTAGATGTGAATAATATAAAACACAAATGCTGTTTGGTTTGAAGACCAACACAACTCACTATACCTTCACAGAAGGGACAGCACTCTCCGGGGATCTTGACAGGGTTTTGGCAGCTCTGTTTGCAGGCCATGGCCGTGCAGTGTGGTTCTCCATCCACACACTGGCAGAAGGTGCAGTCGTCTTCTTTCCACTGCTCCTCATGGGCTCGCAGCTTATTATTCACCCAGCAACTGGCCTTTGTGCTGTCCATTGACAGTAACTCCACATCTGTGAGGTATGAAAGAGTGATACACATTGTGGGTTAAGAAACAAAGTGAGTCTTAATAAATCCCATGTAAAGTTAAAGGCTACCATGAATGGAATATGAACCAAAATCTCCAGTCCAATCCATCTTGTTCTACACCCTCTACTGTAATTGAAGTAACTGGAGCAGGATACTCCATGAGGGAGCTAAAAAGATATGGAAAATGGCTTATCACCAAGAACAATGGAGAGCACACTGTTCAATTTAGATGACTTAACTACATTTATAAGTGGGAAGAGGCCCCCGGCTTTTCGACAGCATATATAGGGATTTAAGATGAAATGAGACCGACAAGTTTTAGGGTATTGCTGTGTCGTCATGAGAAAGATTTGGTTACTGGAAACACAGTAAGGGTGATGACATGCATAACTGCTGGTCCCCACAGTGTCTCATCTTCTGGCAGAAAGTTTCAGCACGTCCATAGGTCCATTCATCAGAGTTTCAGCTGTGACCCCTAAGGTCGAAGGCTAGCTCACCATTTGATACCATAAATTGTACTCCAAAGCAAAAAAAGATTTTAAAGAAATTCTGATCTGTAGCCATTAGTTTCAAGTAGGAATCATTAAGTTTGGGGGAGTTTAACAGCCAATCTGTAAAGCCAATCTGCTCAGCTTGAGGTGATGCCTGAGCCCAGCTATGGGAACCAGGAGCTTTTTTCCCCATCTACTATAAATAGTTTTAATCGTTTTTGTTACACTATTTATTGGTAACAGTGGCAGGTTAAAAAGTGGTCTTCGCATTTTCTCGAAACAAAGGTGTGTTCATTTACGCGTTTGGTTCGGTTCACTGACACTTCGATTTTCAGCGGAGGCTCCTGTTTTTCATCGCCCTCTTCCCATTTCCTCCATGGGTCACAATTCTCCAGATTTCCCGTAATTTTCCTAATGTATGACAAATGTTTGCAACATTGTGTCCTTTTCATTGCCTTCATTACTGTTTCTGGCATTGTACAGCGTGTATAAGCCCTCCAACTCTCTCTCTACTGTTTCCACCCAGACAATTAGCATGCATGTGATGCAGAAGAGAGCTCACGATAGCGCTGCTAAGGTTCCGTCCATCTGGCAGCAATTAACCTGAACAGGATGTATTTTTCTCTCCCCTATTCTCTTTCTCTCTCGCTGTGTACACCTCACGTATGCTGTTTCATGACCCTTTTAATGAAACTTTAAAGGGTCCCTCCGGGATTTTAGCATTTCACTTCCATTAACCTGTTGGACTAGTGAGTGAAAGTAATACAGCACATTTTCTGCCTCCAAGCTCCAAAAACCTGGAAGCCAACACTTCCCATAATGCAATGTGGTAGCATCTTTCGGTTTGCATTCTGACCTTCAGTCCAAGCCGAGATGACACTTGTCATTTTCACACACTTCACAAAACTGTTTTTACAGGCTAAGTGGTACAATCTTGTGTGATGCTAGAGTTTTCAGTGTAAAAAAAGGTACATATGGGCATGGTATGGTACTTCTTAATTGAACCTGTATTCATTGATTTTTTGGTTACTTAAGATAATCTGAAAAGACAGAACTGACCTACTATTACCATAACACATTTTATCCAGAAGACATCCAGAAGGCAAAAAAAAACATGTATTTAGAGTTGTGTTTCTGCCCACCCAACAAATCCATTATTCACTTTCCTTTTAGCTCTTTTTTTGGTCTCCACCAATCATAACAAAAATATCTGCCTCTTTAGCTGCTAAATACGGTACTATGTTCACCAGCTAGTCGCTAACTTTGTCTGCTTTCCAAGGAAGGTTAAAATCAAGGGCAACTGGACTTGATAGAGGATGCTTGAACACGTTTCTTCAGTTCTGACCAAAAGAATTAGCTGAAAGACGCTAAAGTGTTCTGTAGAACTGAGGGAAATTGTAGAGACTGGTGATAATTCTCTGTGGATTTATCATTACAAGCAACCCCTTCACATTACACAGACAGACATTTGGTCTAATGTTAAAGGAGACCTATTATGCTTTTCCACATTTTATGACTTATCTAAAATTTTGGAACTTAAACATGGCCAAAGTTTCAAAAAATGAGGTTAAAGTATTTATAAGAAATCCGTTCTACGTAATACTGAGCCAGACGGAGCCTGTGTTCCATATATGGTCATGTACTCCCACACTAACTGCATGGCAACACTCAGTCTGCATGTTCCATCCAACAACAGCCTGGTAACATGCTTCAGGTCTTGGCCAATCAGAAGACAGTGGGCTTTGAGAGGGGGGGCCTTAAAGAGACAGGAGCATCTACAGCTTCAGACAGAGGCTGAAATGAAGGCCTACATGAAGAATCAGTATAAAAAAAAATATATATTTTTTTTAACTTTGAATCATGCATAACGGCCATACAGGAGTCACAGAACTACAATATAGGACTGGAAAAGCAGTTTAATAGGTGTCCTTTAATACAGAAATATTGATTAGTACATATTTAAGTACAATCACAACCAGCAAACCTTAAATACATCTCCTAATCCAGATTAAGAGCATTAAAGTCAGTGTTCTGTGCAGTGAGTCTTCTAGTAAGTAAGAGCAGTTTCCCATAAGAAAAGATGAAAGCATCCCATACCATCTAAATGCCTGCATATTCCAGGTGTACTTCCAACACGGACTTAACATGATCTCCTCTTTGTCTTACTCTGTGTGTTCTTCACTCTCTCTCATGCACCGGATCAACTGTAGCCAAGCAGACAGAGGCCAAAACTGTATACCATGCCATATGCGCTGCAATCCCATTTTTTTTAGAAATCCCAAGTGCACATATCAGAGCTCCCTACCTGGCATTGAGCATGTGTTTTCGTGAGTAGGGCCCCACCATTAAGCCAGAGCCAGATATTACAAAGCCAAGTCGTACCTACTGAAAAAAAGTTTTTATGTTCTCAAGTCTCCCCAGTGAAATGAATCCCTTGCTGGCTCTGTAGTGCACCTCTTGTATGCCAGGTATGTTAACAACTGTGGAAGCCGGTTATATGAGGAAGCCATTAGGTAGGGTCACTGGAGGTAACTGTCGGGCAAGGTGGATTTTGATATCATCTCTACCTCACCTGCATCAACTTTCCACTTTTCCAGCTGGCCACACAGGCCTTCTCATCTATGCTACATCACCAGTGGGTTAAACCTCAAACACACAAGTGTAAATCCAAATAACAAGGTAAACTCATGTACCTATACAGACAGGGCAACACTCTCCCTCAGGAATGTAGAAGTTTTCACAGTCCAGCTCGGCGCACTCTGCCTTGGAACAGAAGGAGATTCCTCCCCGGCACTGACACAGCCAGCAGGGGTCCATGCGGTACACCTCTCCTTCGGAAAACTCCTTCCCATTGTGGACACACTTGGGAGAGACTAAGAAAAAAAATATGAAAAAGAATAATCAGATAGATGCTGTCAACCTTAAACTGAACACTATGTGGGGATGATGATGCTTAACACACTGGGGTCGATGAATAGAGCACTGTGGTCTGTCAGGTGTCCACCACATTTGGCAGAGATTAACACAAGAATTTTCTCCCTGTGACTATGTGACAGAAAGAAATTGGGTTTTATCACAAATGTCAAGCTTGATCAGTGAGAGACCATCGCAAATGTATGCAATCAATTACAAATTCATAAACATCCATTTATTTTCTGCTATCGATGGAAATGTTTATCTGAACCAAATGGCGCTGAGGTAGACACTGATGGCTGAGGTTAAGCCTGTGGGGTGGAATGGCATTTATCAGACAATGAAACCAAGTCCATGAGGAGGAATTTCACAGGGATCTATCAAGTCTTGAAAAGGCTTTGGACCCTTGCACTGCAGAGTAAAAGAAAACAGTAGTGGGTCTGAGGCTTTTGGCAGAATCTGGGCTGAGTGTGCTGGTGGCAGGTGGAGTGAATCAATGCTCTGGCCTGCCTTCCCCAAAAGCATCCAAGCACTTAAAACCTCTTTTAGTGGTGTTCCCTCCATTATGAAATAAAACAAGCTTGGTTACAGCACTGTTGGAAAACCCAGGTCTGGTCTTTTGTGAACAGGCCCAGTAAAGCTAGAATTTGTATTGGAAAACCTTGAGCTGCTCATTGCACACTTGGCACTTCAAGTGTCTGCATCCATGCATGGACATGTGTATACAAGAGAAAAACAAAAACAAAGACTAGCTGAAAAATAACATTAACATCCTCAGTAGTTCCACAGAATGACACAAATAGTAGTTTTGTAGCCAAAGGAACAGGAAGATTACAGAGTGGCATCTCAATGGTAATACGAGATTAAACATTCAAATGTAATGTTGGGTGACTCATCAATCTATGATCTTATCTAACCACACAGTAACTTTTCATCAAACACACTACATGAGGGAAGTGAGGCCATGTGGTTATGTAAGAAAGACTCTAGACACTAGTTAGACACTAGTTAGGCAAGTAAATGTATTACACAGATGCAGGCAGATGTGGGGCCATGGGATTCCATAAATGAGAACAGAGGTTACCGCAGTATCTGTATGCCATGCCTTTGAGTGCAGACTCAAAGTGTCTGCGCCAGTGACCCCATGCCTCCCGACAACCAGCACTGAACTCTAACACAAAGCAGGTGGGCCAACTGGGTTGAAAGTAGAGTGGGGATTTGTTGATTTTTTAGTCTCTTCCTTGCCACCTTCCTGTTCCGTTCTCTTTGCCTTTCTCTCTCTCAGTATTCCTGCCAGCCTGCTTTGCGTGCAGCAAAACCAAGCAGAGAAATGCAATAAGTACTTTAGCTGGCCGAAATCAAAAGGCACAGCAACGTTCTTTAACGCTCACAGAAGCAATAGGAAGTCACATGAGAGGATACTCACATGTGATTTCCGCAGTGTTTGTTAATGGTAATCCCTAAAACAACTTGCGGCACAGAGTCTAAATTCCAGTCATGCTTCTGACTTAGTCTTCTCTAAATTGAGGTGAGGATTGTATGGGCCATAAAATATTTGACCCTAAGCCTGTCTAAATCATTAATAATGGACTGTCATACTGGAGTTTCTTGTGGTTTACAGGCGAATAAAGCAACACCACAGAGAGAAATATGACTTTTCCTAGAGAAGAATAATGATGGGATTTCAACATTACAGTGATACATTTGATCAGCTCAGAATATCGAATGACAATGACTCATGTCATTAACACAACCACTCATCAACTTCTGAAGACATGGCTGTTGCATGTTTATAACAAACTCAAGCTGCGCTCCCTGAGAACCATTAGTGTGGTGATCTCAGCCTTATTACTTAACACTGGTGTAAATCTCAAAAGAACATGCACAGTCCTGAACCTACTCTGCATTCGGGACTGACTGAAGGTGACAAATGCACAATGTGTGCCAGCTAAAGTGTTGATAAACAGCAGACCACAGCTAAACAGGATCAAACAGGATCATCTGTAACATCAGATGACATCAGGTCAGGACAGTGCTGCCAGGTTTGCTCTGCCACCCAGTTACAGACATTCTCCAGCCAACAGTGGAAAGAGTCTATTGTCGGCAGAGGCCAAAACACACAGGTGGGATTTATTGTCACCGCACACACTGACCCTGACTAAATATGAGCCCTCAGCCAAGTGGGCAATGGAAACAAGTTAATCAGTCCAAGCCTGACACATAGAGACAATGGGGGCTGTGCTAAAGTGTGTTCCATTAGAGAATAGGTATGGTATTTGAAAGCAACTTGTATACGACACATGTAGCCAGTGCTTGGGGGCCTCTCCTGGACTGAGGAGGTCACTAGGGGGCCCAGTGTGTGTCCTTGTCCATGTCCCTGTCTGTGGAGCTTTCTAAAACGGCGCGCAGTCATGCAGGCCTAACGGACGGTAGGGGCAGCACAAAAGGCATCAAGCCCCAGGCCCAAAGAGCAGCAGACACTTGTTATCAAAACACTGATCCCATGGCCCCCACGACTGCCATTCAGCCCCCGCCGGCCTGCCGGACTCGATTACCCTCCCCGCTGGCAGACTGGAGCACATAAAAAGCATTCCCATCAATGAACTGTTGAACCTTTTCCCTTTGGACGTGTGACCAGACAGGAACCCTTTGACACTGCACTTCTGTTGAGCAAATTGGTAGCCTAAGCACTTTTCTGGTCACTGGGCTTGTTAAGTCCATTAATTCCAGGACACGGCACTCATTTATGCATGTGGAGGGGCCAGAATGGGAATTTGTTCTGTTGGTAAAACAGCGAATATTTGTTGGGAGCGCAGAGTAAACAGACCAATACCACAGGTCCCCTCCCTGCCTTCCTGACTCTCCTGGCTGCCTCTGGGCCACGTCAGAGAGACTGTGTGATCAACATCTGCTTTCTCTTTTGCTTTGCTTTCCCTGCATTTCCTCTGTCTCTTTCTCACCAGGTGAGAAAATGGCGCATGAGCGTGCTTTAGACTAGAAATCTGGTTTACATAATCCATTATATTTAATATCCCTTCATGCAATAGAAATATCTGTGGATACACCTCTGAAAAAATGTCTTTGAATGATGGCCTTAACCCTGGAAGGCATCGGCCCAGCCTGATAAACAGCTGTCCAACAGCAATTCTCCAATCAGCAACTGTGGACATGTAGTCAGCAGGGAGGAAAGCCTTACTCTGAGAAAAATAATTGCTCCCTCAAAAGGCGATGAATCTCACACCAACTGTGCAATTGCTACCCCCAGTGGGAGACCAATCGAAAGAGATCGTTTAGTGTGCAGTTCAGTGCACTCACCTTTTTGGCATTCAAAGACATCACAGCAGTCTCCTGGATGACCGCTGGCCTGGCTAAGTGGCACGGCACGCTGTCCATTCGGGCACTGGGGTTTGTGGCATGCACGGAGGTCGCAAGTGCACTGAGGCGGTATGGAGGGACAGCAACCAGCAGGGGGCGTGTAACTCTTGGTCAGGACTGAACCCTTGGGGCAGGAGGGCACCTGTAGAGCGGGACACGTCACCCCGGCACACCTCAGCTCCTCTGAAACACAGACACGGATGCACATTCATGTTATGATACAGTATATGCAAATAAAAACAATGAATGGGACAGACACTATCTTTGGCATCTTTTTCATTTTAAGACATTCTGTAACACCACTTTCAGCTGCTCTTGGCTCTAACAGAGCCCACACTGTTCTCCTAGAGGAAGGAGGGGCTCTTCTCTGTGTGCTGATGTGCCTCCTTGTAGTGTCAGTTAAGCCACATTAGGACAGCGCTACTCGTGTTAAGGTCTAAAAGCTGAATTCACACAGTCACCCAACACAAACTCCGCGCACAGTCATCAGATCCCCACTTCAGTCCGTGACAGCTTCACAGCATCCTGTCAGAGAAGTGAGAGCGGCACTCTAGACACGACAAGGCTCTCTGCATGTCCTGACTACGGGCCTCTGATCCCACCCAGCCTGGCTCAACTGGCTCACAATCCAAACAGCCTCTCACACTCTAAAACCAGTCATTAATAACAGCCAACCTCAACAGAGCTTTTCTTCTTGCCAGTTTAGAATCTCCCCTTCACTTAGCATACCACGATGTGTTTGTCTATTCATTTGCTAAAGCCAGCATAATAGCTCTGATACCCCTTGTTAGGGGGGAGAGACGTGCAGGGGTACTAAAAATCTGGGCAAAGGGCTCAGGGGTGTATTTTGGAGCCTGTTCAGGAAAAGAAAAGTGGAGCGCCCCTCTGTACAGACATTGTGTGAGAACAGTAGCTACCTTACAAAGATTGGATTACTCAAACCATAGGGACGTGTTTATTTTGGTTCTCAGTGTCACTGTAATGTATACATTGCATGCAGAAGAGACTGAGAAGAGCAGACTCAGGTCCTGTCCTATGATTGTCAATTGCTAAGTAATTTCCCAGATCCCCTGCAGAAAGCACAGTAAATACACACTTTGACAGCTGAGAGGAAGAGTGAAAAGGCAGCATTAGGGATGAGATTAGGGATGAGAATGAGGAAAATCTGGTAATTGTACATCTAGTTAAAATCATCCCTGACATTTAAAAAGAAGAAAATGTGTCAACAAACAACTGCCTCATAAGAAAGTAACATTAAGCGGATTATGATTTAGATGTTATGAATACTTGGCAATCTTTGCATTCGCATGGTTTGTGAGGAGAAGGGATGATAAAGGCGAAGGTTGCGTAACAGCGCTTAGGGTTTTCTTAGTGTTTCCAGAAGCTGAGTTTTGTTGATGGTCTTCCCAGAGTGGTGCTGGCTCAACGGTGCAACATGAGTCTCTCAGAGGATGTGCCTCATCCCTGACATTTGAAGACCTGTAAGTGGATCCCTTTGGGCTTTTGCAACAACATGGGGAAACTAAACCAGTGGGGGGGTTCAGGCTTCAGACCCCCTGATAATAGTTCTGCTCTGCTCGGACCAGTGAATCATACTGTATATTCTCCACCTTTCCCGCTCTTGAAGAACTCTTTGGTCTGACCTGATGCATTGCTGGCATTGGGGTTAAGAAACCGTTTGATGTCTACCTGACATAGAATAAACATGCTGGAGAGGGGCGGAAAGACTGTGACTGCTGTATTTTGGCGGGTGGGGGTAACATTTCTGACAGATGAAATTGAGAATAAGGGAAACATTGAATTTTTCTGGCTGCAGATAAATAGAGCAGGAGTGTGAGGTATCTGTACTGTACTGTTTACTCAGGCAACCTAGGAACAGTGAGGACTGCCACAAAGCTCTCATTGATAAACTTCTTAGCTGAATAGTGTCATAGAAAATGAGGGGAAAACCCCCAAATTAAGGGAGGCTACAACCCTTTTAACGGTTTTTGGCCCAATTCCTATGCTGGAGTTAAATAAACTTTACTTGGAAGCTCTGATAGGTGAACATTTTACTTTCAATAAAGTCTAACGCAGACTGCTGCTGCTCAGCTGAAGACTGGTTTTGCATATGAAAACCTCCCACTGTTTAAAGCCATAGAAAATACCCTGGGACGATCCCAGAGAAGGCTGATTACTTCTTCAGTTGTGATAATGGCTGGGGTTAGAGTGCGCTGAGAAAAGCAGCTGGCAGACATACCATTGTCATTCAAATGAATAGAATTGTAGCCATCCGTGGAAATTGTCCAACCCCTGCAGGTCCAATTAATATAATTTTCTAGCTGGCACATTTGTAAGCACAATAGGCAGACAGAGAGGATGGAAAAAGTCAGCAGCAAATGGATTTTATCCTGTACTGTTTGTGTTCTATCTCTGAGCATAAATGGCTGTAATTAGTGAGTCAGCAACCACTGAACCAATCTTTGCATCACAATGGTGGCCATACTCCAGTTTGCACACAACACAAAAAGCCTGATTTGGTATGCTTGATAAATTCTCAGCAGATTAGGCTACATGTGCTCTGTAAGATAGCAAAACATTAGAAAACCTTTGACCTCCATGCACAGCCTGCAACAACAGAGTCATACACAGACACACACACCTGATGCTGGTCTGGAAGAGGTGGGATCCGGAAATTGCTTCATTACCACAGAATGGTCTCTTTTGTTAACAATGCACATTTCTGGCATCTCAGCAGCTCATTGAAGAAAGAAAAACACCTCCTATCTAAATGGGTTTTTTCTTCTCTTCAAGCCCGAGTACAAGGAGCGCAGTATTTCCCCGAACCAGAGCGGCTCGACCAGGCAGAGGAGGCTGTGTTGACAGCCTGAGTTTACTCATGGAAAAAGCGCACAATGTGAGTTCTGTTCACCGACTGACTTTGGAAGCAAGTCAGGGGAGAACAAAGCTGTCTCAGTCCAGCTGCCCTCCGTGGGTTTCTGGTCTGTCCTCAGGTTTTATAAAGTTGCTCCGCAAAGGGACACATCAGGGCCGTCTCTCACGTAAAGCTGTGGGGCCCTGGCCCAGTGCCCACCAGCAGCTACAGCTGAGAAAGTCAGCATTGTTCAGTGTGTGTGTCAGCGTGAGTATATGTGTGAGGACCACGGAGCAAGTCTGGGAGGGGGTCTGGACCAAAAGGCACAGACCAGGTCACCAGGAAGAAACACTTGGTGGGAATTTCACACCATGGTCAGAAGCTCGAGGTAGCCGGGTGTAGGCATGCAGCAGCCAGCAGGCCTGCATCTGCTGCCTGCACATCTTACTCTCTTCGGCTAAATATTTGCAGATGAAAAACGTGATCCCAGTGTCCGAAGTAACACCACTGCAGCTGGGAATGAGCATGTTTGGGTGAGCATGTAGGTGCGCATTTGCACATAGATTTTTCATGTTTGTTTGTGTGCACTGCAAATGTACATAGCATGTGTGCATTCCATTGAAACACACCCTTTCCTTACTGCCAGATGGCCAATAAGATAAGGCCAATGACAAAGAGTGTGAAGGACTATCTGGCTAAAGGGCCTGTCCCTTAGATGGAGATCAGCACCTTGCATCGTCGTCTACCGTTATATCTGGCACAAAATGCATAAGAAAAAGGGTGAACATATTCTCTTCCAGGTCACTGGAAAACATAACTGAACAGTTGTCAAGCGTACCACCACGGTACCACCCAGACAATATAGCTAAAGAAATAATGGCCATCATATGTAGCAAATTTAGAAAACATGTCTATGGGGGACCTGGGGTGTAGACAGCTGTAGAATACATTGAGATATTTGAGTTATGTATGGATTTTGGCTCTTTCAGGGAAAAAAGCAAAAGAATGGCTGATGATGGGAGAAATGCGCCTGGGAACAACAGGAATTGGCTTAGTTCTGCAGTCGGGGTGTCTTTGATTTGTTAATGGTTATGGTTGGATCAATGAGCTGAGGTTTTAGGTCTAAATTCAGTGAATGAATTGAGGGTTAGAGCCGGACATGCATGAATGGTCTACTACTTTATGAGTGTGTGTCTTGGCTTTTCCTGCAGGCCTAATTCTGGCTGGTTTGGTTAGCGGCTGACCATGAGTAGTGAGTGGGTTGACAGCAATCCCAACATGCCTTTAAGGGAAGTTCTTTGTCTCAATCGCCACACAAGGAGTTTTGTTTCCTCCTTGAAATCACTACCCCACACATAGAAAATATGCACACACTGGGAAACGAGCTGCTTGCAGGGTACAACAGGGGCCATAGCTTCCGCAGACGACACACAAACACACAGCGTTGAGACGTCTGGCACGGCCAATAATAGCCCTGCCACAAAGAGGCTGCAGCCAAGCAGAACTAACAGCTTTTTTAAAAGAGCAGAGCGAGGCAGGATGGACGTGGCATAGGTGGGCAAAAAGATTTGTGGGAGCAAGGTCAGTTTGTGCCATTGCATAATAGTGGGCACTGCCTCCCCATCTGATGAAGCCCATGAACTTTCACATGCCACTGGTGGACAAATTCCATTCTATTTTATCCCCATTATCAGTTCACAAGAGCAAGTAAGTAAACAACCTGACTTCTTCAGCACTGGGCTTTCAGCTACCACTATTTCTGAGTAGATGTTAGTATTAAGTGATGCCAGTTAAACAGGCTGCTGTTGCTTGTTCCTGTCAGTGAGCAGCATCAAGGGAATTCCTCTAAAATAGCAGTTAGAAGCCTTATCATGAATGAAATATGTAAACCATCCTAGAGTGTAAAATTTCCAAACACCACCCTACAAAGACCCTGGGGGCTCTACTTGACACAAATACCTCAACAAAACGGTTGGCCTCAGTTGTGATTTCCTATCTTCGTGCGTCTGCCTCCCCCCATCACTCTGCTACACTTATCACATCCTCTTTCCCTGACATGTAGGTAATACGTCTGACATGCCATGTTGCATCTGATTGAACGTTTGTAGCCAAATTACGTCAGCGTCTTGTATACCAGCAGAGAGCAGGATCCCCCTGAAACTACAAGAGGCAACCTTAGGTGATTGAACACCAACAGTGGTGAGGCAGAAAATATTTTGAGTTTTAACAGATCACAGTTAGCCACAGCGGAGGGAGGAACTAGACCACCACTAGACAAGACCACTGAGTGAGTCAAGCAGAAAGTGAGAGGCCAAAGAGAGCCAAGCAGAAAGTGAGGCCAAACCATTACCATGTGTGAGCCTACAAAGAATCTATGTTCGGACTGTCTGGTTTACAGGATATATTTGCTGTCACCCGCTAACAGGGCATGTTAACACACTTAATAAACTGCTTGTGTCTATGGACTAGGAGGGGTTGATAGACGGCAGTCACGATGGAGTCCAACAGGACTGAGCAAATAAGATCCTAACCACAGAGCCCTGTTCTGGTTGCAGAGGAAGCGCTTGCTGATGACAGACAAAGGAAAATCTCTGCCGAGACATCTACACAAGCAAGATAATTATCACACGCAGACACATGCACACACACAGATGCAAACACGCATGCTCGCACACATTTATAGGCACATCACACACACACGTAATGGCATATTTCCACATGCATGTGTGCATATTACCACATGCATATTTACATACAAAACACACACACACACCCTTGTTTCTTACTTAATTAGGGGCCATCAGAAGGGTGGGTGTGTGTTACAGTAAGAACTCATAAGCTGCTGAAAAATGTTGTTTACAGTTTTCACTGGCGTGAGTTTAAACTGTCATCCGTTGGGCTCAGGCTTTGAGATGAGGGAGTTTCAAAACACAGAAGACTAACAGTACATCTTTCACTGTAACACCAGACTGCAATGATAATACGTCTAAACAATATAATGTTTGATGAACACACTTCCGTTGGGATTTACTGAGTAAATGGCTCAAGACAAACATCCACTGTACTGTAAATGTTCTGTAATAACCTGTGTTATTTGCAGACTAAATAATCTCAAATATGCTTCCATGGCACGGTGCCAGCCACAGTGATGGATATCTTCATCTGAAATGTCAGCAAACTGAGAGAGGGAAGAGACGGAAAACCTTGAGTATGAAAGGACAGCGACATGTGAATAAAAACACAAGCAGTCACAGTCACATGTTTTGGACTTTCGACCGTTTTTCCTTCCAGTTTTCTGGCTTTCACAAGCTTGTTCAGAAAGATGAGGTTTACCCAGCATACGCCGCAGTTCAGTGAGTTCACTCCTGTCCTATTTTGCAAATGTTACTCAGGAGGCAGCCGCCACTTTGCGCCTGTCTATCTACACCTCGCAATCCAAATGAGGAAACTAAACTCTGTGGCAATGACATTTTTCACTTAGAAGTGTCAGTCAGAGACTGCTAAGAGTGGAGGGAAACATACATTCTTGTATTCTCTTATATCATTGCAGAGATGTTCTTTTTTTACTCCCCATGCAGGACAAGCATTCATCTTACACTCTACATACATACATTTAAACCTTAAGGAATGTCACTTTCCATCATCCCTCTCGGCAACTCTTTCTCTTATAATGGACACTTTTTTCCTGTTTTTGCTCAGATTCACACACTTTAGTCACTCTCAGCATCTTTCCTTCTTGTTCTTCTACAAGAGAAGGGCAAAAACTTTGGTACTACTAGTACTAGCTACTGGTCGGCTGCTGTGTGGCTGTCAGATCTAGTTGCAGGTCATCTGAAGGTTACCTGCGGCTTCCTGGCACTGGCTGCGGTTGATGTAGGCAAAGTGGTGGTGGCAGCTCTGAGACTCGCACACACATCCCTCAGCGGTCAGGTTACAGCCAGAGAACATGCAGGCCGGGTTTGATGGTCCCACATACTTCTCTCTGTGTCTTTCCCGGTGCTCGTGCCTACGACCCTCTGAAATCAAGCAATGGACACACATACACAAAAACCACAGTCATCAAAGATTCACAGACAATGGCACCACTCAAGGGTGAGGGGGGAACCACTAGACAAAGCCTTACCATGTGTGTCATCCCTATGATATGCAAGTAGCATTAGTCACCTCAGAGCCACATCTGTTATGGATTAGCTCCTCTCAATGGGCAGCATTATTCTCTCTGACTCGGATTCTGTGTGTGTGTGTGTGTGTGTGTGTGCGTGCGCGTGCGTGCGTGCGTGTCTGTGTTTCAACATACGTGTGTGATGGAAGGAGAGGGCTCACCTGACTTGCTGGCCTTCATGCAGGTTTCTTGGTCTGGGTAGGTGAAAGAGCCCAAGCAGGAGTGACGGGCATCACACACACACTGACCTCCAGCTCTTTCGCAGCCTGTCATCAGGGGACAGCGCTCGTCCTCCAGGCCTGCCTCGGCATGGTCAGGGAGCACTACGTACAACAGTGGGGAGAACAGAGGACATTTAGGATAGGGTACTAACATGAATTTCTTGCTTGGACTAGTTTGTCCATTTTAACTGGGAATAAACAGACATTGGGCAGAGTTACAGATAATGTGTAATCACAAGGCAAAATGTACCAGAAACCAAGATTTGTTTCCAAAAAGTGCTGAAGGGTTAGCCAGCTTGCAGCCTCTGTTGCAACACATTGCCCTGGCACCGCCATTACTGAAGTGACCAGTGTATTCTCTGGGCTGCCATCCCTCCTCCCTCCTGGTCGTGCCACGCTACTTCAGCCATTCAGCCTATTTGTTTGCTTTTGTTCCACAGCATGGGGCCCTCCCAGGGTTTCCATCTCTGCTGGCTGCTGCTCCCTCTGTACCAAGGCCACTTACACCATACCCAAATTTTGTTACTTTGCCTAGTGAGTTTCACCCCCTGAGATGGCACCTTGAGGCTTAGCCCAACTTGGACAAAACTTTATGATAGGAAGGAAGGAATGTACGACGGAGCGATGTGTCCTGTTGGTGCCATGTCAGCTGAACAGTCACCAAAACCCTGGGATTAAAAGGGCCCCAACATACACCCATAGAGTTCCTTTCACATGCATGTATGAATACACACACACACACACACACACACACACATATATATATATATATATCCCCAAATTATCATCCTTCACAGTTGTCCAAGTGCACAAATGTGGCAGCAGAGTAAACAGGATGAGACAAACTGTAACACTGAGTTCCCCCTTCCCAAGCATTTAGCTCCCAGGCCTCAACCAACAGTGTGTAAGCGTGATTGGAGCTTATCATAACACTCTGGCTTTCTTCTCCAAACAGCTACACACCAGAACAATGCACCAGAGGAAAAGGTGAAAAGGTTTAACTATCCAATATAAACACAAGCGCTTCATAGTATAGCCTATTAACCTGACTACTGTAGCAATCCTACCTGAAAGGCCCTTAAAATGAAAAATAATTTTCATTCTCAGTTAGGGGTCAGGGAAACAACAATGGGATCACTCAGAGTAGGTGGAAAGAAATGAAATTCCATGACTTTGCTTTTAAATGCTGTAAATCATAATAAAACACATACAATAGTGATCAAAAAGCTCTTACTGTAATACTTTTTTACTGTTGAAGTGAATCAATGTGACATCAGAAGAAAGCATCTTTGCAAACCCTCTCCCCAAAGTTAAGGCTGGTTGTGTGGATGTGGATGACTCATTGGTGATGGATGATGCTCACAAGCACTACAGTAAACACCGGCCAATGGAAGAGGTGAAGGTAATACTACCTGTAGCCTGAGCCAGCCTGTGCTGTTAATGGCTCTCCCAGATGGCCAGTGAGACTGGCAAAGCACAAGCAGCCTTTTCAATAAGCCGCACCAAAAACTTTCCTTGTGATTTCCTTTCACCTTAAAATGATCCTCAACTCCACATTTTTTCCATCCCGAGGCTTTCCTGTGCCTGGGAGGGTATTTTAATTTGAGGTGATGGTGGCAGGGGTGCCTGTCTGTGTGGAGTGCTAAATCTGGCATGTAGAAGTCAAAACAATCAATGAAAGGCTAGACACTAAAGACGTTGTCTCATTAACTGATTTTTTGCCTGACCCCAGTCAGCCCAGCTTGTTCTAAGCTGGTCTACCTCAGGTTAGGCCCCTTTAGCCCAACGCTGGCCTGGTCTGGGCTTGCTATCCTATTTATTATCTGGCCTGGCACAACTCTAGCCAAGGTCTATGGCTACATCCCAGGGGGATTTCTCTCTCAGCCACTGAGACTGCTTGTCTTGGCATTCAGGGCAAGGATGGGAAAGCTGACCTCTAGAGGCACTCTGGCTGATAGCGAGCTAAAAAGGAAGTCTTTGAAACATTAGATAATACCAGAGGAAGGAGGGAGAAGTAGAAGGCATGCAAAGGAGTGCGGTGGACATTGCGTCCCTGTAAGACAGACATTCTGTTACATGTTAAGTGCCTCTGGAGCTTTGTGGAACTTGGCGTGGGAGGACAGACACAAGAATACAATGAGAACATCAAAACAAATCATTTAGCTGGAAAGACTTAATGATTTACCTGACTTACTGGAGCAAATATGATAAGGTGCCAGATGACTTTTCCCAAGAGCAGGTGCCTGTGTACTCACAAGACGCCTGACAGACTCAACCTGGCACCTGGAGCTGATATTTCTGTCAGCTTCAGTATTTAAATGTCAAATCCCTTCATGAGAATAACTGATGTTACTATCCCAGGTATTGTTTTTGAAAAGCTACAACCGTTTCTTGGGGTTCGTGCAATTATTTTAAATTTTAAGTTATTATACTTTTGTGAGATCTAATGGCAACAAAGGCTGGACTAAATACTTCCCCAAAAACTGTTAATTTCCACCACATTTCCAATTATTTTCAGACACTAGTACCTTACATAACAATTCCAGGTGTGGAAATCACAAGTTCAATCACTACTGCCAAAGCAGGAGACCTAAAACTGTTAGAATTAATAGGTATTCTAACACGTTTTCCAATCCTATCAACAATAACAGATTAAAAAGTGAGTGATTAGGTATACCTCTCATGTAATAGCTTATGCAACATGTCACCTGCGTTTTAAGTTGTCGTCGCCTCCACACCAACAGATTTTGACCACCCAGAAAATCAAAACTGTGAGCAGAAAAGCAGGGGATCAGAAAGCGGAAACTTTTACCCCCTACTCCTGATTGCGAGTCTAATCACTTTAAGACCCTTGCAGCTTGAGGAGGGAAATCTGGGATCAGCCTGCAGCAGCCTTCCTACCGTGGCCCCTGAAAACACACTGGGAGGTGTTGATTTACCCCCACCAAGACCCTCTGGGATATTGAGACTGTGTGCATACAAGTGTCTGATTTTAGGGGTCAGCAACGTGCTCCAGGGCCCCTGGAGCCACAGAATCAGAGGAGCCATTAGGTCTCCCACTTGATTCAAAGCTTTTCATTTGCAGAGGAGATGTCCTTCAGACACCAGCCTAACCTGTATGTAAGGCACAATCAGCAGCAGCGTCTCCTGGGATGGCCTGGGGCTTGAGACCCCTGGAAAACCCTGGTGGAGCCATGACTTGGACCACCCCACAGATGGATGATGGGAAGGCAGGGTCAGGGGATCGAGACACCCACTGAGAGCTGCTTACTCTCATCTGTAGTCCTGTCAGTCCCTTTCAATCATCCGGAAACAGGCTGGACACAATGCAGGTGAAGGGGCTGGGGGGACCTCCCAGCGGTTATTTGTTCCTCAGGGGAAGGCCCTTGCTACTTACTTTATTCACTGTGAGGAACCTGACACCCTATGCATTTCTTTGAAGTTTAGAAAGTTGCTCAAATTGGGCATAAAATGGGCACATCCACAGCCTAACAGGCCAGCTCTGCTTGGCAGGAACAGAACAGCATAGCACTGTGGATTTAGAAGATTGCAAATCTGCTGGGGACTTTTTCCAATCGTGCTGTCAAACCACTAGATCTCTGAGGCACACACTGAAGCCCATGGGGTAAAAAATACAGACAAGAAGTACATTTTTTACTAAATGACAGTGTATTACAAGTTTAAAAACGCAATCATCATTGTTGGTCACCCCATGGGCAAGCCACAATTTTGCTCTCACAGAGATTCAAACAGTCATTTTTGTATTATCTCAATTCACTGCTATTTTATAAATGTCCCTTTGAGTTTTAAGGCAAAGGGAACAGAACCTGCTGAAGCTGAAGGGTAATGTGTGCCAAATCACTGCTGCCAAACCTATTGTCATGCTTTTGAGCTGAGTGAGTGAAGCTTTGAGGAGAAGAAAGAGCAGCGGAACATGATTCCTCTCCTGGCAGTCAAGAGCCCCTCAGACCTAGGGAGCTGCTCCAGCCAGCCAGAGACAAGGTAAACACTGACACTGCAGTCAGGACTTTACTGACATTTGAAAAGTGATGCTCTCAAGCCACTCCAAGGAAGGGGAACTACTAAAATACACCTACAGTTCCTTTGCACTTTTAAAGAACTCAACAACAGCACATTTAATGTCTCACTACTGCCACAAGTTCTATGATTTTCTTTTAAATGACATGACAGACTGCTACCCACCTTTACATACTCCGATTTCAGGGACTGTGGCAGCGCCTGTTGTATTGAAAGAGGCGCAGGTCAGCCCCAGGGCGCAGTAGCCGTGCGCCCAGTCCTGTCCGCCGCAGGGCTCCCACTCCAGCCGAGTACACTGGTCACAGCATCCGCACGGATCTCTGGCCAAGGTCCGGCCACCCTCGCAGCCGTGCGGGGCTTTGACGGGACAAGTCCGGAGATTACACGGCGTGCACTCATGAGCCGAGAGCGTCCGCACCAGAAAAAGGACATTCAATAACACAAGGGAGCACTTGCTGAACATGTTTCAAAAACCGTCTGTAAGTTTCCCAGAGAAATGGCCCGCTTCTGTCAGATGATAAACCACATGAACTCACCGCGATGCTATGGCCTACTACTAGACTCCAAAGTTGCAAAGTCTAATTGGAAGTTTTGTGATGAGTCTTCCCTCAGGCGTGCTCTCTTTATTACACAGCAGCTCGCTTCAACGGCAATACCACGAGACTGAAGTGTGCGGATGCGTTGCAAGTGGCAGCAATATCCAAAGGCAAAAAAAAGGTTTCAACGTAAGGAGGTAGACGCACGTCTCGAGCGTCTCATCCGTTCATGCAGAAATCCCACACCGAGGCTGAGGACTGCCGCTGCTGACAGCCACGCACGAGAACGCTATCTGACTCTTAAATTGACATTCGGGGATATAGAAATTAGCGGTGCACCCCTCCCCCTGACTGACACAGGCTCCGACCAGTCACAGGGAGCGAAAGGAGGGAGGATTTGAACTGATTTATCCCCGCTCGACGCTGTGTTGCGCAATGATGCAACTTTGAGTGCCTTGAGTGCAAGTTTTTTCTTTTGCTGTAAATCGCTGCAGTTGTGTGTCTTTAACAGCTATTTGTCACTTTGAAACAGATACAGTAGTTTAAATACTTAAAATGTGAAAAAATAATCAGCTCTAGGCTATTTTATTGTAAAAAGCATAAATTACTCAGGTTATAGGCTACTATTATACATTATGAATATAAAACATTTATACACATCAATCTAGGTGGTCAGACAGTAATTTACCTAATCAAAGTTTATGACAACATGGCAATAAAATCAGGCCTAGAAAACACTACATGACATACACTCCCTCCCTCATTAAGATCATCTTTTATGTCACAGTCAGAGTACATTTACAGTAGGGCTTCTTTCACCAGCCACCCAATCTTTCTCTATCTCTTTTCAACAGTACAGCCATAAAGTCTGTCAAAGCTCCTGTAACCAAACATATCAGGCATTATCAAGGCCATATATCATTCCACAGCTTCACCTTTTGTGCGCGGATGAGTGCGTGCCTACTTGTGTTTGTAGGTGTCCCATTGTGTATGCAGGTGGCTTTGGAAATGTAAAAGGTCATATGGGGTTTGTTGAAGCGGGGTTTGTGTGCTTACATTGGCAGATGGATGGTGTGTGCATGTGTGTGGGCAGTAGGCATAGCTGGAGGCTGACTGTGTCAGTGCCACAGACACAGAGGACCTGGAGAAAACAATACTGATTACAAGAAATTACATAGAAAACCAAACCACTGTTTGTGCCCCTTTTCTGCTCACATGGGAGCAACAGGAAAGCAGACAAAAAAATTTCCCCCCACGGTGATGGATCATTTAGTCTTCAGAACCAGTGATGGTAACACTTAAGTTTGCTTTACATGAAGCTGCCTGCCAGCTCTGAGCAAATGAAAACTACTGGAAAGTAATTGATACAATAAAAATGATCACATATCAAGTGTGAGGATGGTCCATTATTGGGGATTTTTTCCCCCCACTGTCATTGGAAACATTTCCTTTTTCAAACACCAATCAAATGTCACCCGGGATGATTTCCCCCATAGTGTCAACACACAACAGCACCTCCTTCATTTGCAACATCTGCCTGGAGCCACCCGCTCCAACACAAACACAACATCCAGGAAACCAGCCCCGCAGCACGCATAATCAGCCCTTGCAACACAACTCGGCTCTTGTCCTCTAGCTCTCCCTCCACCCTCCCTCGCTCCATCCTCTCCTTAAAGCTCTTGTCAAATGGGCCGATCCACTGACCGCTGGCCGGACACCCACTGCTGGTTGACAACAGATCAGACCAGGACCTAGGGGAGGCTTGGTTTCCTTTCACTTGCTGAGATTGTGGCACTGACCTATTTGCCTTGGCAATTGGCTTGCAAACAGAGCCAGCTAGCTACTCTCAGAGGTCCCTCATCATTTGCCAATCGAAAGGTCACCACAGCACCTTCTGGTTCTCTTTCTGTCTATGTATATTAGTAACTAGATGTATAAATTCTCCAGGGGATCATAATGGGGGCATTTTTCTCTCAGAGGGGAAGCAGCAATCAACAATACAATGGCTGAGCCCAAATAAGAATACACCCTCATTAGACTCACTCTGAGCATATGCCCTGTGTCAAATGTTGCATGAATTTGGCAACTTCCCTATTGTTAAGTCTGACGTCAAACACCACAGTGACACTATCCATCATTGTTTTCAATTTCAAACAAGTGCCAAATTACGCCCAAACAACACTAATTAGATTTGTTGAGGGCCTGCCATGTTCATTAAAACCAGTGCACAGTCTGCCAGGCCATATGTCTGGGTGTTGGTAACTTTGCCTGTGAGTCTCTGAATGGAGCAAACAAAAGGTGGGCCAGTGAATAGTAGTGTGTGCGTTAATGATGTTCTGAGTCACAGACCTCTGGGAAAATACAGCAATATCGGCCTGTCTCCTAGACTAAAGTCCCTTGTGTGATTATTGTGAGCCAGGCTTATAGAACCAGCTTCAGGTGGGCCTAATCATCCCTGGCCCAATAAGATGGAGGGGTCATGGTGTGGGATCTGTTCCAGAGATTGGATGACCTCTCTGTGTCATCCACCAATCTTGCTTCTCATCTATCCCTTACACAGACAGCTGATTTACACCGAATGCTGTGGAGGCGTCAGGCTGGTGGTGATGAGGTGTTTCTGGGATGTAGACGGGTGTGAATGATGGTTTAGAAGTAAACTAACTGGCAGCAGCAACACAAGGCTGAGGGTGACACAGGGCCCAATGTGGAGTGTGATATGGAGTGTTGAGTGCATGTCGAGTAGACACCGTGCGGCACACCTGATTACAAATCCCCAGGATGTGCTCCAGGACTTTTCACCAGTGTACAGTGCTGGTTATCACCCTTGCTTAGCTTATCTGTGGGCTCATGGTGCTGGACTGAGCCACACTTGAGCAGATCCAGGCCAAGGGTTGGTGGTGGTGGTGAGGAGTGGCGGGTGAGGGGGTATAATGGCAATGCATACTGCTAGTTGAAAGAGTATTAAATCCATTCAGAAATATGGAGCATTTTGCGTGGCGGCTAAACAACACATAGACTAATGAATGGCCTGTTTCAAACTCAGAATAGACTGAATCATTTGTTTTTTATACAGACATACAAGACAAAGAGGTGTGAACAATAAAATGTTTCAGAAAATAAGCCAAACTTGACACAATGATTTTCCTTTGAAACAGACAGCTGTAGAGCATATTGAGGTAATAATCGACAGAAATTATTATTTCTCTTTTCCATTACTTCCATCCAGAGGGACTCACACGTGCATTTGTTTCTCACTTTGAACTCTTCATTTGTTTGGACCTCTGCAGAAAGAGTTCGGAAACAGTCAGAGGAGTCCAACAAAAAGAGTAACTCATTTTGGAGGAGATGAGAGCTGATTCCCAGGTCTAGTTTACAATAACACTTAACATCATTTCTATCTCCATGCTGTCCTCCTCTCTTTCTATGATCTCTCTTTTCCTTTGTCCTTGATTTTTATTCTTTTGCCTCTCTGCTCACCCAGTCTGTGTTTTTTCTTTCTCTCTGTGAGGTCTGGTCCATTTGCTGTTTTCCAGGCGAGGACTGTAATGATGTGTTTTGACACCGTGAGGTCTCCTGCAGTCTTCTTCTCTCTGTCTCGCAGAGCCCCCAGAGTCATCATAGCAGCAGAGTACCAACAACCCCCCTCCCCCAAACCCTTGTTGTTCTGGCCCTAAGCAGTTCTGCTTGAATGTTTTAGGGTTCAGTGGGTTCAACCAGCTTCGAGGGTTAGGTACACCACTTTGGCTATGTAGTCTGTGACTTGGCTGTTTTCTGTGAAGTAATGGGGAGAGTTTGTAAATCTAACAACCACCTAGTGAGTGGTGCATCCTAAATATTGACATGTAAATCACTGCTGTTTGAGGCGACATGAACTTTGTTTCATGAAGGAGGGTAAGGCAGAAGAGATTAGATTGGTCAAGTGTTGGAGGATGAGCCCTTTACCTGTCCCGAATACTTTGTGGGTTTGATCATCTGTTTTTTAGCCACGCTAGCAGCGTTGCTCTAGGGATGGAGATGTCAGTCTATTGGTTTATTTGGTCGTCCACTTTGGTTCAGACTGAAATATCTCAACAAATATTTGATGGATTGCCATGGAATTCTCTACAGACAACTGCGGTGCCCAAAGGATGAATCCTTCTGACCTTTTCTCTACCGGCAGGTCAAAGGTTTGTGTTATCATGTGTCTAGATGGAGTGACACACAGTTTTGTATAGATGTATCTTTGATGAGATGATGTAACTTTATGACTTTAGTGATCCCCTCACTTTTCCTTTAGCACTGATAATATAACGCTAAACTCTACACCACACACAGTGTCAACTTACAACATGTTCTGTTACCAACTACTACATCAACACTTTCTAAAAGTGCTGTAATGACACATGAGGTTTCTGGGTTCGATTGGCATCAACAGACATTATGACTCAGCCCCAGACCCTTCCTACAGTCATGGCTCAACTCCTTTGGCTGCAGATTATGCCCAGCACTGGGCCTCTCCCTCTCCCTCCATCCCTTTCTACTGTGAGATCCTGTGACCTTGCAGAGCGAACGGCCACCAGCTTGTTTGACAATTATAAGTGGCATACTTTCTCACCCCGTCGCACTCCAGCGGAACATTAAGTGGATCTCTCAGAAGTTTTAATCTGCAAATCTTTGTGATGATGGGGAATTCCTGAGTGAATTGGAACTTACAAGAACCCTTGTGTCCCATTCCCACAACACCTGCCTGGAGTAATCTTCCCTTTCACACAGGGGATCATTGAGACTATTGAACAAGTGAGCCTCGGAAGGTCTACGGTTACAGTAAATGAGTTGAGGGCAAGGCTGTAACCCAGATTTTCTACCTGGTCATAAACTGAGTGGGTGTAGATTGAGATATTTGTCATGTAGATGAACTGGAACTGTCTTGTGCTTATGTGTGAGTGTACTCATAAAGATCCAATGGGCCTGAAATGCAGTGTTCACATTTACAGGCAGAGTACTTCATCATGATGTCAGACATAATCTACATTGAACTACAATAGCTTGTTATGTTACCATGCTGATACCACAAGATCCCAATCTTGTATGCATATTTTGTATTTCTAGAGGATTGTATGGTATTATATTTTATGATATCTTTGTAACACAATTTAAATTATTTCTAGAGTAAACGAAGCCAATTGTGTTTAGGTCCAGAATTTTTTATAAACCATCATTATTTGATTTGCAGTCAAATTCATGGCAGCGTAAAAAACTGTACACCCAACACTGACATATTATCTATCACATTATAAAGTTGTTGTTGTTGGCAAATATGTTCGCTTTTTCACACATCCAGTAGACATGAAGCATTAGCATTCATTTGGATTTGTCTTTCTGGCCACAAAGATAA